TTTTCCGATCGTCTTTGTGGGTTTAGGAAATCCATGAACCACTGTGCTCCATACACGTTCATCTAAGGACCAAAGAAACGACTTCATTTTGGCCTTCCAAGCGCCATAGTTGTTGCCATCGAAATATGGTGGATGTGCAATTGAGCCCGAGGCACGATCCATCCTAAGGTATGTTAGATCTTGCTGAGTATGTCCAGCAACCTGCTCTGATGCCAATTGAAAATACCTGCAGGATGACTCAAAATGCCTAGAGGAGGGTGAATAGGCCAATTTAAGATTCTAATCAAATAAATAAAAATAAACTTCGGTAGCAGGATTGATATGGCTTATCAATCCTGTAACGTGCTGGGCATAAAATAAAAGAACACGCAGAGAATTATTTTAAGTGGTAAAACCCCAACTCTGGGGAAAATCCACGGGACTCCTCAGTCCAACACAAATCCACTATAGAACGATGATTACAAGAAGTACTCACACACTTATCCTAGACACATTCTAGATAATGTTTACCGACTTCTTCGTAACTCAACTTCTGTCACGGGATGATCTTCGACACTCCTTATGTTGAACGCAATACTGGCCACGATTGCTTCAAGCTCACCGGAGGAAAACCGCCACCACGGTCTTGGTGCCCTCAACCGTATGAGTCACCGACGTGCATATGAATGCAATATGAATGATGAAAGGATTTGATAAATCACCAAGTAGACAAGGAACACTTGATGATTTATCTAAGAAAAATAAGAACTACAGCTTTCACAAAAACATATTCAATATATTCAAAAACTCATGCGTTGAAAAAAGCTCATGATGATGAAAAGGAACAACAATCCTTTTTATTCAAAGCCAGTTTCTCTACCTGGAGAGAAACCCCACGTCACTACACTTCCAATGCAACTATAAGACCCATTCAACTAAGACTTCTAACCTGATGCAATATGAACACCCAATTAACCTATTCAACTATGACTATTTGTTGTGAATCAATATGGGCACAAAATGAAAAACCTCAAAAACCATTGAGACCACTAATACTATATAATTCGTCAACTTATGCAAGGATTGTTATTCAAGATAACAATCTTTATCAAAGAGATCAAATAGGTATCAATGAAATGTCCTTTTCAAGTCAAGGATGAAAAATAGTATTTTAACTTAAATCAAAATAGAGTCCAACTAGGAAAGTAATCTCAAGAGATAAAATCTAATCCTATTAAAATAAGATTAAGATAAAAATACTTTGAGTGAAAAAAACTCCAACTAGGAATCCTATAATGAATGTCATGATTTACCTGAAGTCAAGTTTCTCATATCGGTCAAGTCATGCCTCGGATGTATGGGGTTGAATGAGTTGTGCCAAAACATCCAGTAAACAAGTCTAGGAAATGACAATACAAATTTCGTACTAACACACTGTGCACAGGTAAACAATACAAATGAACCTCTATTTTCCCAGGCAAGCATGTTTTGTGATGGAAGTGTGAAAAATGTTTTATGAGCTATTTTTTCACGTCTTGAATTAAACAACCACTATCAGGCAAAACAGCATTGCTTATTTTTGGATAGCGAAAACAACATATAATGCAAAAGAAAAGCACAAAACAAGCCCAAAAAGTACTAATCAGATGAGTTAACCCTCCAATCAACAGGCCGCCATGCCTTTTCTTTTGTTGTCATTTAAAAACATAGGAATTTTGGGTAGTTGAGATTGCCTTGAAAAAATTAATCTGAAAAGAAAAAAAAAATCTAGGCTTTTGAGATCATGTTGAAGAAAAAAACTGAAACTAGTATTAACTTAGCATACATAATACACAGACTCATTATCATCACCTTCTTCAATCCTTACCTGGACTAGTGCCAGTGAAGGCATTCTCTAACTGGAAGGTATTCCTTCTTCGAGGTATAGGCTCTTTTGTCTGTCTTTCGTTTTGGCTGCAACTGGAAGGTGTTCCTTCTTCGAGGTATAGGCTGGCCACAAGATGTCCAAATTTTCCTTCTCAAACCCTAAGTCTAACCCGAGCTGTCTCCTCTCTCTCGCTCAGACATAATCCACGACCTATCTTCTTCTTCAATCCTCATCTCTCTCTCTCTCACACACACATAGCATCATCATCGTCTCATTTTTCTGAGTCAGACTCGCCCAGACACGCCCAGGCCGCCTAGGCGGGCGCCCAGCGCCTAGGTGCCGCCTAGGCCGATTTTTGGAACTCTGACTGGTTAAATGAGCAGGCAGTCTGAAATAAAATTCTTTGATAACAATGTTGAAGCTGTAGCTTATCACGTGAATCTAAAATCATCAAAACATGAGAAATAAAATAGCCACCATGAAAACCCTCTGGGCGGCCGCCTAGGCGCCGCCTAGGCCAATTTTTCAAACACTAGCTGGTTAAACGAGCAGGCACTCTGAAACAAAATGCCTTGATAACAATGTTGAAGCCATAGCTTAACATGTGAATCTAAAATCATAAAAACAGGAGAAATAAAAGAGCACCATAAAAACCCTCTGGGCAGCAGCCTAGGCGGCCGCCTAGCGCCTAGGCGCCTCCTAGGCCGATTTTTCAAACACTGGCTGGTTAAATGAGCAGGCACTCTGAAACAAAATCTCTTGCAACCGCACCTCCCCTCGCCGGAAAATCTCTTGCAGCTGCAACTGAGGCTGCCTCAGGCGCAGTTCCTGTGAAGAAGATGACCACTGCGTCCTGGTTTTCTTTATGATAATACCAAAATGAAACGACGCCGTTTTGAATTTGGGGAATGAAATCCTTTTAATTAAACGGTGTGTTTTGTGACTTGAAAACATTTCATTTTAATCTTATTAATGAAATCCTTTTATTGAATTCCTATTATATCCCCGCGAATTCAAGCCCAAATTGGACTTGCTAAGTTGATATCTCCATGGGCCTTGACATTTGATTCAAAGCCTGGTTAGTTTTGTGATTGTATCAAAATTTATATATGGCATTACTTTCTTTAGTTGATATTGCCGGATTAGTTTTTTTACTCTTTTTTTTTGCCAACTTCTTTAGTTTAATAATATGTTATTAAGTAATATCTTAGCCTTTTTTAAATTATTTTGATTGGTAATATCATAGACATATGCCGGCTAACATTCATCAGGAGAAGTCTCATCCGGCAAATGTTTGCCAACTTAGGTCTCTACCGACAAAATCATTCGTCGAGAGAGGTTTTTTTATTTTATTTGAAATTAGTTTCTTTACTATTTTTTTGCCAACTATTTTTGTTTAATATATGTAATTAAGTAAGATCTTAGCTTTTTTTAATTACTTTAATTATTATTATTTAGTTAATATTTAAATATTTTAATGATTTCATAAATTACTCAAATATTCTAATATATTTAAGGAAATATGACACTATAAATCCATATTTTTGCCACACATAAATCCATATTTTTATTGTTGGTGATATATTAAAATAGTATAGCCGACGGCTATACACTATAAATATTCTATTTTAAAGGTCTCGCCGCGTGGCTATACTATTTAAAAAGAATATTATAAACGTATAGCCGCACGGCTATACGCTTCAAAAGTACACAATTAGTTTCTTTACTTTTGTTTTATGGCAACCTTCTTTAATTTAATTTATGTAATTAAATAAAATGCTAGTCTTTTTTAATTACTTTAATTAGTTATTACATTTTAATTATTGTTTCTTTTGTGAATATTTAAATATTTTACTGATTTAATAAATTACTTAATAAATAGTAATTAATTATTTGAAAGTATAAAATTAGTTTCTTTACTTATTTTTTTTGGAGACCTTATTTAATTTAATTTATGTTATTAAGTAAAATCTTAGTCTTTTTTAATTATTTTAATTAGTGGTAGTCTATTTTCCAGTGATTTTAATGGGAGAGGAATTAAAGGGAGCTGACTTGGGCTTTGCATTCCCTTCAGTGGTCTCAAGCTAGCAAGGTAGCCATTTGATTTATTGTTGCATATAGGGGAAGCTTAGTGGCCTGAATTGTTTCTTCCTTCTCCTTTGGTACTGAAGCTCCACTGGGGTCCTGCATATATACACAATACAAGTTTGAATCAAGTGTTTCTTAATCACAGAGATGCACTATATTTCTTGATTTATAACAACTTTTTTGTCAATAAAACAACCATGTTAGCATGATTGTCTTAATAAAGTTTTCCATTTTTTAAGAAGAGATCAACAAGCTAGAGAATTTAGAAATGACATACCCCAAGCATGAGAAAAGTGAATGCTTGATTGTCTGCACCAAGATAAATTGCAATCAACTTTCGCAGGTCATCAAGGCTTGGATCTTTTACAACCTTAAGTGTTGTAATGAACTTCCCTAGATTCTCTTTTGAAGCCTCCCATTTCACATACACTTCAGTATCTGCATCAGTGAAGGGTTGTTGTTCTCCTTGGAAGCCAATGCCATATCATCACATACTCGACTTTTTTTTATCTCTTCTGTCAGTTTCTGCTCATTTTCTGATTTAACTGATGCAACAGTAGGTGCTGGAGTTGTCACATGTTGAGAGAGCTCTCTGTAGTTTCCACAGAGTGTAAATATGTTGCGGATCCTGACAAGCCTATCATCTCCCCCCTGCCATCTTCTTCCCCTGGATTTCTGCTTGGCCGATTCACAGTTGGTGTATGTTGATAATCCTTAGGTAAAGATGTCAGGGATCCCATACTATAATTACTCTGGAGGCTAGACCCATCAACCATGCACATTCTCTTTTCCTCTATAACTTCTTTCTCCACTTCTTCAGCTTCCACATTTTCCTTAAGTCCTTCCTCTTCTTCCATTTCTTCTTCCTCAAAAACAGTGCTTAGGCATACCCTATCAGCATATTTTGGTTCAAAAGAATCAATGTTTACAGCAATTACAATACTGCTGTCAGATTGATAAGCAACCCCACCTACATATTTCACCTCACGAGCAAAAGGTTCTTGATCACCCATGTCCAAATCCATTGACTTTACCATTCCTCCTGCATCATCACTCGCATAGATCCCTAACAACCTTTTGGCAAACTGTGGGTTCCATCATGGTCCTTTGTCCCACTCTCCTTACCATTTCCATCACCTAACCGGCATAGCTCAAGCTCAATTTCCTCCAACCACCACCTAACCATTTCAGCTTCCTGCTGCTGCTGCAATATCCTTTCTTCCTGTTGAAATTAATGCATATTTTTAGAAAAATCTAGAAGCTTGAAGAAAGTGCTATAAGCTTGAAGGGTGGACCACAGACAATACATTTTGCTTTTGCACCATATTCAAGGGTGGAGATTGTCTTGTGTATTTCCCCTGGGTCTGGGCTTGCACACAGTACCATTAAAATTTTTGTTTTATCATCTTCGAAAGAATCCTGCATAAAAAGAACATGAGAACTTTCATTCACATACAAGGTTACAGGGCAGGGCACCATATAATCCCTAGTAACTGACGTTAGTGTGAATGAAAGTTACCTGTAGAAGCATGGTCAGTTTGCTGTCTCTGAAAGGCACATGAGAATCACCATTGGCAATGGATTCAACCACTCTTTTAAGAGCTATGTTTCCTTGGTTGATCTTCGCAGTCTGTGAATTCAATATAACATAATTTAACATTTGTTACAATGACAATGAAAGTGCTGCATACAGTATCAGCACAAATTAAGCACCACCAAGACATTACCTGCATTTTTGCCTCAAATCCAATTTGGCCAGCTTGCTCAATATTTTCAGAGCCAGCCATGTCCACAAGCATCAAGCGCCCTCCTGCTGTTGGGACATCAAGGATTATCCGTGCAGAAATAGAAAGCGAGTTATGTCCAACTAGTGACAAGACCTGGGGAAGAATTATCATATATTTGAAAGTCCAAGGGAATCCTACCATGCAATGGCTCCGAGAACTTCTTTCGTTGCAAAGAGTACTCTTAACTATCCTTCTCTTCTCCACTTTCTAAATCTCTTTGGAAATTTTCCCAGCCTCATTTCCAGAAATTTTGGTTGCATTCTTTGCCTTCTTTCCCATCACTTCAAGCCTAACCTGCAGGTACAAGTATTAGTACAGAAAAGAGCAGCAAAAATAATATTCCCCTTTATGATTTATGAGACTAAACCACATCCCTCATACAATATAACCTTTATCATCATCATCAACACAAGAGATGCTCCATCAAAAATTGAGAGTCTTGAGATTTTTATAACGAGTTCTCTCTAATTTAAACCAACTCAACGAAATTTACAGAGAGCCAACACAACCAACTCAACCAAATTTACAGGGGCCAACACAACCAAATCTACAAATTCAAGCTTGCACAGAAAACCCATTTCCATATCAAAACTTACAGTTCTAAACACAAAAAACATTTGACAGAAAACTCATAAATAATTAAGAATTCAGTCAAAGAAAAGAGACCCAGTGAATGTAATCATCTTAGAATTGGAGCCATTCCTTCTAATTTTAGCCTACACAACCATATCCAAATATCCAGACTTGAACAGAAAATCGGCCGCCTAGGCGGCCTAGGCGGTCTAGGCGGCTCCTATATTTTTTTTAAATAGTATAGCCGCCCGGCTGTACTCCTTAAATAATATATTTAAAGGGTAGAGCCGTTCGGCTGTACTCGTTTTTCTTCCTCCTGATTTTACGATGAGTAATTTTGAGCAATATCCATTACTATTAGGTCATTACCCGAGTTTCTATTGTAGGAAAGAATCATAATTTCCTATAAACTCTAACTCTGAGCCTGCATTCTATATGAATAACTAACACTGCGAAAACCATAAAAAAACAAACAACATAATGCATTAAGTCACCAAACATACATGCCAACTGAAAAACAGGAGAAAAAAAAAGGGTAAATCTTACTGCTTGTAACTTACATGACAAGGATGGGGAAGGTGATGGAGAAATCAAGTCTTGTGCACTTCCCTTGTTTCCTGGACTGGGAGCATTGGACACTACAGGTGCAGGTAACACATGGGGGGACAATTGAGATGAGGGACTCGTAGAAGGCGAGTAAGGGGAACCATTAGGTGCATAAGTAGGAGGAACAGTAGGGTTAGGATGAGAAGTTGGTGAGGAGCTTGGAGAAATTCCAGAACCGCAGTATGGACATGGACGAGGATGTGGAGGTACCTGTTGGAGAAAGATGGATAAGAGAGAATATGGAAGAGAGTTTTAAACAGAAATACTGAAGCTTTATTGATTTCCTAAAAAACTGATTACAACACTAGGCCATCTTATTGGCTATTTATAATAATATTCAGATCTTTTCATAACAGACATAACTCTTGGATTAGTTCCAAGAGTTGCAGACACAACTCTTGACTTCTAAAGAGATACAACTCTTCTTAAACAAAACTCTTCTTCAAGAGATACAACTCTACTTTAATAACTGATACAAATGCATTACGTTTAACACTCCCTCTTAATGCATTTGTCCTGTGACATTTAGGTTTTCTCTGAAATAGTAGAACTTCTCTCTTGGAAGTGCTTTTGTAAAAACATCTGCAATCTGCTCATCAGTACCACAAAATTGCAATTCAATCTCTCCATCTTCAACCAATTTTCTGATAAAATGATGACGAAGTTCTATGTGCTTTGACCTGCTATGAAAGACTGGGTTCTTTGTCATGGCAATTGTGGACATGTTATCACAGTACAAATTTGTTGGAGTGTTTTGCTCTTGATGAAGATCTGCTAATATTCTTCTAATCCAAACTGCTTCACATGCTGCACTTGTGGCTGAAATATATTCTGCTTCGGCTGTTGATAATGCCACTGTACTTTGCTTCTTCGATGACCATGATATAACTTTTTTTCCCAGGAAAACACATGCCCAGATGTGCTTCTTCTATCATCAATTGCACCAGCCCAATCACTGTCTGTGAACCCAACTAAAATGCTTTCTTTCTCTTGTGTATATTTGAGGCCATATCCTTTGGTTCCTTGCACATATCTTAGTATTCTTTTAACAGCAGCAAAATGATGATTACTTGGATCATTCATGAATCGAGATACAACACTAACTGCATGAACTATGTCTGGCCTTGTATTAGATAAATAAATAAGTGAGCCAACAATACTTCTATACATAGAAGCATCAGCTCTTGGTGCTCCATCATTACTTGAAAGCTTTAAATTAATTGCCATTGGAGTATCCATTGGCTTGCAGTTCAACATATTGAACCTTTTCAAGAGATTTTCTGCATACTTTTCTTGATACATAAAAACCCCTTTTTCCGATTGTTGGACTTGAATTCCTAGAAAATACTTCATAGAACCCAAATCAGTCATCTCATATTCTTTCATCATGTCCTTCTTGAATGCTTCTACCATCCTTGGTTTGGTACTTGTATAAATCAAGTCATCAACATAAAGACACACAATAAGAAAATCATGTGTACCTTCTTTCTTGAGATAGAGTGATGGCTCACTTGGACTTCTTACAAATCCACTTTGACAGAAATATTGATCAATTTTGCTATTCCAGGCTCTTGGAGCTTGCTTTAAGCCGTATAGTGCTTTCCGAAGTCGACAAACTTTGTTTTCATTTCCCTTTTCAATATATCCTTGCGGCTGCTCCACGTAAACTTCTTCTTCAAGTTCTCCATTCAAAAAAGCGGACTTGACATCCAATTGAAAAACTTGAGTTTTCAATTGTGCTGCCAAAGCCAACACAGTTCGTATAGTTTCCATTCGTACAACCGGAGCAAACGTTTCATTGAAATCTACTCCAGGTTGTTGAGAGTAGCCTTTGGCAACCAACCGAGCCTTATGCTTTTGTATTGAGCCATCTTCATTGTATTTTGTCTTGTAGATCCATTTAAGTCCAATGATGTCCTTTGATTTAGGCCGATCAACAAGCTCCCACGTAGAATTTTTCTTGATAACTCTAATTTCTTCTTCCATTGCGTCGTGCCAAATTTTTTCTTTCACTGCTTCCTCAAATTTTTGAGGCTCCAAAGCACTCAAAACAAGATCACACGACTCATATATGTCTGCCAATGAACGCATTCTTGCGTTTAGTCTAGGAGTTGAATCTGGTGAACTAGGATCAGATGTTCTTGCACTTGGAATTGGACTTCTTGCCCTTGAAATTGGACTTTGGGGCAGCAGAGATTCTTCTAAATTTGATGTTTCTGGTTCCAGCAAAAAACTCTGTATTTCACCTTGTCTGTTTTCCCATCTCCATACCTTGAATTCATCAAAAATAACATCTCTAGAAATTACCAACTTATTAGTTCTTGGATCAATCAATCTGTATGCCTTGGACTTGTCACTATAGCCCACAAAAATATATTTTTCACCCTTTTCATCAAACTTTTCTCTCTTTTGAGAAGGAACATGTGCATAGGCTATGCAACCAAAGATTTTAAAGAAATCAACCTTTGGCTTAAACCCATGCCATGCTTCAAAAGGAGTCATATCCTTGACAGACTTGGTAGGTGACCTGTTGAGAATAAACACTGAGGTATGAATTGCTTCAGCCCAAAACACATTTGGCAGACCTTTTGCTTTTAAACATGCTTCTTGCCATTTCCACAATGGTTCGATTTCTTCGTTCCGCAACACCGTTTTGTTGTGGAGTGTAGCTTGCCGTCAATTCTCTTTTTATTCCATTGCTTTTGCAAAATTCTGAAAATTCATTTGATGTGAATTCTCCACCACGATCAGTTCTCAATGTCTTGAGATTGTATCCACTTTGTTTCTCTCCATAGGCTTTAAATTGCTTGAAAAAGAGAATGCTTCTGACTTTTGTTCTAGAAAATAAACCCACATCATCCTGCTATAGTCATCAACAAAGAGAAGAAAGTATTTCTTGCCATTAAAAGATGGTGTTCGAGTCGGCCCGCATATATCTGCATGTACCAACTCAAGAGGGGCTCTTGCTTTCCATGTTGATTGTGAAAATGGTAAGCGGTGGAATTTTCCAAAAATACAACCTTCACATATTGCTTTCTCAGACTGAATAGAAGGAAGGCCAACCACCATATCTTTCTTATGTAAGAGCTGTAGACTTCTTTGATTTAGATGTCCGTATCTCATATGCCACAAGTGTGATTCTTCTACATTTTCAGCTTTCAAAACATAGTTTTCTTTTGATGTCATGATCAACGGAAAGACTTTGTTTGCCATCATTTTTATCTTAGCCACTACAATGTTATTCTTTTTATCAGAAATAACACAGTGATCATCATCAAATTTAACAGAGAAGCCTTTTTTGTAGGAGTTGTCCTACACTTAATAAATTTTGTGCCAAGTTAGGAACATATAGCACATCATAGATTAGTTTTGGTGTACCTTCTCGAGTTTGAACTGAGATAATACCCTTGCCTTTCACGTTGTGAAGCTTTCCATCTCCCAGCTTGACTTGTGAATTCACATTTTCTTCAAATTTGACAAAACATTGTCTGTTTCCTGTCATGTGGTTACTGCATCCGCTATCCACGTACCATATATCTTGTGGTTCTTGACGAGCGCTGAGACATGTATAAAATAGTTGCTCTGGAGAGTCATTATTTTCTGTGAAATTGGCTTCATTATTTTTCTGATATCTGCAATCTCTTTGAGAATGGTTGGGTATTCTGCATCGGGTACACCTATACCAACAATCTGCACTTTTGTGCCCAGTCTTCTTACAAACACGACATTCAGGGACAAGGTTACCATTCTGGTTGTTTTGATGGCTACGTCCTTGCTGATTGTTGTTGTTATAGTTGCCTTTGTTGTGATTCTTCCGCCAATGAGATTCTCCTTTACTTTTTCTGTTTTGGGACTTTTGAGATTCTCCTTTTTGTTTGTCTTCTTTCTCCTTCGAATCCAACTTGGATTGAAAAGCTTGCTCCAAGGAGTGGTCTGTAGACCTATTAATCCTTTTTTCATGTGCTTCCAATGAACCAATTAGTTCATGGAGCGAAAATGCAGCGAGATCTTTTGACTCCTCTATTGCTGCAACAACATGATCGAACTTTGGCGGTAGACTACGTAGAGTTTTCTCTAAAATTTTCTTGTCTAGAATTGTATCCCCTTAACTTCTAATTTGGTTAACAATTCCAGAAACTTTTGTGAAGAAAACCTGAATGGACTCATTCTCCTTCATTAATAAATTATCAAACTCTCGCCACAAGGATTGGAGTTTGATGGAGATCACTTTCTGTGAGCCTTGGAACTCAATTTTGAGTATTTCCCAAGCATTTTTTGATGTCGTAGCAGAAAGTAATCTTGGAAAGAGATTTTTGCTTATTCCCTGTTGAATTAGGAATAAAGCCTTGGCATCTCTTTTCTTATTTTCTTTAAGTGCTTGCTGTGATTCCGGTGTCGCTTTTCCCGTCGAAGTTTTTTCCAGTTCCTCGTAACCATCTTCTACAAGATCCCAAAGATCTTGAGAGACGAACAAGGTCTTCATTTGTAGGCTCCAATATTCATAATTCTCTCCATCGAAAATAGGCATTAAATTTTGAATATTTCCAATGGTTGAGGAATTTGAACTTGATGCCATGATTAACACAGCGGAGGGATCTATTAGCTCTTGATACCAAATTTGTTGGAGAAAGATGGATAAGAGAGAATATGGAAGAGAGTTTTAAACAGAAATACTGAAGCTTTATTGATTTCCTAAAAACTGATTACAACACTACGCCATCTTATTGGCTATTTATAATAATATTCAGATCTTTTCATAACAGACATAACTCTTGGATTAGTTCCAAGAGTTGCAGACACAACTCTTGACTTCTAAAGAGATACAACTCTTCTTAAACAAAACTCTTCTTCAAGAGATACAACTCTACTTTAATAACTGATACAAATGCATTACGTTTAACAGTACCTTGGATGGTGCTGGTGGGAGATGATTACTGTGTCAGGTGAGGGTGCTGGAGAGTGAACTGGAGAAGCAGGATATGGAGAAATTGTTGGCTCTGGAGATGGAGCGGGAGAAGGAGTAGGACGGGTTGCATTAAGTGTACCCTTAAGATTAGATGATAAAGTGATACTTTCAAATTTACCAAAGACTGAGTTATCAAGCCGGAAAAAAAGAAATGAAAAACAAAACACGTTCAAGTTTTCGAAAAATGGGCCGCCTAGGGATGTTTTGGTACCCAAAGTATTAGTCATCACTTAGAAAAAGTTCAAGTATGTATGTGCTTTTTTCATTGGTTTAGCGCTGCAATTTGTGTACATGACATGCGAACACTTACATTCTTGAGAGACCTGTTACAGGGAAAGTATGTCTGGAAGTGTAGGGTTTACTTTTAAGCAGAGTCTGTCTGGAAGTATAGTTGCTTCAGAATTCTGAAGTCGAAAGTAAATAAGGTGTGATTGGTTTGCTCGTTATTGGATGCCTGGATGGCCAGTTTCAGAATGTCAAGTCAGTTTCTAAAGAAATTCAATATTTATGATTGCATTTTCACCAAATTATAGAAACAGATGCAAGGAAAATAGGTGATGCAGATGTGCTCTAAGAGAGATGTCAGATTATAGGTCATATTCCAGATGTGGTCCAAGAGCTGTCTATAAGTATAAAGTTCAGATGGTTGTCATGTATTAATGCACAATTTGGAGTCTTCATATCAACATGACTGACATTACAAATTACAATACCAATTTTGTCATCCTTGAGGAAAAGACAATGCCAGTTTTCAAGATATTTTTGGAACTTGTCAAGTAGAGATGTATTTCATTAATAAATTCTACAAAATGTCAAAATTATATTTGGAGACGCTACTAATAGCGTCTCCGGAGCAATTGTCAAGGGAACTTGTAAGTCCTTGTCAAGGGAACTTGTGGTAACGTGTAAGCAATAATTGCAAGTCTCCAGAGCAATTGGGTCTAATATTAAATTGGAAATACTAATAGGATGAATATTATAATGGAATTTGAAATTGACAATTTATGCCCTCCAATAAAAGCAGCAAATTTGAACTCGAATCTTTTTGCTGATACAATTTTTTTATAGATTAAAATCCTTTGTGAAATAAAGATGTCCAGTTAAATAGAAGTTCTAAACAAGGTAATCTCAGACACGAGTACGATATCAACTTAACTCAACCCAAAACCAATATGGTTTTCAATGTTTATGACCACTGACCAAGTACGTTCACTTACTCAACTTAAATGTGATTTATGATGATTGCTTATGAAAATGCTAAAAGCTTACTTGACAAAAATACTGTATACAGTCCCAACTAGCATAAAAACATTCTTGTAACAGGAATATAGCATACTATTCCCGACCAATGATATAATGGCAGATGAAAAACTTTTTTTGGTGGACTTTAGGTAATAGGTACAGAAAAGTCAACGTCTCTAAAAACATTAAACAAAAGAAAACAAAGACCAACCTTACTCAACAAACTATAACGATCTAATTAATGTTACAACTTACGTTGATGCTCATGATGACGAAAATGATGTATCTCAGGCCTTCTTTCTCTGTGCACAGACTTCACCATTCTTAGCCTTCCCATTGACTCGGCCTTGATGTTTGTGTTTGGCACTGTGTGTGCTTCCTGAGCAGTATCTTTCTCTCACGACAAAGTCTCAAAGTCCACCACTTATAGTGTCAAGTATGATTTTGCTTTTGAAAATGGAGAGAAAACTTTTCCAACTGTTTTCTTTTATCTTTATTTTGTGTTTTGTTGCATGTTCTAGTTTTACTTCTTATGACAAAGAAAGTCAAGATTTTGAATTTAGTGTTTGCAAGTTTTATAGAAATTGCTCATTGGGTCGTTTCCATAGGGTGTTAGAATGCTGAGAATGAGAGTCTGTGGATGTGTCATTGCTCTGTTGTGTTCTTGCTTCGTCCTCCTTGCGGTTGCACAAGTTACACATCCTTCTGAAGGTGAGTTTGCTGCACATATGCTATATTTCTTACTTGTTATATCCAGCTTTAATTCAATGCAATTCAATCATTTCCATATGATTCTTATATGATTCAATTGAAAAATATGAATTATGTTTTGTGCCCTTTTGCAGTCAATGCATTGAGAGCAGTTAAGAGCAGTTTAAGTGATCCTCGGAAGCATCTCAAGAACTGGAACAATGGGGATCCTTGTAAATCTCATTGGACTGGAGTGTTTTGTTTTAATACTGTTGGGGCTGATGGCTACTTGCACCTTGAGCAACTGTATGCATTCTTTTTTCATACTGCTCTTACCTTTTGATTAACCCGCACAGTGAGTGATAATGTTTTTTTCTTAATTATGATTGTTGCAGCCAACTGCTGAACATGAATCTCTCAGGAAGCTTAGCACCTGAGCTTGGCCAACTATCTCACCTTCTAATATTGTGAGTCTGGCCTCTCAAAAATTGATCTGTGATTCCACTTTTCTGGAGGTTTTTTTTCCTGATTATCCTTTTAGTTGTTTTCTAATGTTTTGTATTTTGTTTTCTTCTCTTCCGGCAGAGATTTCATGTGGAATGAATTAAGTGGCACTATACCAAAGGAGATGGGAAACATGACATCCTTGAAACTCTTGTAAGTTGAGTTCAACCAATCTATAGTTCTGCGTACACTTGTTTTTGGAATATCAACATAATTTTTTGTTTTACAGTACACAATTTTCATAATTTTTTTTGTGATGAATTGTATGCAGGCTCTTGAGTGGAAACAAATTATCCGGTTCTTTACCTGATGAGCTCGGTTACCTTTCAAAATTAAATATCCTACAAGTTGACCAAAACTTTATGTCAGGTCCAATACCAAAATCATTTGTTAACTTGGTCAATGTAAAACATCTGTAAGTACATGTTCAAGCTAAATGCTACTTGAAGTTGGCTAGCATTTTATATTTCTCATGTTTGACAGCTGCATGTACATTAATTGCTTTGCAGCCACATGAACAACAACTCCTTCAGTGGTCAAATTCCGTCTGAACTTTCTAAAGTACCCACTCTTCTTCATTTGTGAGTTCTTAAAGCGTTATTTCCTTGTTTTTTTGGGAAATTGTTCTGTATTTATACTTGTTGACTGACTCCTGATGGTGTATACTTGACGCAAACTTTTACAGGCTTTTTGATAATAATAACTTATCTGGATATCTTCCACCAGAATTATCCAACTTACCAAACTTGCGCATAATGTACGTCCTAATTCAACACTGTCTGGATTTTTAGTTTGGAGTAACTTGTTTCCTTTTGTGTGATCTCAGTAGGTAATCTGTTTTTTCTTGACAAGATTTTCTTCTTGGTTGATGGAAATTATTGTTTTTTCTTCCATTTGCAGTCAGTTTGATAACAACAACTTCAGGGGGACTGAGATTCCAGCTTCTTATGGAAACCTTTCCCAATTAATAAAAATGTAAGTTTTAGTATTCGTATCGTTCTCTTGTTGAATCCATGGTTCATGTGTATACTGCTTTACATTAGGACTATAAGCAAGTGGCATTAATTTGGTGATCAAGGTCATATGCAAGGTAATTCCAATAGGAATTTTAGAATTTCACTGATATCCAAATGACCTCTGAAATCCAGTATTTCCACTTCTCGAGATGTTTTAATTTAAGTGCTTTAATTTTGTGTTTATTACATGTTGCATAAATTTGTTTGAAAGGGTTGCTAATAGTTTTACTTTTTCCTTCTTTCTGATTTGGCAGAAGTCTTAGGAATTGTAGCTTGCAGGGAGAAATTCCTGATTTTAGCAGGATACCTAGCCTTCTTTATCTGTAAGTATGGAGATGGCTCAACAACCTTGAATTAATGGACACTATAATGCATTTATTGACTCTTCTATTTATACCTCCATTATCTAACCTTTTACTGGGTTCATTTCACAGAGATCTAAGCTGGAATCAACTGAGTGGATCCATACCTGCACATATACTCTCTCACAATATGACAACATGTATGCAAATGGCCCAAGTAAACTTGTAACTTGTCTGTCCAAAAAAAAAACTTGTAACTTGTTCTATTAATACTTCTTGCTGCATCAGCATGTTACTGTCTGTGTTTAATCTGAGTAATTTATAAACTTTTCCTGTTTAATTTTCGTTATTTATTGCAGCAAGCTGTCAGATAACCAGCTTAATGGATCTATTCCTGAGAGTTTCTCTGATCTTCCTTCACTTCAGAAATTGTGAGAATCTCCTAACTTCCCTAAATCTGTATTTCGTATAATATTGCACTTCTAATGCAGACTGGATCTGATTTCGGTAATGATTTGTATCACAGGTCACTCAAGAATAATTTGTTGACGGGTTATGTCCCTGCTATATGGTTGAACATATCTTTTAGTGCAAAAGCGAGACTTGCACTGTAAATTCCTTTACCAAAAAAGTAGCATTAACATAAAGTTTGAGGACCTTAATGATTTAGTATAAATTTTTAGATTGAGCTTATTTAGAAGTTTGATGAATATTGCAGTGATCTACGGAACAATTCACTGTCGAACATATCGGGAGAGCTGAATCCTCCAGCAAATGTCACCTTGAGGTATGTTTCCAATGCAATGGCTTCAATCAGATCCCTATTTTCAGAGTTGTTTCATATATATTGTTCTGGGTTTATTAGAGAAGATAGAACAAAAAAGAACTCTGCATTGTTAAGGATGTTATTATAGCTGGACATCTTATTTTTCTCAGTGCAGTTAAAAATGGGGACTTTTATAGATACACAAATTGATTAAATAGTTTCATGGAAATGAGGAAATGCACAAAATAATTGCATGCAAATTAAGAGTGGCATGAATGGTACAATTTCAATTAGGAGAGACATGTTACCAAATTTTAAAAAGCAACACACATGTTCTATAGTTGTATTCTCAACCCAGGTGGATATAGCTAGGATTCCTCGGAGCTTTTTTGTTTTCTCTTCTTTCATTTCCCTTATCCAATGGCATATATTGGGAATTTTATGGTTGCTTTCATGTTAACTTGCCCATAAATTATGTCTTGTATTTAAAATTGTTAGCAAAAGTATACCTTGTTCTACTTCTAGAACTTCAAATTCTCACTTATAGCAGCTTTTCTCAGGCTTGAAGGAAATCCTATTTGCAAGAATGCAAGCATGCAAAATGCAAGCCAGTTCTGTCGATCCGAAGCTGGAGGAGATGGAATCCCTGATAGTTCAACAAATTCAACTCAAAAAATGACCTGCCCTAGTCAAGCATGCCCAATAGATAATTTCTACGAATATGTCCCATCTTCCCCAGTGCCATGCTTTTGTGCATCACCTATAATAGTTGAATTTCGTCTGAAAAGCCCTAGTTTTTCTTATCTTATTCTATATATTCAGAAGTTTGAAATATACTTCACTAGATCTCTCGACTTGAGCCTTTATCAATTATCAATTGATTCATTTGTCTGGCAAGAAGGACCTCGTCTACGGATGCATTTGAAGCTTTTCCCTGTGTTCATTAATCCCCACTCAAATACATTCAACTTTAGTGAGGTTCATCGAATTAGAAGAATTTTAACATCGTTTGAAATTCCTCTAACTGATTTCTTTGGACCTTATGAGCTTCTCAACTTCACTCTGCTAGGACCTTATTCAAATAGTATGTACTTTAGCCTGGACATCTTCGTTTCAAGTCATTTTGGTCTAATTTATGAAATTATGCTGCATTTTTCTATTTGCTCATCTACCAGCACCAGCCTATGAGTATATTGGTCAATGTTCCTCCTGCATGTCATAACTCTTCTGTTTCTTAATTTTACTTTGGAATCAGGTTTAGTGCAGGTTTCTTGTTCTTAATTTCACTCTGCATCATGGTAACTTCACTGATATTGTTGTTATAGTGATCGTTGGGCCACGAAGGATGGGCATCAGGAAGGGAATTTTGGCAGCTATTATAACAGGGGCAGTTGCATCGTTTGTCATTCTTTCTGCAACTGTCATGCTTCTGATCACAAGATGCTTGAGACACCGGGACAGACCACCTTCTAGGAGACATTCATGTAAGTCCTGAATACTTGGAGATACTATCAGGTTGATTATCAATTTATCATCCTAGAAAGTGGTATAAGTTCTTATCACTCTTTGCAGCCTCGAAGATTACAATGAAAATTGATGGCATAAAGTCGTTCACTTTCAAAGAAATGAGACTAGCTACCGGGAATTTTGATAGTTCAACTCAACTTGGACGAGGAGGTATGGGAAAGTTCACAGAGGTATTTTATCCGATGACACAATTGTAGCCATAAAGCGTGCGGGAGAAGGATCCTTGGAGGGTGAAAAAGAATTCTTGACCGAGATAGAACTGTTATCGAGATTACATCACCGAAATTTGGTCTCTTTGGTGGGATATTGTGATGAAGAAGGGGAGCAGGTATGAGGTTTGCAGTCTTGGGAAATTAGTCATTGCTTCCAAGTTGCAACTGGTTTTTTTGTGCAGATGCTGGTTGAGTGCTTCAATGTATTAGAATCACATGAATGTAAATATCATTAGTCAAATTATGTTCTTGGTGCTTGTGCAGATGCTGGTTTATGAGTTCATGCCCAATGGTACCTTAAGGGACTGGCTTTGTGGTATGAAATTTCCAACATTCCTGGTTTCTTAAATGGCTCCTTCTATTCATCCATGCCTCTTTGGTTATTTCCATTGTTCTTCTCATCATTCCCCATTTTGGGACAAGAATTCTTTCTGCAGCTTGAGTTTCATCTAGCTAATTCTGCATTGAAATTTCTTCTTAAGTTCTGTACTTGCTGTGATATGACAGTTAAGGCCAAGGGAAGCCTGAGCTTTGGTATGAGGTTACAGATTGCATTGGGTTCAGCTAAAGGCATTCTTTATCTCCATAATGAGGCAAATCCTCCCATATTACACCGAGACATTAAAGCCACCAACATACTTCTGGACTCCAACCTTATGGCTAAAGTAGCCGATTTCGGACTCTCACGGCTTGCTCCTCTACAGGATGATGAAGGGACCGGACCTTCATATGTATCTACAGCTGTGAGAGGAACACCGGTACGTTTAGATTCTGCAAAGCTTGAAATGAATCAAGAATAATATAATATCTGCTACTTTCAAATCCGTTGTGAGAAATTGAGAACAAGAAGTAGGCTTTGTTCCATAACTCTTTTGTTTTGGAACCAATCATACGTGCAGGGTTACCTGGATCCAGAATACTTTTTGACAAGTAAGTTGACAGACAAAAGCGATGTCTATAGCCTTGGGATTGTGTTTCTGGAGCTCTTGACTGGTGCGCTGCCAATATTACATGGCAAAAACATTGTTCGTGAGGTAACACATTAAAACACCACTGCTCTTTCTGTGATCCGTCTGCATATGCCCAAAAAAAAATCATAAAAAATTATATTTATTTGTCAGGTGAATCTAGCTCGTCAGGCCGGGTTGATGTTCTCCATTATAGACAGCAGAATGGGATCCTATCCGTCGGAATGTGTAGAGAGGTTCCTAACTCTGGCCCTTAGATGTTGTTGTGAGAAGCAAGATAAGCGGCCAGCAATGCTGGAAGTGGTGAGGGAGCTTGAAAACATAATCAAAATCATGTCGGCAGCTGACACCGTATTTTCACCATCTGCTGCCTCATACAGTGACCAAACACCAACCTCATCATCCTACTTGACTAGAGACACATCCTATGTGTCCTCCAGTGTTATATGAAGTGATCTTTCCAGTAGTGTTGTCCCAACCATCGCGCCTCGATGATGAAAATATCCTCACATGTTAGTCACGTGAGCCTGTATATATTCGTGTCCAATGGTGGAGCCAAGAATTCTATCAAGGAGGGTCAACTTTAAATAGCTTTATAATTACATTAAACTTAGTTTTTATAAGAAAATATATTTAAGAATTCATTGTAATGACTAAATTTCAATATCACAAATTTAATATCTTAGTAAGTATAACCCAAATTCTAGCAACCTAAAAATAATGAAAGAGTATCAAAAGTTGATTTTAGATAGAATGAGAAAATCAAATAAAATTCATAGCACACGCATATAAATGACATATGAAGACATGCAAACAAATATAGATTATATTCATGTTTATTGTAGACAATGTACATTTGCGAGAAGAGTCAACAGTAAATATAGCTATAAAACAACTTGGATAACATAGATAAATATAAAATTTTCAAAATGTTGAGAAGGGTCAAGTGACCCTTGTGGGCCTTGATTGGCTCCACCAATGTTCGTGTTGTATGAAAAGAAGTTATCCTTGATGAGAATTTGGGGGGTTTCTTTGAACCCTTTTCTCCGTTTTCCAGATTACAAACAGAAAAATAACATCTTGTAGCTGAGTTTCGGATCTAAAATGTAGTTTGTCTCTGTTTTTTTGGCTATCTAGAGAACGAAAATGTGAGTAATAATGAGTAGTGTAGTGTGTGTGCATAAAGTTAGCATTTGAGATGTTGTTGTTGTAGTGTAACAAAAGAATGATGGTCATTTTACTGCATACTGAATTTTGAGTTGTTAGTTGTTACTAACAGTAACTGAGGCAAAACTGCACTCTCTTCTTCATTTTTTCTCAGTTTTGGTTGGTGAATTGGACCGAACCAAACCGAACCAGGTGCAAAAAATCCTTAATATTTCTGATTGAAAAAAAAATTCCCAAAATCACTACTCTTTATACAGTGCACACAACAATTTTCCTTCACAACAGTGCAATAGTGACATCATAAGTCATTTCTTTTTTCAATTTCTTCAATTAACCCTTCTCTTTCTTTCTTTTTCTTTTTTATTTTTTTTATTTTTATAAGAGTCGCTGGTTTTAGACAAAAACAACGTGCTGCTGAGCGCTGACCCACAATATTAAATTAAAGTCCCACCAAGGGCCGATTACCAATTGCCCCTAACTTTACTCCTACGTACGTCCAATTAGAATTTGATTTCTTTGTCCCCGAATTTGACGTTGTTTGATTTTAATCTGAATTTATTTGCAACCCGAAATCGGCGCAAGGGGTTTTTCCCGGGAATCTTCTCTCCTCTGTCTCCATCTGAATTCTTGTTGACTGACGTTGAGGCAAGGCCCGCCCCTCGCTCGTTTCCTTTTTGGGGCTCTTTTGTTCTATCGGTAAGTTTGATTTGCATTTCCTTTATCTGATTGTTAATTTTGGAATTTTTTTTTTCATGTCTGTGATTGATCCTCAATTCTAATTAGGGTTCGCATTGTTCATCGTTTCCTTGATTGATTGATTGCTATGATTTCGTCGGTAAAGATAAGAAATTTGATGAAATTTCCGTAAAGGATATTGGTTGATCAATCGCTTTCCAAATAAAAGACTTGAATTGTTAATTCTTCTTTAGGGCATAGGCATAAGGATGCTGGAATAGTTTATTTCACTTTAATCAGTTCTGTAGTTTCAAAATTCTATTACCATTTGGATTTTGCAAAGCACATTGTTTGTGAAGGTGGGATATATTTATATGAGCTTGTGATGATCCCCAAAGTCACCATCCTCCTATGTTGAGGCCTTGAGATTTTCAGGTTAATCTTATTCTTATCGGTGAAGATTGGTCTTTTGTGCTTCCTTTCGTCCTATAATTAATCAGTAATTTACTTATTTTAGCAGTTTTTAATTTTTTTACTTCTTTTTTCTTTTTTTGCTTTAACCTTACAGTTTTACAACATAATTTAAATAAAAATGTGTGGATGGTGTGTGACTGAGGAATTGTTGGTGATAAAATTTTAAAAGCTTGTTTGGCAATGAGCAGGTTGACCACACGGCTCACATCATACAAGGAGTGGTGGCTTTTTGTGGAGAAGTGGTATCTGATTTTTCAATAGAGCCCAGTGCATCCAAGAGAAGAATATAGTGGGCGTCTCTCAAGATCCCGAAATTGATGTTATGATCTTTTTGTGAAATCTGTCAGTGTGAAAATGCAGTTCACATTTGGGAAGGTTCTATTATTTTCACTCTTCCCCATAGTTCTCTTTGGGTATGCTACAGCTGAGTTTGAGAATGAAGTTTCACGAAAGCTGATATCTGCTCCACACAAAAATGTGAGAAGCAATGTTATTGATGGCACTGGTATAGAGAATTCCTTAAGTTTTGAGGATTCAAATAATGGACTGGGTGAGTTGAAAAGTGCGAACAGCAAGGTCTCAGTCTCCACTGTTGCATTATTCACGTTGGCAATGGCTGCTGCCACTGGTTTAGGTGCAGTCCCATTCTTCTTTGTGGAGCTTGATCCACAATGGGCAGGATTATGCAATGGAATGGCTGCTGGTGTAATGTTGGCTGCAAGCTTTGATCTTGTACAGGAAGGGCAAGGTCATGGTGCTGGGAATTGGGTTGTCATTGGGCTTTTAGCTGGTGGCCTTTTTATTTTACTGTGCAAGAAGGTAGTGAATTGCTCCCTCATTTTCTTCTGTCTTACTGTGTCTTTGCCATTTTTGTAAATTTAGTTGCATTTTCCCTTTAGTAAATTTGGTTCCTGCTTCATAGAATGCACATTTCCGTTGCATATTGCAGAGAGATTTTAACAAATATTTCCCTTGTAATATCTCGTTCAAATGTCTGCTTGTGTGCAGTTATGGGTTTTTCTTCTATACAATGCTAGGATGTATCAAGCTCTCATTATTCCTTACATTATTTTATTATATCTGTTTTCAGTTTCTTGAACAATATGGAGAAGTTAGCATGTTAGACATTAAAGGTGCTGATGCAACTAAAGTCGTTCTTGTGATTGGGATAATGACTCTTCATTCATTTGGGGAGGGCTCTGGTGTTGGGGTTTCATTTGCTGGCTCAAAGGGTTTCTCTCAGGGCCTTTTGGTAACTTTGGCTATTGCTGTGCACAACATACCAGAAGGATTAGCTGTGAGTATGGTGCTTGCATCCAGGGGTGTTTCTCCACAGAATGCCATGTTATGGAGCGTGATTACCTCATTACCACAGGTAATTTGTTAGTTTTCAAAATTTATGGGGTTTGAGAATAGATAACCAACTCTAGTGTATTTGCATTCTGATTCCATTACTCTTTTTACCTTAGACAAACAAATAGGATGGTAATCCGTTCAATCTGATTCAACTTCAAGTGCATGTTTGTGGTATGACTGAAATGACTTGATCTTGATTTATAATTACATTCACTTAAAGAAATAAAAAGGCGGAAGAAAGTGGAATTATGAGTACTTGTGCTTACAGTTGGATATTGCTCACTATTTTTAATCAATGTGGGTCTTTTTTGGTTCATTGGAGGGCTGTTGGGTCTAGGGCCACACAACTGGAGGTGGCCCTCTCTCATCCCATAAACTGCCTTCTTGTTGGTGAAGCAGGATTCAATTGCATAACCAAACCAAAGGACTTTACGAAGCTAGCTGAAACCTTGAAAATAAGCTTGTTTAACTAAATGGCCTCCTATTTGTATTGTTGTTGCAGCCCATTGTAGCTGTTCCTTCATTCATATGCGCTGATGCGTTTAGCAAGTTTCTTCCTTTCTGTACGGGCTTTGCTGCTGGATGCATGATCTGGATGGTTGTTGCAGAGGTGCTTCCTGATGCATTCAAGGTAACATTCCTCATGAGACTTCTCCATGTTGGTTGTTTCTTCAAGTGCTTATGTCCTTTGCAGTAGGCTTTTATAACTTTTTAAAGTAGATTATCAAAATGTTTGCAAGATTCTATATTAATCTCCAACACATTTTTTTGTTTTGGGATTTGGTTGTAGGAAGCCTCTCCATCGCAGGTTGCATCAGCAGCTACTCTCTCTGTAGCATTTATGGAAGCTCTTAGCACCCTTTTCCAGAATTTCACCCATGATTACAAGTGAGTTCATTTTAATGTTGAGGAGAATTCTGTCGCTTGCTTTTGTGTTCCCCTTTGACATGTTCTTTTCATACTTTTCACTCGCCTTTGGAAGTACTCTTATTTTTTACATGTGCTGTTTTGCAGCTCAGAGGATGCTTCTGGCTTCTTTGTTTCATTACTATTTGGTCTTGGACCGTTGCTCGGTGGCAGTGTTCTTGTTGCATTTGCATTGGCTTTCCATCTCCAGCATGCTCTTCTCATGGGTGCAGCATCTGGCATTGCCTTTGTCCTTGGTGCCTGGAGACCATTGCAGCTACTTTTGTCGTTAAAGATGGGATTTTTATCTATCATGCTTCTGCTTGCAATGGGAGCTGCGTCTGTCCATATTTTGAGCTCCAGTATTTTGAAGATTGCAGGTCGCAAAAGAACTTCAGTGCATAACTTACCCGCAGTAAATGGTTTTCCAGTGAGTGTTCACACCCTCCAATCATTCTTGGCATGTGGAGCAGTTGCCCTTCATGCTTTGGCAGAAGGGCTTGCACTAGGTGTTGCTGCACCAAAAGCTTATGGACTTGGTCGACACATGGTCCTTCCTGTCTCTCTACATGGACTCCCTCGGGGTGCAGCTGTGGCTAGCTGCATCTTTGGGGCTACAGACAACTGGCACGCGGCCCTTGCGGCGGCTGCTTTAATTGGATTCATGGGTCCAATATCTGCAATCGGAGCAATACTCGCAGGTATTGACTATAGCGGTTTAGACCATGTGATGGTTTTTGCGTGTGGGGGGCTACTCCCAAGTTTTGGAAATGTAGTAAAGAGAGCAGTTAGGTTGGATATGCGTAAAAGTAGTTGCGGGATTTTGATAGGTTTGGGGTTTGCAACTCTGTGTTTAACTTGCACTAAGTTGGTCTGCTTGCACACACCTTATTGCAATTCTGCTCCAGAGGCTGTCAGATGAGATATGGTACTCCTGCAGCTCATGCAATGTAATAGCTTAGGTGCTGAGCATGCATAGTGGTGAAAGGTTAAGCACATTCATGCTCTGGCATATAAGTTTGGCACCTCTGCTTGGGAAAGGAAGGAAACCCTTGAGGAATTGTAGAGGAGATGCTGCAAGGACTGAGGAGTGGGTGACATCAGAGGAAGCTGCTTTCAGTTCAGAGGAGGATGCATCAACCTTTGCGTGGATAGCGGAGCTTGTCTCTTGTACAGACATTAGAAAATTATGTTATGCTCATTTATGCTTACATAGAAGAAATGGGGAATTGGCATTACCCCTTTAACACTAAAATTTTATCTTTAAGCAGTTTTGATTCAGACAGATTTTACATTGAAGCAGTAGAATTCTGATGCATTGTTTCATTTGGCAGTGAGCTTTAATACCAGTCTTGATTCAGACAGATTGTTCTTTTGTTGGGTTTGAAACGCAAGGCGGCCAAGCCTGGCACATCGAACGTTGCTCCTGACTTATAAATCTTCTGATTTCTTTTTTCTTCTTTGTTTCCTTCTTACCGTGGAAAAGACAGAGTATTAAGGAAGCAAATCAACTTAAAAATCTTGTGATTTCTTTGTTCTTTTCTCTGTTTCCTTCTTACCGTGGAAAAGACAAAGTATTAAGGAAGCAAATCATACGAAAGGGGGCCAATGTGGGTGGGTCGACATGTCGTTTAGTACCTGTAGGCAGTAGTCAGGTGAAGTGGCAATGTCAAGTCGCAAGGACAACTACCACATTGAGAAACTAAAAAACAAAGTATTATTTGGTAGGCAATGAATCTGAGAAATGAAGATCTATGAAAGCATGGCCCCTAACCCAGAAAAAAAAAATTAAAATCTTCAGCATCCATCAAGAACTGTTTCATACATGCACATCTTCGTCTCAAATGTGCTAAAAAAATAAGAAACCATCCATTTTCTTAGAAATCGCATTCGTCAACCAAAATGTATACTTAGTTGAAAATTAACCATCTCAGGTGTAATGAACAAGAATTGCAAACCTGAAAATCTCAAATGGACACTAGAAAAATGGGGCATTGCTAAAATATAATATGAAGCTTATTGTAAACTGTAAACACATTCATTCAAGTTGAGCCAGCATTTCATTTCCAGATGAACTTTTAACAACGCGTAAAACTCCATCAAGCCTAGGATTTTCTTATTATTATAGCTACAAAACACCACACTCTCCACAGAGTTCAAAGTTATGAACAAAACTGATAGCAAGACAATAAAAACAAGAAGAAAAACCAAATCACTTGTAAGTCGACTGATTGCTCTGCAAATCCTCACTCTCATCCACCAATTTCTCCTTCTCTGCAGCTGATCCAACCTCTCCTCCTCCTTCCACTGATTTCGCTTCACCGACGCTCTGAGAACCCGTCAACCTCGCCAACACCACAAACGAAACCCCACCAAGCACATTGTTCAAGCACCTCAGAACCACCACAGAAGTCTTGAATGCCAGAGGGGGAAGCCCCTTTTCCAGCAAAAACTCAGCCCCATTCAAAGTTTGGTACCTTAAATTACTGCTTATACCCATGTGAGCTGCCCAAGTGAGCGCATTCAATAAAGTTGGTGGAGGCTTGTTTGGGGTCTCGAAATTCGGGTCCATCTTCTTCCTCAGTTTGATCAACCCATTTGACAAGGCAGTCCCAGCTAGCCCAGCAGCGAACCCAACAGCTGCAAAGACGGCTCCCTTGTAAACGAATGTCCCCAAACGGTTCACCAACCCATATGAACCCGGTTCGAACATGTGGCTAGCCGGGCAACTGGCGAAGATCGAAGGAAGAGTGGCAGCTGAAGCAGACAAAGTGGGTGCTAACAAATACATCAGTGTGAAGTTGAGTATGGAGCCGACGACGAGAGTCGAGAAGACGAAGTCGAGCTCGTTGAGGCCGAAATTGGGGCGAGAAGCCATGTCTCCGAGAACGCAAGAGCTCACGCCGACCACTTCCTCCATCAGAACCTTGAAAGGGAATTGGGGATCGGCTGCAACTCGAGATCTCCAACCGTTGAGAAACATACCCAGAACTCCAAAACCCTGAACCGCCGACGAAGATGAAGACGAAGAATCATCGGAATTCCCATCTCCGCCGCCGCGGCTCCAGCCTCCGCTGTTTCCACCAGCTCCGGCGCCGGAGCGGCCATCGCCATTTCCGCCGGAAAACGAAAGCTCTGGCTTTCCATCCCAAATGGGCTTGGGGACAAACGAGATTGCCCGATTTAGGGTTTTAGAGTAGGGAAAGGAGATTGAGGAATTAGGGTTGTTGGAGAAACGGCGATTATCGGAGGGATTGGAGTGGTGTCGAGCAACAGTAGAGTAACGAAGCTGGGCAGTGGCTGCCATGATTGATCTGAATCTGAATCTGAATCTGAATCTGAATCTACTAAGCTCAGCAAGTGAGTAATGTAATAAGAACCCTAAAAATGAAAAATGGTGAAGAAGAAGGCCCCAAGCAGACAACTACAAAATAGAGTATCAAGGCCGGCGGTCACTGTCGTCTGCAGTTGCGAACCCTAAAAATGAGAGACGAGTATTTTTAGTGTCATTTCTACGCGCCTGTGAGTTCCATTTTGATCACACGTGGCCTTTGAACTTGGACGCTATTGTGGAAGTTGGTGAGCAATTTGGGCCCCAAATCCCACCAAACCGAGTTCCGGGTCATTTTGGATTAGATGGTGTAAAAGGGCTTTTTGGTCATTCTACACTCCCGGGACCCCAGTTCGTATCCACTATCTGTCGGGCCGGTCTGGCAGTGAATGCGATTATACGATTACAACCCACTTTCTCACCTCGCCTTTATAATGCATTATACTCTTGTTCTTTTGATAAAAAGGCAATTAGATTAATTGGCTTAACAATACAAATGACACATATGATTAAAGGAGTCATTCTAATAACAATATAATAAATATAGGTAAAAATTCTCTAATAATTTTAGTTAATTAAAAGCTGAAACGATTTAAAGATAATCACTTTCGAAAATAAACTTTTCTATAACCTATCTCAACGCCATAATTTCCCGGAATCTAGTCCAATAACAGTAAGGACAAAAACACAGAACACTCATAGAGTTTCTAGACTTTATTAAACAAACTAAACCAAAATAAAAAATCAGCAAAAGGAAAATCAACCACCATTAATCTTCCCTCCAGACATAACATAAAAAGCGCCAACTAGTTACTCTAATGCCTCAACGCATCAATTGAGCAGTGGATTTACCATGTCCAAACCGCAACACCTCAAAAAGCAGCCTTGTAAGATAAGGAACAACCAAAGGCAGCTGAAATATGAGACAATAAATATGCCAAAGAAAGAGTAGATCAACATAAGTCCACCAAAAGCCAAAGATCTGAAGGGATTCGGAGGAAAACCCTTGGGATCTAAAGTTCTCTCTCTCTCTCTCTCTCTCTCTTACCGTCTAGAGTTTTTTAGTCACATACACTCTTGTTAACTACAAGAGTAGAGAACAAGTCAAAGTATTACAAGTTAGGAATCTCACTAATTACAAGCAAGTAATTAATTGAGGTAAATCTCCTAAATCAATTAATATAGTTGTCGTAACACTCTCCATCAAGTTGGTGCATACATATCGCTCATACCCAACTTAGCAAGAGAGCCATAAAATGCTTGAGGCTTTTATGGATGGAGCCAATTGAACAAGGTGTGGCTGTTAAATGGTGTTGAGGGTGTTGATATGCAAGGTAGGGTGGAAGTTATAGATATGATGGACTTAGATGAAGACACTGAAGTGGAAGAAGAAATGCTTGACGTTCACAATGACATGGTGTGGTGGAAGCTATAGATATGATGAACTTAGATGAACATGTTGTTGGTGTTGAGGATCATGGTAATGTTATGGGATCTTCATATAAAGATCATGCGATGTCTTCTCTTGAACATAGTCTATGCGCTCTTAATGCGAGTGTTAATCATCATGAACAAGTCGTTCTTGATATGAATGGTGGGGTGGAAGCTATAGATATTATAGACTTATATTTTAGCATTTGATCCACAATTGCTAGGCGATGAAAAATAGACTCAATGAATAGGGTTTCCACCTCATTTCCTTCAGAGCCCCCATTTTCTGAGTATTATTCTTGAAAATACCTGCAGGATGACTCAAAATGCCTAGAGGAGGGTGAATAGGCCAATTTAAGATTCTAATCAAATAAATAAAAATAAACTTCGGTAGCAGGATTGATATGGCTTATCAATCCTGTAACGTGTTGGGCATAAAATAAAAGAACACGCAGAGAATTATTTTACGTGGTAAAACCCCACCTATGGGGAAAATCCACGGGACTCCTCAGTCCAACACAAATCCACTATAGAACGATGATTACAAGAAGTACTCACACACTTATCCTAGACACATTCTAGATAATGTTTACCGACTTTTTCGTAACTCAACTTCTGTCACGGGATGATCTTCGACACTCCTTATGTTGAACGCAATACTGGCCACGATTGCTTCAAGCTCACCGGAGGAAAACCGCCACCACGGTCTTGGTGCCCTCAACCGTATGAGTCACCGACATGCATATGAATGCAATATGAATGATTAAAGTGTTTGATAAATCACCAAGTAAACATTGAACACTTGATGATTTATCTCAAATATACGCACAACAGCTTTTCTTAGAATTCTATATGCTCAGAACAAATATCTCAAAAGCTGTACAAATAAAAGAATGGCACATGATCTTTTATACAAGACTTGTTCTCTCTCATTGGAGAGAAACCCAATAGGCCACGAATATTAAACTTCCTATTGCACCACAACCTATCATCAATAAGAGATTTGATTCACCTTGGACTCAAAGTAATGACGCCTCTCTTTAAACCAAATTAACTAAGAGGTAAGCAACGTGCAAAGTCACAATAGGAAAAGATAATATTTTAACTTCAATTAAGATAGAGTTGAACTAGGAAAGTAATCTCAAGAGATAAAATCTAATCTTATTAAAAATAAGATTAACATAAAAATACTTGAGTGAAAATAACTCCAACTAGGAATCCTATAATGAATGCGTGATTATGTCATGATTTACCTGAGGTCAAGATTCTCATATGGTCAGGGCATGCCTCGGAAGTGTGGGGTTGAAAGAGTAGTGACAAAGCGTTCAATAACAATTCCTCACAAACTAATTTTCACCCTATACTAAAGTCTAGGAAATGCCAATATGAATTTCGTACTAACAATTCTCACATAGCATAATGGCACAATCGGATGGTCTTTTTATCTCTCCAGCTCGAAGGTTGCAGACAAATTTTTGGATCATCATAGAGGAATGCAAAAGCTTAGTCGAACTCCTTGAAATCCCAAATCAAGTAAGGTATTTATTGGGTTCTTCAGTTTTTGGTTCTTGCTTGGGTTCTATTTTCGTTCTGATAATTTTCTTGCATGTGTTCAATATAACAATATGTTGTTCATGATGATTAATAACATGTAAGGTTTCGAGAAAGATATTACTTAATCATTTAAGATATTGTAATAACGTGTAGGATTCGTCTGGACACAACGAATTCCACCTGTTGAACACATGTAAGAAAACTATCAGAAAGAAAATAGAACCAACCAAAACCTTACTTGATTTGGGATTTCAAGGTAGGGGCTCTTGAGAACATGAGATGGAAAACCTAAGCATCGTGTCTAATTTTCATCGCCGAACAATTGTGGATCAAATGCAACAATGTAAGTCTGTCATATCTATAGGTTTCATCCCCACTTTGCATATGAAGAACGAATTGTTCATGATGATTAATAAGAACCAGAAGAGCGAATCCCAGAAGAGCGAAAACAAGAAGCCAAAGCACGAAACCTAACCTTCATCTCTTCGCTTCTCACCATTTTCAAAACTCTTTCATTTTTTTTCTTTCTTACTACAACATATGCGGAAGTGGTTAAAGAAGTCGGCTCTAATACTATAATACATAAGGTGTAAAGGGTTAATTTTGTATTTTTGGGATTTTGTAGTATCACGAGTACCTAAGGCTTAAAAAGAAAATGAAAATGCCAAGTAACACATCAGCAGTTGAATCTGAAGCCCATTGCCAGGCTTGCATATGGGAAGGGGCTTGCTGTGAGAAGAAACATTTGCCCAAAGCAAAAGATATATATGATTTGATTGATATATCTGAGAAGAAGTAGTGTGGTGAGTGAGAGAAGTGATGTGATTAATTGCAAGTGGACAATATCGCTCAAATTAGTATAGTAGTAAATAGAGTATCGTTCCAACAAGGATCAAGCTAATCTATTAAATATTAGAGTAATTTATTTCTAATTATATTTGAATTAAAAAATAAGAGAATTATGGTGATTAAAGCAAGTAAAATAAATTGAGATTAAGTAAATAATGTAACAAATGAAAACAAAGATGATAAAGCACTAGGAAACCGATTTCACCTAACTAATCCCACCCAAATCCTTCTATCTTGTTAATCTTAATAACCTAACATGTTGATAATCGTTTTCCCATACCTCACCAATACTCTCTTCTGAGTTATATTAGTTGTGTTCCGTACCGTCAACCCACTCTATTCCTAGTTATGGATTTAGATGGCTAAGAACTCATTAAGATTTGTGGAAAACATTAAAGACTACACAAACCATAACCTAATCTTCCGAGTCAGCTATGTAATTTATGGTACTTGTTACAATAATCTATTTATTAGGAATCTCCTTCCGATCTCAACCTAATTCTTCCAATCAGGCAATTAGTGGTCAATTAATTGAAAGCATTAAGAACTGTAACAAGCACTCAATATATATATATAAATAAAATTAACAATATCAAAGAATTTGAGTATTCATAGCTACACTACATCATAGCCCTAGTAAAATAAATTAGTTCATGATGGACTTATTGAGAATCATGATGGTTGATGAAGACATGGAAGGCACCGAATTCTCCAAGTAGAACTCCAAGGTTGTGCAAGCTCTCTTTGTGTTCTCCTTTGAGTATTTCGGCTATGAGTATGAATGTGTGGAATTCGATGGTAGATGATACTTGATCAATGGCCAAAACTCTCTATTTATAGTACTCCTAGCAATCCTACATATCTAAGGTATAATTACAATTGTTATAAAAATAGGATTTCTTCTAATATAATGTCTTCTTTATTTCTCTTTGTTTAACTTGGTAAGACTTGAACCATCTTGAACTATGAATTTTGACAACATTCCTTTTGATGAAGGGAATTATTTGGCTTCTTTTTAATTAATATCCAATCTTTATCTTCTTGCCCATTTTTACCTCAATTTCTCATATTTCACAATTCCTTTACAAATCTCACAAAACCAATTAAAACAACCAATTTAATCCAAAGAAATTAACAAATAAATAAGTAAATGAGGCATAAAATATATATATATATATATAATATGGGCTTATCAAGAAGGCAAAGATATATATATATATATATATATATACAGTCCCCTTCTATTGCGGGATCCCTTAAATAAATTTGAGAGACGCCTTTTAGGATACCCTACAATTTTTTTTCCAATGATCCAAACCATCTATTTTTTAGGTCTTCATTCATAGATCATACTTACAAAAAATTAGACAAATCAGAAACTGTTTCAACATCCAATTGTATCCTACAAAATTAATCAACACGGTGCTTCAAGAAAGTACTAAAATTTCAATAACTCAATTGAATGGTCAAATCATATCGAATTCAAGTGATTTTTTGTAGAGATGATCTTTGAATGAGTATCTACAAAATAAACGGTTTGGATTAGTGAAATACAATCCAGAGAAGGCCCTACAAGGGGTGTCCCTCAAATAAGCTTATTTGATAGATCCCTCAATGGAAACTCTCTATATATATTTGTGTGGAGGCAGTTGTCACTAAAAAGATAAGCGTTGGATTCATGGCTGAAATGGGGGAATGGTCTACTATGGACGGCGAAGAAGAATATATTTCTACTGTGGACGGCGGAGGGAGAGAAAAGGGTGGAGGTGGTTGTGGCAGAAATCAGTGAATGGTCTAGGGTTCCTACGTGGGTCAGGAGGATGCATCAGGCAAGATGAAGGGTAAAGAGAGAAACTAGTAATATATACCATATATATAGCTTTGGTCTCTTTGGTTTGTTTGACTCCAACTTTCCAAATAGTCAATGTTTTGTCGACAAGTTGGTCAAACTCCAAGTCCAAGGTACAACTTAGGTTAGGCTAACTCGATCCAAATTAGAGGTGTCAAATGGGCAGTGTTGGGTTGGCTCAGCTTGTTTAGAGTCGGTCCATTTAATAAACAAGGCGTGTTGAGCCCTGTCCATTTATTAAAATCATCAATCCCAGCTCAAACCTAGACCATATAAGCTCGGACTAACCCAATCTGTTTGACACCTCTAATGTGGATTGCCAAGCCTACTTGGGTTTTTTTCACTTGGTTTGGTTGTTTGACACCTCTAATGTGGATTGCCAAGCTTACTTAGGTTTTCACTTGGTTTGGTTGCTTGGTTTTTTCCCTTGGTTTTGTGGCCATGGTCGAACTAATGTAAACTGTAAATGCTTATAATTTAGAGATGTCATACATGTTTTCTTAAGTCTGTTTTCCAAACTATCGTAATTAGCGGACGTGTTAACTTGCACAAGTAGCTCAATCGTAAAACAGCGAACATAAGACGATCTGCAAACTCAAACTTTTCATATTCGAGCAAACATAAGACGATTTGTAAACTAAGACATTATAGATTCGATGCGAATAGACTCGGATTTATCTAACACCATGCCCGCGCGAAGTTAACTACAGACAACAAAAAGCCAAATGGTACATAAAAATTTGAACTAATAATTTGAAGACAGCTCTCAAACTCGAGCTACTACCATGTGGGTTTGTTTGAACTCTCTTGTTTTTGGGATCATTAAGCAAGCAATGTTGAGTTAAATAGCATATATAAAAGCTCTCGATGGCCCCACTGGCCAAGAAGGTCGCTTCTTAATATTTAGAAAGATACTTATCATCCAAAATCAAGTGATTAGGAGCTTAATGAATCGGCTTGATCGCTTTGAGACCAAGCCAACTGTATGTCGTCTTATATGAATGCAACAACATTGAAGACTCCAAAGAGACAACTTAAATAATTCAGAAGCACATGTAAAGAATCCAGACTCTGTTTACATACTTATAATATATAAAAAATATGGCATCTGACATGCCCTACAAAGCTAAACTCGACCCCATTGTCTTAAACTCTAATGGTTGCACAATTAATTAATATATATATATATATATATTTTTTCACACTTCTCAGAAGTAACTAACACAAGAATAAATCCAATGAATGTATTAGGTTTACACAGAAAACTGACCTCACCAAACCTACTCGAGAGCCAACTATATAAATTTCATCATTTTTTTTTGTTTTTTTGTTGATATTTTTCTGTTTCGGGTCTTTGTCAGTCTGTTGTTCCAAAAAGAAAGAAAAACAAACCAAACAAAAACCACCAGAAAGCTCACCAGCAAGAACTGTTAGCCTATTTTTCTTGTAGCCATGCTGATGGAAATGTGTATTGCAAGGCATTCTTGGCCATGAGTTTATGGAGGGGAGGAGTGAACATTTCAAGCAGGATTTATATGAGCACTCATCGACCGGTTTTTGCGCGTTTCATTCCGCTTGAATTGAAAGGAGATACACTACCGCTTGGTCCAGGACTTTCTTCTCTGAAATTTGAGTTTAGCAGAGCCAACTCACGCAATTGCTGCCTCTTAATAAAATCCTGTGACTCATCCTGCAAGTGAAAGGTTTATATCCCAAAAGAAAGAAATGAAGAGCTAAGGTCAAAATTGGGACAAAGGTGTTTTTCTAGTTAAAATACAAATATAGAATTGTCAGTAATAGCATCCATAAACAAGTTCCTCTGCAGGGAAAGAGAGCTCATAGCCTTGTGGATCGACTGATCCTAACTTTATAAGTCTGCCTATCAAGCATAAGTATTGGCGCCCATGCAGCTTAACAAGTGGATGTGAAGTTTTATCAAATTTCCTCTCAAGACATAAACAAGTAAATATGGGCCTAATAAAAAGTTCCAGGACAGAGATACAATGAGGGTTAGCCATCCTGATTCCTTCATGATTATCATGACTATCTAACAAGAAATTCAAAAGACTGAAGATAATTACCACAGGTTTGAGCAATTCTTCTATAATTTCCTGCGCCTGTCTCAGCCTTATATCAACAACATTGGCAGGTAAGTCCGCTTCAATTAAGATGTGGAGTGGTTCATTCAGATGCTCATACCCTGGTCTTCCCCGAAGCTTCTCCTCCTTGATATTGGAAAATAATACGAAATTATTAAGCTAGTGAACCAAAAAGGAAATCTTATCAAGTAGCGTTATGAAATTTTCAGAAATTTTCAACATTCCAAAAGTCAATTTTGACTGATCATAGACGGCAAATTCTTAGTATCAGACTAGAAAAGAATGAACAAGTGTATTACCTTGTCTGGATCCTTAATAGATCCTTTGCCTCTAATGTATACACGACAACCTGTAGTAGCTTCAACCCGTTTCAGAGAATTACCTCTCGGTCCAAGAAGTCGCCCAACAAAATTGAACTAACATCCACAAGCAAACAGAATGTTCAGTTATTTATTATTACATTGAGGGAACCAATCAAGCTGACTTTAAATGCTACAAGTATGCAAATGACTTACATTGGGGTAAGTATCTACAGGAATTTCCAAACGTAAAATCCTCTTCACAGTGTATGAACTAGGGCTCGCAGGTGCACCTTGCCAGTCCATTGTCATTCCATGTGGTCCACCTAATCTCTGCTATGTAAAAGGGTCTTGACATCTTAGAGATGTAACATTCGTAATAAAAACCAAAGATAATAAATAGAGAAGGATGGCAGGCAGTAAAGTTGAGAAAAAGCATGTGAATTCTGGTAGAATCACGCATTGGAGACACATATGTTTATTAAAGAAAGAGATGACAGGATTAACACTCACACTTTAGGTAACAAATAAGAAATTCTTGTTTCAATAGAGTACAACCAAACACATAAATAGGAGATAAACATGTACAGACAGGTCATACCCAGCTTATGAGTCATAAATCCACATTCCAAGACAATCAATGTTTGATTTCTTTATATTTCTCACCTCGCATCACATTTTGTGCTTTAAATATTGTTAGACATGCATATAACTTATTATCTCTGTTTTTATGAATTAATTACAGGTGAAAGAGACTTTCAATACCAAGTTCATTAGCACTAGAAGATAACTCTAAAATGCACAACCAAGCGTATTTCCTTTTGAACCTCCTCTCCAACAACATTTCACTTCATGTAGGTAAGAACTGGTTGTTTAAATTTCATATATAGCATTTGTGTGGGCTAAAACCCAAGTTCACATTAGGAATTGGGGGCCAAATTAGTTCATGATAGAAAGCAGAATGAATAAGAAGAAATCAAAATTCAAGTGGGTCTAAATACCAAGATCCTTGAATGAGTGCAAAGGACCCCTGTATCAGTTTAAAACCCAATCTCAAGGGACTTCTTGCACAATATATAGGCATTATCAGTTAATTGCCGTGGTCCCAACCCTTTTCCTATAACCTTTTGCTATGTACAAGAAATTTTACCTAGGACACAACTTTATAAAGGCATGAAACACATTTTCACCTCAGAGATGGGTAGTTATGTATTGAATGAAGCTGGAGGAGAAACAGTATTAAATCGCAGCTTACACAGACAATCAATAAAATAATACACAAAATGCAATGCAGGGACTTCAAAAATCAGAGATGTCTCTCTGAAAATTAAAAAAACAATCACCTCTTGAGGAAGTCCATTCCAGCCACCCAATCCTGTCCCAGTAACATTTGACATAAGGTTTGAAGAAGCCATTGGACTAGGACTTCTATGTCGCATTCTGTCAAAGTCACCAAAACCTTGGTTGGACATCATTCCAGAAACCCGTAAAATCTCTGCACAAAGAAACATATCATATGAGAAACTGGCCACACTATTGGAAAGGACATTCCAAGGTGAAGTTATGAAACTATACAGAACTAAGTTAAAAGGCCATCATAACCATGAGAAATAGAAAAGGGGAAGAAACCTCAGCATAGTGTAGACCTAGTTTTTGCAATGTAACACACAACCACACCTTGATGTGGATACCGCATAGGAGGGTTGGTCAATAGAAGAAGTTCAATGAGCTGCATTTTCAGTGAGTAAAGAAGCCTATTAAGGTCAACTAATCACCAAAGCAGAGAGTACATTATCACCTCTGTAAACTGGATATATACTGGATATCTACTAAACTGGATATCTCCTAGAAGGCCATCAAAATCAGCATTCCTTGGGTGTTCATCGTGTGTATATTACAAAATATATTTACCTTTACCTTTAATTCCCCTTCCATAACTTTTTACAAGTCATCCACATAGACCCATTTTGGCAGTTCAAATTAACTGAAATGCAGACACTTCAATGCATTCAAATTCACATTTTAGACGCCTGCACTCCCTATTGCAACTAGGTGATGCATAAGACCTTTAGATGGTATAGAGTCTATGGACATAGGGAAAGAGGGGGGGGAATGCAAAGCAGGTATAATTGATGTTGCAACTTTGCATAACTCATCAATATACTCAGTTAAGGTTAGGGGGGTAAGTAGTAATGGAGCCTATTGTTATCATAAAACTAGGAATCATTGAAAATGACTCAATTATACACAATGCTTTGAGTCTAATTTCAACGAAAATTCCAACTTCCCCATTGGAAAAGAACGAAAAACACAATGAACTCAGACTTAAGCATTAGAATGTGTTAAAAACAGGGCTGCAGACACTGTTCCACAATGAAATGTGGAGATGAATGCACGATCAGTTAAAGAACAGCCCTTTATAACTGAGGAAACGAGCAGCCAACGGTCATGAGGTAAAAACCAATCAGACCGATCTGCCTAATAAAGGAAGCACATTTCATATTTCCAAAAATACAGTCATGGGGACAAGAACAAACGAAAATGGAATAAACCTAGTATACCCCATAAAAGTCTAGATCCAAAACTCAAAGATGTGTAAGTAAACCTTGATTCAAGAGTCGGCTGCATATCGGAAGTACTTGCATGAAAGGTCCAAGCTTCTGGTGCTCTGCTAACAGCTCTGACAAGTACTGACTAGAAAACAAGAGGCACGTATAGATCAAAAACAGGAGCAAAATTTGTTCAACATAATCAAATTAAAACAGAGCAAAGTTCATTACCAAGACTGTATCTTTCTCAGGGCAGTTTAGTTTTTAAAGATTTAAAAGAAAGGTTCTAGAAGGGATATACAAACCTGTCAACATCTGGGGTGCTTCTAATCTGAGGAGAAGCAGCTCTGGCAGGCGAGAAGTTGGGATTATACAAGCCCGACATGACTTTTCTGTGCTTTTCTCAGAGAATTTGAACACACAAAAGAATGGAAGGAAAAGGGTTTTAGTTGGTGTTGTTGCAGAAGAAAAAGGAGAGACAAAGCACCATCAATAAAGGGAGTTTGTAATAGGAGAAAAATAAAAATTTATATAAATAAAATAAAGATAAAAGGAAAAGAAAAGGGTCAGACAGCTCTCTCTGAATTTTGCAGAAAGGAAGGAAAATCTTTAATTATTTTCTTCTGCTTTGTCACCAGTTTCCCTTTATACATATTCACCCTTGTCTATGCAGAGAAAGGAAATAAAACAAAATCAAAAATGTAAAAAAAATTAAAGGGTAGTGAGAGACTGAGTGTGAGTGCAAATAAAAATTGGATCTTTTTGGTTTTAAGGAAGCTAAAATTAAGGTGGTAAAGATTCACTCACAGGAGACTTTTCATTTCACAGTGACCCATGAACTCAGAGAGAGAAAGAGATAGAAAGACAGAGACGCAGAGAGAGAGAGAGAGAGAGTTTTTACTGCTAGTTGAATGTTGGGGTTTCAGTGTTATATACCCAGAAGAAGTCTATTAGGAACGGATGACACGTGTTGACCATGCAGAGAATCAAGCTCTGTAGAACTCAACAGAGAGGTCCCAGACAAGCAAATAGCCTCGATGGCCAATGACAATGATGTTGCCAACGAAAGCTTAGCTGGTCAGAGACAACAAGCCGTACCCAAAACTGTGTCGTTTTGCTTGGTCAAGGAAATTTCCATTTACCATGTTTCTGGTTTTGTGTAGAGTGGAAGTGGAGGAGTAGAACTCTTCTTTGACCGTTTTTATGGCTTCCTAATCCTACTGTGCTTCGAAAGGTCCTCCTTTGGTTGGACTTTGGATCACTCCAATGTTTATTCTTTATCTCACAAATTTACACCAAATGAAATTGTTAATCTTTTTAACCACCCTTGTTTTTGGGAATTCATGGTAAACAGCAAATTGGAAACCAAAAATTTTGGTATGTTTCTCGCTGTCCAATCGAAATGACCTGAAGTAAACAATAGCCTCCTCCCCTCTCAGGTATTTAAAACAATGGAGGCAAATCATCACCTAATATGGAACCAATATGTTATTTTCTTTTTGGGCTCCTCTCTTTCCTTTTTAGGGCTTATTACTCATGAATACCCTTTATTGTAAGGGTGTCTCATTGATGTTTAACTTATAAAATTCAATTTCTTTCTCGATTGTCTCGTATGAAAGGAGTCTCGTGGTATAACAAATCTCACTGTAAAAGTGAGTTCCAAATCATTTTCTATTAAGATATATTTTAACGATCAAAGTAGTGCAAACATGGACAACTCTCAAGGATAAATCTCTTTTAATATCTGATTTCATTAGAAGAGTTCTACCAACAATAAAAAAGTATTGGGGGTTCAAATCTCTCTCTGTATGTCTCATAATGATAATGTATATTGATAACTAATCACGCGACATGGGTAATTGTTAAAAACACGAGAAATACTTGTGTGGAACGGGAATAATATTGTTTTGTTATCTTTGGTTACTCACAATATGTCCCGCGTGATAATTTTTTCACATAACATACCGTGATTGACTATATAGTTACAAATTGTGCTTTAATTGCACATGAGTATTTTTGACAGTTGGGTTTAAATAGCAAAAACAAAAAACACATATTTCCTATTTTTCTCTCTCATTCACCATTCTCTTGTGTCACCTGGCGGTGCTTCTCACCTCATCATAAATAGTTTTGTAATATTAATGAGTTTAAACAATTATTATTGCCGCGTTTGATTGTTGATAAGATTAAAGTATCATTTTGAATTTTTATTTTATAATCAACGACCTATAAATTTATTTTTTTTATTAAAAAAAAATTAACGACCTAGAAAAAAATAATAAAATTCATGTGCTTTTTTTTTCAAGTAAGGAAATGGTCGTGCATATCCAAGGCTCAATTTTCTAATATCCCAATAAAAATATATTTGATCGGTGGGAAAGCATATGATAATGGAGAGGGTTAAAAGTAAGTGGTGGTATTTTGTTGCGAAGCTGTAGCTGTCTTCAACAGGTTAATTAATAAGTTAATGATATTAATGGCGATTAGTATGAAGCTAATCCACCTCACACGTATTGGTTTGACAGCTTAATTCAATCTAATAATAAACTACTATGCCAATGTATTTGGATTTTTGCAGGATCCAAAAAATCAAATAATTAATGTCCTATTTATGATGATTTTATTTTATTAGTATTCCGTTTTTTTTTTTCAATTTTGTCACATAAATTGGGTTAATTTTTATTTTAAAAATAAAAATTATAAAAATGCACTAATGTAAAAGGTTTTAACGAGGCCACATTGTTGCACGGCTTATTTTCAGTAATTCTGGCTGATTGTATGATGTTTATTTGATTTGAATGAAGTCCATTTGTTTTTGAAAATAAATAAATAAATATGAAAATAAAGTAATAATATGAAACCAAAAATAAAATGGGGAATATTAATATATATTTATCTCTAAATGTCAAACTGGGTAGGGCTGGATGGAGCTCCACAAAAAATGATTGTGATGCTGATGCATGCAGGCCACGATTTGACTAGTCTATGTGTGAAGTATGAACTCAATTCAAAAGGAAAAAGGCGTGCCAACTCTTTTATTTTATATGGATGGGAAAAATAATAATTTAAATTAATTAGGAATTGCTTTGATATTTATTGAATAAATTAAGGTCTTCAAGAAAGAAATAATTCAAAATCAGTGTAGGCTTCCCTACGAAAATAAGGCAGGTCATTATCCAATATATGATCAGTGGTGGTTCTTTTTGAATACTTAGATTCAATAGCTTGGTTTCCACCCTTCGTCACATCTAATTATATTATCCACCCCATTTCAAACAAATGAATACAACATTAACCAAGTGTTTTTAAGGATTCTCAAAAAGAGGAAAATTAAATATGATACACATGGCCTTTTCTTTTCTTGTGTCATTGTCTTACTAGGGGGACGTGATTGCTTTAGCTCCTCACCATGTTTTTTAGGTATTGATTCTCTTCCATTTGAGTTGTATGTGTCATCGATTATCTTACATTTGAGTTGTATGCATCATCACTCATCTTACACACGAGTTACATAGTCATCACTCATCTTACACACGAGTTACATGCGTCATACAACATGTACACACAATGTTAAATGTTGAATAAAAGCAACTGACAAGTCACGTGATGAGCAACTATATTAACTAGTAAAACAATTATGCTAAACGGATGGCATAGACACGTGCACATAGTGTCAAACGACAACAAGGCGTGCACGTTGTGTCATAAATAACCAATCATCTCTAAATAAATAAATCCAAGTCTAGAATCAATCTTAAAAGGAGTTGATAATTAATTGTGATAAATATGTGATTATGTTTATATGTGTTAAGGCCCAAAAATCTACGGTTGTGCCCAAATAAATTATTGGCCCAGTGCGACACCTTATTAAGAAAAGACCCGGTTCGAAGCACGCGAAATTCGTCATGCACGCTTTCACGAGCCACGACCACGTGTCATGCCAAATAAATATGCAATTTATCACGCTAAGAATTAAAATGAGCCTATAAAAGGCATTGGCTCTACAAGCCCATGCTAATTATTCCGTCAAGCACTATGTCTCTCTTCAAAGCGATAAAATTCAAGCACGCCAAGCGACGTGCAATGCCAAGCGAAAAATAATTATTATTACACCTAGCCACGCTACAAGCTTAAGTGGGCCCAAGCCACGCAAATGCCCGGGGCTTGCTTAAGTGGGTTGTGATATGGATGGTAACGAGCTTTCATGAGGCCCATTAATGAGCCGAGAAATGGAAGTTTTGGGCTGCTTGGGAGCCCCAAAACTCAGCCCATTTCTTGAGCCCAAATATATGGGTAAGTATAAAAAAGAGGAAAAAGCCCAAATACCCTAGAAAATTAGCTTGAATACCGTAGAAAGTTAGTCCATCACTTAAGGAAATTAGCTTATGTTCTTAATGGGCTACTAACTCATCACTTTAGCAAGGCCCAAATAGCTTAGAAAATATCCAAAAATCTCCAACACATGGTTTGAAATGAAACCACGATAGAAAACCATGAGATGTTTTTACGCTCAGGTTACTAGGAGACTCCAACACATGGCCAAAGACAAACCCAACGCAAGCCATCAGAAAAACTAAGGGATGCTTAAGCAAAACACCCTTCATACCAGCGTACATACCCATTTCTTTCCCCCCACCAGATCTTGCCATGAAATAGGGGAGGAAATGAGGAGAAATGACAGCCAAAAATAAGAAATCACCACTGATAAGCCTAGAGCTCCCAAAACCCTGTTTCTGGTGCGATTGGGCAAAGGAGAATTTCACAAAATGGAATGGATCGAAGGGAGAGAAGAGAAATTAAATGGGAGACTTGGCAAAATTGGAGAGAACATATTAGGGTTTCTTGGGAAGGAGAAGCTTCCAATGACTATAAAAGGAGATACCTCCTACCCATTAAATTCAACCTGAGCAGTGGAGCAAGCTTATTCTCTAAACTACTTGAAACATCAAGCCAAGTGCCTCACCTTCTATCTCCTTCTTCTTTATCCTAATCAAGACACACATTTAGATAGCAAGCTACATCTTTCCTCCGTGAAACCTCTGCAATTTCGAGCCATATTCCTCAATCTCATCCCATTTTCTCTTCTGTTAAAACACTCCAAAGCTTGACAGATTTTTCGTCAAGCTGCCGGAAACTACTCAACACACTCATTATACTCTCATCTCTCTCCCTCTTCAACAAACCCTCATAGAATCCATTCCCTCTTTTTATGTTAAACTTTCAAAAGAACTCACATCTCTCTATCTGTTTATGTTAAACTCATGATGATTTTGCTCCTATTCCACAAGCTTCTCATGCCAAGTTAAGAATCTATCTGTAAGCAATTGTTGTTTTTGCTGGTGAAAATAACCAGGATGTTTCCTAAGGCTTCACTATCCTTTCGAAGCATTCTTGGGGCTTAATTTTTGAACTCAGGCACATGGGGTAATTTCACATGTTTTTCTTTTCAGCAGCCCAAGCTCATTCGTCAGGCTGTTGGAATAAAAAGACCCCTACAATATGAAAGTTTGATTGATTAGGCAATTGAAATTTAACTCGAAACTTTTGAATTCAAGCTTACTCAACATGTAACTTGAACTAACACTTTAGCAAAGCTGAGCTATTACTAATATCGATTATGAAGATTCACTATAATACCCAATATATGAGCCGAAATTATTTAAAAAAAAACCTATATGAAATGGACTTTAGAAACACACCCAAAGCTCATTTATAACATAACAAAAAAAGCTTTTAACTTCTTTTAAATTTCAAAACTGCCACTGATTTCTTAAAACAAACCAAACCCAAAAACCTCATAAAAAAAGTCCAAAATACTCAATGGGGCATCAAAGTAATTTAATAATTAAAATTAAATTCAATAGGGCAATTTGTCATTTTTTTGGGGTATATTTATAGAAATTAAATAGTGTAGAATTTATTTATAGTTTTAGTGTTAAGAATTGGTATATGACTAAATATCTCTATCGATTACTTGTAATATGATTGTAAACCAAATTGTAGACATCAAAATGACCTAATTTTAAATCCACATATTCAAAGGATTAAGGAGATGAGATGAAATCATGAAATCCAAATCCGACAATCAACCTGAAATCATAAAGGCTACAAAATAGGGCCAACTGGCCCAAGAGAATGAGAAGATCAGGCCCCTCCCCTAGAAAGTGCCGCTTTCGAATTGGGCTCAAGGAAGAAGGCCGCTCTGTAAAAAAATGAAAATTAAAAGAAAAAACAAAAGGAGTCTCCGTCTCTTGCCTATCGTCTATCGTCTCTGTTACACAGACTGCGGAGGTAAACCAGCTGAGGAAAGAGAAGAAGAGAAAGCTTGAGAGTGGACGATGTCGCTGGTTTGGATGGAAGCTATTCTCCCTCTTGGGATCATAGCAGGAATGCTTTGCGTCATGGGAAATGCTCAGTATTATATCCACAAAGCCGCTCATGGCCGGGTTGGTACCTTCTTCTTCCATTGTTAGATCCAATTTCGATTCTCTCAGTCTATCTTGCAGAATTGAAATTCGTATGAATCTGGGTTTGAAATTTGAAATTTTCGATCTTTTGGCAGCCGAAGCACATCGGAAATGACATGTGGGACGTAGCCATGGAGAGAAGGGACAAGAAGCTGATAGAGCAGGCGACTGCTCCTTCTTCTAATTAGACCGTCTTTTCCGGTACTCATCTTGTTTGGATTTTGGGTTTCGATTTTGCGACCATTTACCTTAATTTTATTGATTTTTTGGATTTTGGGTTTTTGTTTGCTTGTTTTGGTTTACCGTGATTGTTCAAGTTCATTGCTTGTCTTTTGCTGCATTAAGATTAATTGTGAAGTAAATGATTTTTCTTTTAAGCTGAGTCCTAATCTGTAAATGGCTTGTCTGCATTATGAGTTCGACATATGCAACTGTATTGGGACGGGTCAAATTAGTAACTATTGAGGCGATGGTGCACAAACGTATATATTTTGCCTATAGAAGCTTTGACAAACCCTTGTTAGAAGGGATTATATCATGTGAGATTGAGAGGTTGAGCTACTACATGAGTGAAGAAAGAATTAGAAGAGTTTGTCATAGTCTTGTTTAAGCTATATGCACCTATCAAGGTGCGTTCTTTCAAAGAAATTTGATATTAAATTATGAAACTTATGCTCGCTGTGTTAAATTGATACGAGACTATGTAAGTTTTTGCGATATGAAATTGTCAAATGATCTTACCTCATAGACGAACTACTAGATACTTACTGTTCAGTTATACCTACCTGTATCACATAGATTCACAGGTGATACAGATGGTGCAGTTGCTTTATGGTTTATAGTGATGGCTTTGGTTTGATGTAGGCCCTTGTCTAGACTATCTGTATGAAGAACTGGATGAAGTGAATTTCTGACTTTGCTTTATGTCTTGCTGCTTATTCTTTTTTTTTTTTTTTTTTTTTTTTTTTTTTTTTTTTTTTGGGTGGGTTCCTGATAGAAAAATAGTCTTTGATTTAGCTTTCTGTTACAAAATAGCCTTTCATCATCTAAGCTATGATTATAGGAGTTGATTGATAAAGGTTTTCAACTAAAGTGGATTTGAAAAAGTTATTTGATCAGGAAAATTCATCTTGAGAGTTTCTTGCCAGGCATTTCTATGCATCCTAGTTGATGTGGGAGCTGCAAGAACTCATGACATAATTTGATTTTGGGAAGTGTGTGTCACAACTCTTTACCTGCCCCGAAACACAAGTGTGACAGTCCCAGATCTTGTATGAATATTCTTTAGTAATCCACAAATTTGATAGTTACAAGCTCGTGTATGATTTTCATGAGAGGAACCATAGTGATTTCATAGTGCAAGAGCCTACCCTTAAAGGGAGAAAGAGATGTTTAAACTTCAAAATGCAAATGCAGAAACCCTTTGTTTATAGTCAATACTAACTGTTTTAAAGTTTTAAGATATTAGGAAGGAATTTGTGGTATCATGCTTTTGTCTTTGGAAGAGTCTCAGATACAAACTCTAGTGTCTCCATTCTCACTTGTGTAAATGTGCATGTGTATGCTTCCGTTACCTTGGCCATGGAGCTTATATGATATCGTGGTGCAAACTGCAGGAACCTTTGCGAATGGAATCTTGAGAAGTAATAAAGTCGTCATCCCATTCGGAAGGAGCCTAGAGCAACTCCAATCTCAAATCTTTTCGTTGTATGTGAATTTTCATAAGCTGTTAAAACTGTCCATGGAAAAGTTTATGTACTCCAGTTATTTTTATTTGTAACGTTAACCTTTGGAGATAAGCTTGATTTGTTTGAGCTTTGTGTGATCCGAGAATGTCTTACAATCGTGCAGTTATTTCTGGAATCATAGAGGCTTGGTTCAATATGACCTAAAACTTGATAGGTGATAGAAAAACTTTGATAAGCAGAGAAAATGAGCAGAAACTTTGGAAGGCTAATGAGGAAAAGAAAAAAACATAACCATGTATGATTTGGCTTAAAAACAATCAATCTGGTGCTCCCATTATACAAGCCTATAGGCATTATGTGGGATTTAAAAAAGATAATCAACTTAATTGTGGAACTTTTATGATCCAATTAAAAATAAAAACCGAAAAAGAAAAAAGAATCAGTGTTGCTGTTGAAGTTGCAGTAAGTGGTAGAATCGAATTGAATGAACACATTAGTGGCAGCGATTTTATCTTCCACACAAATTATATACAGTAGGTGAGGTGACCCATCACACTTCTAAAGCTTCGTTGAACTCTGACCTAAAAAAAGGGCTGCATTGAACTCTTATTCCGCGAGAAGGCAAATCTGGTGCATGAACAAGAAGAGCAAAATGATTAACTGTAGGTTTTTGAATTTTGTCAAGGGATTAACCGTAGGTCTCACAACGATGTATATGATGCCCATGCGCACATGGGCGATTGAGCTCAATACTCAAAATCATTAGTTGAAAGACTCTAGTTAGGTGAGAAAGATTGCATCTTCAATTTGATGATTTTCACTACCTCCCTAGTAGCAAGACATTGTTGATTTTCTTCTTCTTCTTCTTTTTTTTTCCCCTAAGGGTGTGGAAATTGATAAAACTTTCTTCTTATGATTTGTCAAACAAAACGTTGACGATTAGGTCTAAACATGAAATTCAATGGTAATATAATGATAATGCAGAAGATTGATGAGTTGGTCTAAGCATTGCTAATGGGAAGAGTGTGAATTACTCTTTTCAAACAGAAACTTCATGTGCCGCCGCCCACTCCCCCTCCCTAAATCCCTCATATCATATGAAATGGGGGAGCTGGAAACAATGATTGGTGTTAGTGTTACCTTGTAATGGAGCATTTGTGATGTTGGTGCCAACCAATATACAATTCCAATTAACGCACAACTTTGCATTTGAATCCCTAAAATAAATAAAGAAAACAGTTTACTAGGTCCAGGTAGCAGAATACTATATTATAAAATTTCATTTTTCTGTTCATTAAAAGTGTTAGGTGGAGAGCAAGACAAACCACATCTGACAGAGCACTTGAACAAGGAAATGACAAAAGTACCAAAGTTTTGGACAGTCCATGGACAGTCATTTGTCAGGGAAGAGAAAAAAAAAAAAAAAAAAAAAAAAAAAAAAAGGGGGGAAAAGGAAAAAGGGTTTTCAGCCATTTGCAATCTGTTAGCATCAATTAATCAACAGAAGTGAGAGAAGTGAGAGAAGTGAAGTAAAGAAAGAGCAGAAAACGATTGATTGCATTGCTGCTCTCTCTCTCTGCCCATGGTTACCAAAGTATATGATTGTTAGGTCAATTTCTTCCTTTTTATATAGATGAAGAAATCAAACAACCTTACCATACTGAACCCTATGTTTTTGTTGGACATAATAATTGACCCAAAACAACATCTGAGAAAAAGTAGAACTGCTCAGAGATCATCATACAGCCTCTGTGTACTTCACTCTTACTTGCCTATAACTTGAAAGTGGGGACAATGATCTCCAAGGTACATTCTGGGGACAACGAAACTTATAATAATTCCTTCTCAATGAAACAACTAAAATCATCACATATAGGATCACTTTGGGCTACATTCACAGTTTCACACCACAATGAATCATAGTAGTAACTATCAGTGAGTGATAACAGATTTACACTTAAATCCTAGATTACCCACAGTGACACAAAGAATCTACCGAGAACAAGCGACGCGTAGAAGGAGACACCACCAAAAAAAGGTGTGATTAGATGAATTTCTGAATACAGGAATGAACTTGAATATGAATGGTGGTTGGAAAGAAGTGGAGGCTTGTACAAAATGGTGGGAAGTCAAGGAACATATTCACTCTCGATGGTCGGTTGTGTTCGAGTAAATGTTGCTGCAGGTGCTTTTGTATCTCCAACTGAGGTCATATGCAAGGCTTCTCCTACATCTGCAGCCTTCTCCATCTGTTGCAAACTCTTCTTTTCCCTGTACTTATACGCCCAAAGTACTAGGAAGAACAACAATCCCAGCAATGCTAATCCACCCAGCACAGACCCAACAATTATCCACACTTTTGAATTATTCTTCTTCTTTCCAGCACTAGGCCTTGGGGTTACATTTGGGGTAGGACTAGGAGAAACTGGTGCTGGAGAAGGAGCAACGGACTTGACCGCTATAGAGAAGTGCCCCTGTTGGATTGTTGAGCATATATTGCCTGATGCCACATTGCTGAAATTGACTGAACCATCCAAATCAAACGAAACGCACTTTGCCACGGTCCCTGCAGGGGTCGGTTTCACATCCTGAAATTTGATTTTTATGGGATCACCAGATGCCCTGATATTCAATTCTGGCAAATTTGTGGCTGATAAGTTGCTAGCACTATAAGCAAGAAGACCGAGCACTGGAGCTAAGTAAGAGTAACCAGGTAATGGGTAATACACCATTGACCAATTGCCTAAGTTTTGGTACACCAAAACAAGCCTCTCCACATATGGACTCTCACTGACATCCTGGGGGATCTCAAACTCTTTGTACATCGCAACACCTCTTCTGTACAAGCTACCACTCCTGAGCCTCATAGCTGCAATCTGAATTCCAGTCAAATTCAAGGGAACCTGACCATTAAAGGTAACACCGGTCTTTGGATGAACAAAAGCCCTGTAAGCATAATCTTGAAGAAGAGCATCAAGAGCACGCGGTGAGCCTCTTGAAGATTGTGCAGAAAGATCAGGCAGCCGTGAGAACCATATCACAATGAAAAGCATCGCGAGACTTCGAAATAGAAGCCCCATCGATGCTTTGAAATTTTGAAACTCAGCACAATGCTACCCAAACTAATGTGGTAAAATCTCAGTTCCCAGAAGACAACATATACCCAGAGGAGTTTCTAGTTATAAAACCTTGGATCCAAAGAATGATAACTGAAAATGTGCAATAAATTTCTTGAAATTAAGCTTCAAAACCTCTGGCCTTAGACTTCAAAATCAAAACTTGGAGGTAGCAGCCACGTATATCTCTCCAATTAATAGAACAACGGATACTTGATAAAGGACAAAAATTTATATTGTCAGCCCGAGAGTAGAGAATGTGTGTATAAAGCGACTTTGAAGGTTTCAACCGTTGCTACTCTTATGCCTTCTTCAGATTGCTTTTCCCTTTTGGAACCCTTGTTAAAGAAGCTATCTCCCAAAGACTCAAAGGGCTTGGTCTGCGAATCTTTTTAGCTCAAAAGGAATTAAAACCTTGATTCTTCGCCATAAACCCATTGACACATAAACGAAATAAACCGAAATTAAAGCAACCAAGAATCTCTTTCAACCTCCTCCTTCTTCAAACGGTCAAATATGAGCAGCGAGATTATAACAGTCTAAATTTGGAACCAAAAAGAAAAAAGAAAAAAGAAAAAAAAACAGCAGATTCAGTACCAAGATCAAGAACCCAGGTGAAGATTTTAACAGGGGCAGCTAAATACCTGATCTTTGTCCGGAGACAGCCGAAGAGTTGCAGTACAAAGCCCTAAATCTTGAGGTATTTGCAGCAGGCGGCAATGGAGCTCCCCTAAGTTTCCTGAGAGCTGTGTAGAAAAAGAGCATGCACCTCAAAAACCCACAATGAGATACAAATTTTGGACCAGAATTTGCCACCAAAGAGCGCGTGAGAAGCCAATACTCTTCAAGAATCTCCTCATTGAATTTTTTGCTGGCAAAGATCACAGTAGTAAATGGCTTGCCAACAACCCCAAGATACAAGTAGGTACAAAAGAATCAGAGCTTTAATGGGCTTCTCAAAAGGGTCTGCATTTTGACTAAATCTCAACGATAAACACAGAGACAGATTGAGCTGCGATGTCAGTGTTGAGAAATCGATTGGAGGAAAATCAGAGAGAAGAAGGAAAGAAACTGATTGCCGGGTTAGCTGTAGATTTGTTTCTTTACGCAAAAAATTTCGGGCTTAATTGTTGTAAAAGATAAGCTATGGCAACAAAGGTCAGTGACCCGTTTGGAGATTAAAGCCCAAAACTTTTACAAGAAATTCTAATGGGGAAGAAGAAGAAGAAGAAGAGAGATATGAGATAAGCTGCTCGAGATTTAGAGATGGACAGCGAGGAGATGTACTGGTGGGCAGTGAAGCGAAACAAAAAGACAGAAAGAATGAGTGTGAGAAATTTTTTTTTTAATATAAAAACCCAACAAAAAAAAGAAACATAAACACAAAAAATGGAGAGTTTTTAATTAATTATTTGTATTATGCATTATAATTAGTTTGTTACAATGCATCAGATTTTGTCATTGACAGGTGTGTTTATTATCAAGACTTTGTTAAACACTAAAACCCCACCTAATTCTTCTCCCCTCTTTTCTTTCTCTCTTCCTCTTTTTGAGTGGACAATGTTACCCTTCATAGTTCAACATATTGACCAAATGAGCCTGCTCTCTCTCTCTCTCTCTCTCTCTGTTTCCTTGTTTGTGAATGCACAAGAAAACAGCAATGTGTGAACCAAGCTTTAAAGTCAAAGAAAGAAACCCAAATGCCAAAGTGGCTTGAATTGAATTTAAAAAGAGAAAAGAGCCAAATGAAGTTATTGAACCTCACAGACCAAATGTTAGCTATTTAAGTTCCATACATGTGCATAGCACAGCTGGGCTCGTGACCAATCTGCAACCAAAAAAAAAAAACTATGGATTGTGTTTGAAAAGTTCAACATTCTCACATTCAGTTGTTCTTTGTTACTTGTAGACAGTGATAACTTTTTTTTTTTTTTTTTTTTTTTTAAATTTTTTTTTTTTTCTTTTTTTTTATTTTTCCTAAATGTTTGTTAGTGAAAGCCGCTACTTTGACCTATTTCTAAGTGTGATTTGTAACTAAACAAAATAGGAAAATAAAAGTGACCTAATTTGGATTTTTTTAATATACCAATGATCAAGTTCATGTCTGGGAAGAGATCAAAAACAGCTAAACTATGTATAGCAATTGACCATCGCCATATTTAATTCAAATCCAGTTTTTCCTTAAAAGAAAATAGAGTAATTAATTTGTGATCTTAGAGGATAAGCATGAAAGATTATGTCTTGTGATCAGTTGCGTGTTTCTTTGTGCACGTGATGAATGTTGTCGACACACGAGGGTATATAATCAGGTACAGATAAGATTAACGTTTTGATTGTTATAAACACAAGAAGACACATACCAATCAAGGATAGTTAAGGTTCTTTGAACAAAGCACGTTATGAGCGTTGTAGACGCGAAATTGTATACAACCGAAAATAGCTAAAATTAAAGGGCAAGTGAATGAGTATTTGATTCGATAGGAGCAAGAGCCCATTGAAAGCCCAAGAAAAAAGCCTGACGGCCGTGCATGTAAATAATGGAAATCGTATGGGGGTTAATACAACTTCATGTGACATTCCACAAAATCCAAAAAGACATTACATTACAAAGGAAAGGGAAAAAAATCGACACAAGAAATGCATAGAATTTTTTCTATGTATGGCTTCTGGGATTCTACGATATGCAAACAAGCCAGCTCATATGATCTGACTCATTTGTGTAATGATGCGAGTGGGGCCCACATTTCACAGTCCACCAAGTGCTATAGTACGCCGCGCGCACATGACTAACAATCCAAAGATCCGAAAAAGGACCCGGAAATACAAAAGCCATGGAAGGTGTGGACGGAAATGGAAATAGAATAGTGGGATGTAAACTGTAAAGCGACCCGAGTGATTGAGCGGTGTAAAATGACCAAATCACCCCTCGAGCAAATGCCAAATTTGCACCGAGGTCCAAGCGCAATCTAGAAGGTTCCAATTCCAATGGCCAAATTACAGAAGGACCACTTGCTATTGGTCGCTAGGAAGGAACGGGAGCGTAGGGTAGCTCTAGCTCGTGATGCACCGACGTCGTAATGCTACCAGAATATAAAATGAGAGAAAGAAAGGCCACTTTGTTGTTTGTTGTTGTTGGGCCCATGTTCCTCCGTCTGTCAATTCACTCCTTGGGCCCTTCTAATGTGAAAAATTTTAGGAAACTCTTTTCCTTTTTTTTCCCCTATCGGTGAGACGGAGGAATCGAATCTGAACTATCTTTCAATTCAGAAAATTATCATTTTGGAGCCCGCTTTTTTACGCTCAAGTTTGAATCTTTCTCTTAGTAAATTAGATTAATTGAGATTAGTTTAGACTATCACTTGTATTTACAAAATTTATCTTTACTTTGTCGGCTCAAGCATAATGGTTGATATTGTGCGATTTTGATGGGCTATGTCTTTTTGGGCTCGTACAAATTTGAAGTAATGCTAAAAAGAGGCTGGCCCATCCATCCTTGCCTTGTCGGCTCTCCATTTATTTATGTGATGTGGTAACTGGTATGTATGATGTATCCATCATCTGATGGTAACGGGCCCCCTCACATACATGCATCTTAATCTTAGCTAAAACCAAACCCATGCTTGGCATGATGGCGATGATGACGGATAGATCAAGGGTTGGGGTGGGTGGGGCCTTGGAAGTTATGTGATCCTTGTGATGTGCTATGCATGTCCATATCCAGCATGCATGCTAACATTCACATCGGCCCTTCATCCTCTTTTTATGTAGGGAATCATTATTACCCTATAACCGCATTACATGTTTTTTTTCCTTCGGTTTTTTAAAGTAGATACTGTGAAGCCAACGAGATCCCCTTTGATTCTACACGTAAATTGTTCTACATTTTCACACGGAAATTGTGAAACCCTTTTGCTTTTTATACGTTTGGAGAAGATCTGTTTAAGGATGACATGATGGAGGAGGACAAGGTCATGAATCAAAAAACGTTTGAGATAGCATCAAGAACTTGAGTAGATTGGTGAGAAATTATACAAGTGGTTGCACGCGTCTTTTGATAGTGAGAAGGAAGTTGTGGAGATGATGATGCATGTGAACAATCCCTCAGCAAGCATAGAAAATGCATCGCTATATTGAGAGAGAATTACCATGTTCTCTACAACATGGAGGATCCATGAAATCAGAACAACCTTCAGATTTTGGAAGTTCAATTCATTGGAAGCTCACTGACCTTGTTGTGCTCCACCGAAGTATGATGTTTACCGTTATTTGCATTATCAAAAAGGTTACAAATAACAATAAACATCTTGCTTCGACCGCTTATCTTTTTTCTCTAATTGTTCTTTGGCCCAAAGTGCCCACATGGAACATAAACAAGATAAATAGGCTTCCAAGGAACAACTAGAACACAACTCTTGACCATCTATATTACAAGATGTGTCGTTTATACAGTCTAATTATTTAAATAATAAACAATACTAGATAATTTTGATATGAGATAAATGAAGTATTAATACTCACTTGATATGGTTGATTATGTAGATTTACTACCATAATAATGATATTTGAGATTTTTGTTACTATGATAGTGGTATTGAGATCATTTTCCTTTTATTTATCTATTTTATTTTTAGCGTGGGGAGGAGCAAATGACATTGGTCAACCAAAGAATGATAGAATTGAAAAAACCAATTTAAAAGAACAAAAAGAGAAAAGAAGAGAGAGAGCTTCATTCTTTATTTGCCCTTTTAGCTGCTTGTTGGGGTATTAGCCACTTCTCTTCTCGCGCTCTTCCTCATTGAGCGAGAAAGAGAAACACAACAACACAAAACACACAGAAACAACAAAAAACACCAAAATTTCCATTTCCAATTCGCCAAACGTCACGCAGACCCATCCCTCATCAACCCTCTCTCTATATTCTCTTCCACATTCTCCTCCATTCGCTCACTCTTTGCTCAAAACCCTAGCTTCCCTCTTACCCCTTCCATTTCCTCAATTCCTCCAATCGTCAATCGTCTCCGACCACCCCAAGATTCAGGCTTGGCAGCGGCGCCGATGAAATTTCTCTGTTTTTGTTTTTGATTTTGGGTTAGGGTTTTGTCGATGCTATCTCTCCCCTGACAACTCCATCGCTGGTTCGCTTTCGAAGGTTAGCTCTCCTGTCAAATTTCTTCATTTCGCGTTCATCAAGTTTCCCTTTTCAGTTATGCTTATAATCACGCCTTTTGTATTGGGCTTTCTTGTTTTACACGGAAGAAACGATTCGTATTGTTTTATATTTACATGACTTGCTCTGGGAATATTTGGCTTATTACTTTATTTGTATATTTATTATTGCGTGATGGCCATGCTTAGGGTTAGGGAATTTAGGCAAATGGAAGTGCCGGCTGGCAATCTGGACTCGTTTAGAGCTGCTTCGGGAAATAGTATTTCTAGAAGATATGGAATGTTATCCGCTTCCAATATCATTCAGGCACCACTTTCTGCCTTGTTGGAGTACTCGGGTCTTCTCCGTGGCCGCTCTAATCATCAAGAAGCTGAATCTTTAATTAACGGCCGTAGCGCTGCTGCTTTCCGGGATCACCATCATAGTCAGCTGGACCAATCTCCAACCACAAGCAACGACGGGGAGGTTTCCATTAGGATAATTGGTGCAGGGGAGCAGGAGCATGACAGGGAAGGCGCAGGGTTAGTAGTTGGACAGTTGAGGGAAGTTACTGTTCCCCCAAATGAGGTTTCTGCACCACCAATGGCAGGGGTGGCGTCTGTGTCATTGACAACAGAGGAGGGTCAGACAGATGGCAGAACAGATCGTAGTTCGGGAGAGGGCATGCCCCAATCGTTAAATGGAAGTGCTGATGGAGAAGGAGTTGATGGAGCTGGGTCTAATGGCAGAGATTCTTCTTACCAGAGATATGACATTCAGCAGGCTGCTAGGTGGATTGAGCAGGTCCTTCCCTTTTCTTTGCTTCTATTGGTGGTCTTCATCCGCCAGCATTTGCAGGGTATGAGTCTTGCCAACTTTAGATTATGCTTTTCTATTGCAAAAGGTTGATGAATACTTGTAGTTAGACATCTGTTTAGTTATATCTGCCATTTGATGACCCCTTGGGGATTGCCAACTTCATGTTGTCCTCTTTTATATTCGGCTTCATCAGTGATAACCTTTTCAGGTCTGGTATCTATCTGGGAACCTAACAGGAATTGATTTTACTTTTTGTATCAAATTTGTTCTTACTAGCAACTAAATGAGTGTACTTGCATTTGTACAATAATGGTTTTCAGTTACAACGAGCTAAGGCATATTTAAATGAGTGACTACTTTTCATTCTGCAATGACTACAGGTTTCTTTGTTACAATTTGGATTGCTGCTGTTATGTTCAAGTCAAATGATATTCTAAGGAAACAGACAGCTTTGAAGGTATTTGTGATATGCATGTCTTAATAGCTTTTTCAACTTTCAACAGTTGCTCTTGTGTTTTTTGTTTATTAAGAGTAGATGTGGTTGGTGGCTGCAGGGAGAGAGGAAAGTTGCAGTTCTAATCGGCATCTCTCTTGCATTTGCATTGCACGTGGTTGGTGTTTACTGGTGGTATCAGAATGATGATCTGTTGTACCCATTAATTATGCTTCCTCCTAAACTTATACCACCATTTTGGCACGCTGTTTTCATCATCATGGTGAATGGTAATTTCCTTTTGTACCAAGCTGTTATTGTCCCTGTTCTTTTCAAATTTTATATTTTATATTTTCATGTTGCAAATAATTATCTTATGTGATAATTTCTTCTTAAACAACTTGCATTCGATGGCATTGTTCATAGGATAGCAATGAAAAAGTGTTAAGACCTTAGCATTTAGGTTTTGTTTCTTATAAGGATTTCAAATATCATCTAGGAAAGTTATTGTTTTCATCTACAGTGTGAAACTTTTACGGTGCACTTGTAATTAACCTTTTAGCTTTTGTTGGCACAGATATCTTTTATTCATTGTCAAAGGCAGAAAACACAAATCTACCTTGCATTTTAGCCTTGCACTTGCCTGCCTACTGTGGGTGGTTAGTAAAGCTGTTGTGTTGTAAAGATGTAATTGTTTTAGTTAAAGCATTTTGATACTAATGCAAAAAAAAAAAAAAAAAAAAAATTTTTTTTTTAAAAAAAAAAAAAAAAAAAAAAAAAAAATCTCTTGATGAAGGGTTTAGTAAGAAGACTGTTATTGTTCCTAGATGCTTCTTCATTCCTATTTCTGTGTGTTAAGCTTCTGTTAGTTAATTTTAGTGCCTTGTGATGTTAATTTCAAATTGGTTACTTTCAGACACCCTGGTCCGGCAGGCAGCAATGGTGCTCAAGTGCATTCTATTAATATACTACAAAAACAGCAGAGGCCGAAACTATCGTAAGCAGGTGAGGTAATAAGTAGTTAAGCAAAAGTAGATTTGGGTAAATTTCAGGCTGTTGTAATTAAGGGACAATTTCATATAATTGACAGTTTTCTCCCATCCATTTTTCCCATGATCTCTTGACTGAAGAAGTGCCTATTTTCTAGGGTCAAATGCTTACTCTGCTTGAGTATTTACTGCTCTTGTACCGTGCCTTGTTGCCAACACCGGTGTGGTATCGTTTCTTCTTGAACAAAGAATATGGGAGTCTCTTTTCATCACTAATGACAGGGTTATATTTGACTTTCAAGCTCACATCTGTTGTTGAGAAGGTAAGAATTAATGTTAATATAGTTTATGCTCCTGATATCTCCGAAGTTTTCTCACCTCTTCATTAGTAATGTCTTCCAGAAAGAGTTGTTTCTCACTTGTTATTACTTTTTTTGCTCTCCTCTTTTACGTTGTGGTTAGGTGCAATCCTTCTTTGCTGCATTGAAGGCGTTGTCACGTAAAGAGGTGCACTATGGGGCATATGCAACATCGGAACAGGTAAACTGGTATCTTTTTCTGCCCAATTGAATTTGCCATGCAATTGGATGGACTGCACGATGTTATGGGTCCAATCTCTACATGCAAGTTGGTGGTACTTTTCCAGTAGGATAATCGTTGGTGGTAATATAATAATAACTTCTTTAAACCTGCTGAATGGACTACTTGAAGTAGAGCTAGTGTATACCACTAATATGGAACTAAAACTTTTGCCTTGGATTTTTAAGATATATGTGTTTCATTTTGGTAGTTTTGATCCCTTCATGGAAGAGCTGGTGGTTCATTCATTTTAAGTTTTCGGTTGTTTGATGCAGGTCAATGCAGCTGGCGATCTTTGTGCTATTTGCCAGGAGAAGATGCATGCTCCTATCCTACTTCGATGTAAACACATCTTTTGTGAGGACTGTGTATCAGAGTGGTTAGTTTACTTCTGTTGTTTAGATTTTGTTTTTATATATATTGCATTTCATAACTTTTTCCGCTGATTTCCTAGTTACATTTTGTCTTTGTTGAAACTGTTTACCTATGCTACCAATCATCTTGTAATGCAAGTTTCACACTGTGATAACCTCTTTCAGAAACAGAGTAGACTTTTGATTTCTTGTTTATAATGATTTACTCGTTAAAAGCTTAGCACATTGTTAGTATTATAGGTTTGAGTTGTTAAAATTAGTTTGAATTTCCATGGAACGGGATCATATTGCAAGTAATACCCCGAAGAATCGATGAACAACCATTCAATCGCTTTGGTTACTGTACCCGTTTTGGCTGCTGACATACTTATGTTTTTTCAGGTTTGAGAGAGAACGGACGTGCCCATTGTGCAGAGCTTTGGTAAAACCTGCAGATCTTAGATCATTCGGCGATGGATCAACGAGTTTGTTTTTCCAGCTGTTCTGAAATCGTCTACTGTAAAAACGGGGAGTTTTTCTGCTTCGGAGTTCCAAATCTTGTTCAAAGCAGCCATCTCCTGAACCCTGATCCTTATAACTATACAACACTGGTATATTTGATTGTATTTTTGCTCTGCCTTGTTCATGGGTTGCCCTTTGAAAGAAAAACAATTGTTGGGTATAACTGAACTGGGTACTGTTCATACGTCCTGTCGACAAAAAGTCAAATGTATGTAATGCGCCAATTAAGCAACAAAGTTCTTTTGATAACCATATACAACTGTCTATTTGCCATGAATGAAAGTTTCCCTCGCCCCTCCCCCCTTACTTAACAGCATTTTCCAATATTGTTTTCCTTCTAAATTATTCTCTTATATATTGTTTGTTTTCATGGGTTGGCAAATGACAATTATAGAATGTAGAATCTAATCTTCTCCTAGGCTTTTCTTTCTTCGAATGTTGCTCATATGGCCTTATGTCCACCACAAATCGATGAAGCAAGGCCAACTACCTTCTATTTTTGCACCTCTAACTTCAGAAATTTCCCTCACGAAATGTATATATAAAATAAAATGATTCACCCACTCCTTCAAACCCCATAAATCTCTCTCTCCCTTAATGCCAGAACTGCATTAACAATTGACATTGATTGATTATATTAGCTTTCTTGGAGAGTTCTTGACAAGCTTTGATCCACACAGTGATGGTGAAGGGAGGGAGGTACATGCACAATTGGGTCGAAGTCGCACCGCCGCTAATGATCTCCCATGAAAAATGTTCAAATTCTCCAAAATTGGAGACTATTGTTGAAGAGGGATCCGAGAGCTTTGAGATTCTGCCGAAACAAGTGGTGTTTCTCCTTCCAGTATTTCTTTCTTTTATTTCTTACTTTATATTGTATCGACAGATCGCTTGATGCATCTATGTGGGGAAGTTTCCACATGTGAAATAGATTGGCAGATTAGAATGTGATGCGCTTTGATCACCTTCTGAGATGTTATAATACTTTTGCAAAAAAGAAAGAAACCTGAATTTAATTGTTTCCAAATTTTCATCTCTCTCTTTCTTGCTCTCATAGTTGGGGACTAAATGCATGCATGAAATCTGATGCAATTGAATGTTGAGAGGAAATAACTAATCCTGTAGTTTGTTCACTGTATTTCTTTATGTAAAATATTAAGGAAAACCCGCAATATATTAATAAGAAGAAACAGAAGGAAATAGAGATATTTAGTAATATACCTATTCTTAGCACTAAAACTATAAATAAACCATACATCATTTCATTTTTATAAAAAACCCAAAAAATGACAAATGGTACTATTAAATTTAATTTTAATTATTAAATTACTTTGATATCCTATTGAGTGTTTTGGGCTTTTTTATGAAATTTTGGGTTGGGTTTGTTTTAAGAAATCAATGGCAATTTTGTAATTTAAAAGAAGTTAAAAGCCTTTTTGTTATGTTATAAATGGGTTTTGGGTGTGTTTATAAATTCCATTTCATATAGGGTTTTTTTATAATTTGGGCTCCTATATTGGGTATATTAGTGAATCTCCCAAGGAAATATTACCCTGTCTTCCTTGTTCAGATGGCACGAAGACATTTATTTTATTTTATTTTAAAGCATCCATTCTGATTCTTTTGCCATCATTCATTTCTCTGTTTGTGGTGTGTTTGATGTCGTGAAGGGATGTCCGCGACAAATGACTGGATTTAAGTTAATAAAGAATGGAACAAAAGATTTTGGTTTAAATAATTGCAGCACATGAGAAGTTGAAAAACCGCACAGGTTTGACCGACACAGAATAAATGTTTCGTAAGAACTGACAATATTATTCAGAACAAATCAATACAAGTCAAATAAGAAATCTGAAAACTCAGGAACAAAAATGGTGCACTGATTGTACAAGGAAGACAATGGACAATATTTGATCTTGTACTAGGAGGTACACAGGGCACTAGTAGAAACAACCCAACCTCAAACGAAATATTACATCCACAAATAATATTGTAAGTGGAAGAAGAATACCCCCTTCCACCCTCCTCTTCTTCCTCTTCCCCTCTCCAAGAGAAAAAGGAAGAACAAAAAATAACAAATGCTACTCTAAATCTTTAATGAAAACGAACAACTTTGCTTATGCAGAAGCTCGAGGTCTTTTCGTATCTTCTGCTACAGAAGGTGTTTTCGGAGAAGCTTCTGCTGTAGGAGGTGTTTTAGGGTCAGCTTCTGCTACAAAAGGTGATTTAGTAGCTGCTTCTGCTATAGGAGGTGTTTTAGTAGCAGCTTCTGCTGAAGAAGGTGTTTTAGTATCTTCTCTATTAGGATCTGAGATATTGGAACTTGGTGTGGCCTCATTTGCAGAAACATCTTTATTTTCTTGTGGCTTGGTGAGGAGAGGTGATATTTCTTCAGTAACTGGTGCGGTTACAGGTGAAGGGTCCTCTGGAGGCGGGGAAGGAGGTGTTGAGGGCGGGGAAATGGAAAGCATCCTGGAGACCCCGGTGGAGCTGGTTAAGGGGTAAACTTCTGTAACTTCTTCATCATCTAAATACACAACATCCTGCATTGTGAGCTGGTGATATTCAACAATTTCCCTCAGGAACCGATTCTCGCGAGCATAAACTGAATTCTCATTCGCTAAGCGTGACTTCTCCGCCAGCAGTGTCTCCAGTTGAAGGCGGATCTGATATCATCACGTATATAATAATGTTAGAAACAAAGAAGTTTTAAGCACTCAACTGGAGATACATAATGTGCAAGCATTTGCCTATCGGCTAACAGAAATTATACACAACATGAGAAACAAAGAAGCAGAGAATGCAGTATCCTGCATCAGGAACTTTGACACAGCACAATGAAAACTGACAAGAAAAGCAAGAGACATACCAAGTCGTCATCTGCTCGGTGGTTTCCCTTGTCACGATTCTCGCGATGGCGTTTATTTTCTTCTTCTAGTTGAGAACATCGTTCCTTTGCAAAAGCCAAATCTGCTTTAACAGTTTTCAGCTCCCGAAGAAGTAATTTTGCTTTGGCAGCTGTTGCCATTGCAACCTGTGATCCAAAACAAAGACCATTTATGCATTCCACTGGCTTAAGTGAAGTCTAAATGAATAAACAAAAAATGAAAACGACATTCAAACCCTTCATGAACATATAGATCAACTTTAGAATGATTCAATAACTTCAATCAGATTCATTTAGTCTTTTGATTAGAATATTCTCTACTTCTAACAACACAAACCAGTCACACACAATAACATAATTGCCACCTTACGTCGCGTGATGCCTTGAGTTGAGTATCAGGGTTCTTAGGCTGCTGCCCTGAATTGCTCTGGTTCACATAATAAGCTTGTGCCTCAGGATGGTCTCCCCGTCGTTTAATTTGCAGTTTGATGTCGGCAGTCTTGTTCTCCACCATCGTACGACCTTCCTGAAAGCCATAAACTGCATTGTGAATAAAATTGCTTCCTAAATTACTGAATCTGACATATCAAAAGCAAGGAAGTTTTAGCAACCTCAAAAGCCTTCTCGAAAGTGTCACCAAGCTGATTGAGGGAAGTTGTGATTCTGTCCAAGCCCTTGCGGATTGCAGGATTTTCCATTCTTATAGAGTTGTCAGATGACAGATGGGGTTGTTGGAACTGTCTCCAAAAGTTAAACACACCAAAATATTACACAACAAAGCTCAGAAAATTCCAATCAAAAGTTATCTGTGCATGAAATGATATTTGTATATGGTGCGTCAGAAAGTCAGAAAGTTGAAGAAAGCCCATTTCAATATTGCAAACAAAGATCAAGTTGGAGTTCACCTGGGTGCCAGTGGAGGCATTGGAGGACTGTGAGCTGACGCCTCCAAGCATATCATCTTGCAGAAACTCACCATCCTCATCAAGAATGGCTTTAGCTTTGCGAGCCAGAACACCCCAAAACCCAGATTTTGTGGCCGATTCATCATATGCAGAAAAATCCTGCATTATTTATAAGGCATGATCAAAATCATCTCTTACCACACAAATTAAGAACAGGGTCACAAACCATTGCAAACAAAACCAACCCAGTAATAAGCAGATCAGATCAGAGAAACAGAGGAGCTATTACGAAATTTATAAAAAAGTAACGGCAAGATCCAGAATTGTCCGAGTGATCAGAAAAAGGAAACCTTGGATCGGTTGTTGTTGCGCTCAGCGGAGAGAGCGGAAGCACGAATGGCCTGAGCAGCGAGAGACGAAGAACCAGAGAAAGAAGACGAAGATTGCAAAATGGAAGCAGAATTGTCATCAGGTGGGCGATGGATAATCTCCTCCTTGAAAGTTGACGCTCTCGACATCCCCTGCCTTCTTCTGTACGCCATTTTTTTCACCGCAGAGCTTTCTTTCCTTTCTTATTGAGATAAAATGAATTTCCCTTTCGCCGATCGTCACCGCCGCGATGACAACGACTACGACGAAGGAGGAGGAGGAAGAAGAGGAAGGGTGCTTTAAGAGTTTTTTGGTTGGTTTTTAATTTTTTTTTTTGGTTCTGGTGGCGGATGGCTTTGTGGAACTAACTAACTCTTCCGCCTTTTCTTCTGAAGGCAAATAAAAAACCGAAATATGAAATGAATGAATGTTATGCCGCAAACACACAAACCAGAAACGGAAAAATAATAGCAAACACCTCTCTCCCTATATATAATACATTGCCTATATGCCTTCTGTTTCAACACCTGTTCTCTTTCTTTGCCTTTGGATTTTCATTTCCACAACCATCCATCCAACTAAGGCACATACTTTAACTACACAAAACAAATTTAATAATTCCAATTTGGATTGGGATTTTACTACAATACGAATGCGGGTTCTCATTTAACGAGAAAGCTGTTAGATTGACAGATTCACGTTTCTCTGTTAGGGTATGAATTAATCACAATGTGAATGCTGTTGTTGTAATGTGCTGTTGTTGTTGTGGGACAACTTGTAAAAGGACTTCATCATCCAACTGGACCCTCTGGGAACTAGCTGTTGTGACGTGTGAGCCATTTTGTATAATTATCTTATTGCTTTAGGAGCAAGTAACTATGTTCGTATGCCACCCTAGTCTCTTTATAATGTGATTGCTTGGTATGACATTGACAGGTCAAGCTCTCAAGCACATGAATCTTTTTTTTTCTTCAATAACTTTTTGAGCCAATTAGCACTTCCAAGAGAATGATCTGGAACAATTTTTAAGTTACACATTTGGACTTTCTGTATGACATTTTAACAACGGATTTAAGTACAGGAAGGTCAAATATTTCTTTTGTTTTAGAACTTCGGTCGTTTTCTTACAGCTGAAGAGCTAAATCAGTGTATTGAGTATCCATTGAAGGCTGGTTTTGATAATCACTATAAGGCTTTCTCATCTCCAAATGGCGGGTACAGGTTGAAGCTCTCTGATGACTATTTTTATCAGGCAAGATCAGCTCAGCACCTGAACCTTTCTGCAAGAATCTATCTTGTCCCGAAGAATTTAGCTTACCAAGTTGGGCTCTCAAATATGGCAGATCAAATGTGAACTGGCGAACCGGTGGCCTGGCTTGGTCTGTTTTTGACACTTGGCTTGTCTCAGCTTTGGTTTGATCGCAATCTCCTCTCAAATGAAACGAACTCAATTTGTTCTTTGTTCGACTAAAACTTGAAAATCCCAAGTTTCTCAACCTTGGTTCCAACAAATTTGACTGAAAAGAATCTGAAGGTGGCTCCAATGATTGTGTTTGATTAACCGACTTCCATTGGTTCAGTATAAGTGGTGTTGAGTTGCTGCCAATGTTTTTGAACCCAAAAACTGAGCAACTGTTGTCTGCAGCATGAGTTTTCAAGGAATAAGAATCCAACTGAATCTCATTTCTTCTGTTCTGATGAAATTCACTGGACTGAATTTTCCCTCCAAAAGTACCATGTGAGTTCTTTCTGTCACTACTGGATGCCACTGCAACTTTGCCACTTTGGATGCCAATTTCACCACCTAAAGATCCCTTTTCTCTTTTATCAGCATCCCATGAATGGAAACTGTCACTAGTGCTCTTCATGACAGAAGGATGCCCATGAAGGTTGCCCTGGAAGTTTTGAGATTGTGATGAAGCAAATATATCACTCAGAGTACTAGGTGCCCATTGGGTAAAGGTAGATGCCAAAGGAATCTGACTTTTTTGCAACTGGAAAGATCCAAGTAACTTCTTTCTGGCAATCTTCTGAGCTGTTGGTCCCAAGTCCTTAACAAACAACATCAAGCTTTCGGTGTAACCAATATCCTGCTGATTCGCCTACACAGAAAATTGACTGTTCTCATGGTAGTTTTGTGACATCAATCAATGAAACATAAATGAAAAACTACATTAGTTTTCTTAGCCTTGCAGGAACTTTGGCATCAAGTTATCGAGGACCAACGAGATGTACATGTAGAACAAAAACACAAGAAAAGAAGGCTTACATGCTCAAGTTGTTTTAAATTACTAGATAGTGTCAAACCAGTTGACTCATTCTCATCGAGGTAGGATGTCCAAGGTCTATATGTACAGCGTGGATCTGCTTCAAAAGATCTAGATCTTCTATCATCTTGAGTACCTATTATTAATAAACACAAAGGTCCAAATTCTGACTGTAAAAATAGATAGGAAAGATCTAGATTTCATGATAAATTTGAATTCAGATTTCTATCATGGAAAACACAAAATTGTAAGTAAACATAAATCTAGTTCATAAACCATTTGTCATTTACATAACTCAGTGTGCTGGAAGTTTGAACTTTTGATGGCTTTAGAATTACAAAATCAACATAAAACATAACATATCTTTTACTTCTTACCAGAAAGAACTCTGTGCTCTCTTGCATCAAAAGTGCCAGAGCACCCTGTCTTTACTTGACATCTTCTGACATTTGATGAACCACTAAGTGAGCATGAAATAGCTTTAGAAAATTCAGCTATCTTCATGCTATGGGATTTCATGTTTGTAGCAATTTTAGGATATGAACTAGAAGCTGACCTCCCAGCTTCTCCTCGCGCCCTCCTACCACTTCTTTGTCTTGTCTCTGAGAATTCTAATTCAAATTTCTCAGGATAGGTTTCCAAAACATAAAATACCTTCTTAGTTAGCTCATGTATGGCACGAGCCTGTAAAAACCAAGAGGTTTCATTCAGTTCATGGATTATATTTAGATTTTCTAGTTGAAGAATTCAGATTAAACTTTCCAAAAGTTTTCAGAAGATTGAATTAGCATACCTGTCTAAAAAATATGGTAGCTGTAGAATTAAAATGCATTGCATTTTCTGTTATTAGAAATGCATCATGCTGCAAACAGTTCATTAATTGTAATCAGATGTCGCAGTAGATGATATATAAATAGCAAACAGTCTAAACAGCCAAAGACGGCTTTATAACTAGCGGAATCACCAACAGATCATACTCTAGTTTACATATGTTATGTGAGAAAAAGAATAACTGCTTTCCGAATATTAGAAATTTAAGATTATCTGGCATGCAAGGACATTTTAAATAGTTTATACCAGAAATATCTGAAATTGGATAAGTCTGAATTTTCCATTATGGTGCATACAGAGTAAAATGAGACAAAAATGCCTTAGTGAGCAGAAAACTAAATAACAGAGTCTGAAATATTATGAATCTTACTTTACTATTATTTTGAGTTCAATTAGAGGAGGCAATTAATAAGCCATTTGTCCTCAAGTTGAGACAAAATTAAACAAAGAATGCTTTGGTGAGGTATTGCCATTGGGAGATTTATGGTTAAAAAACAAACTACAGTGAAAGCAGAACTAATTTTTGAGAAAGAAGCATACCTCAAATTGTTCAAGATTTCTATACATTCCTTCATGAAGTTTAGCCCTCATGGTCCCAAAATCCATAGGCTCTTCGATGATTTCATAGTAACCCTCAACCTTATAAAAGAGCAGGAAAATTTACAACCATGACTGAGAAAAGAAAAAGAACACATTCATTAAATGAAATGACAAAGTAGCAAGGAGATTTGCACCTCATTTGGGTCAACTGGTTCCGCAAATATTTCATAGGTATCTCTCCTGTAATTTTTGGAAAATATGTATCAACATAATGAAGAAATTTCCTAATAACTACGTAAAATATAGATGTAACCACAAATAATTCATGCTTAAGATGAATTCATCAAAAGAGTACTCGACAGTTTTTTGAATTGTTGCAGTTTTAGATACACATAATTCATTGTGAAGAATGTTACAATAAAATGGGAAGAGCACCCACCTCTGTAATATGTCAAGGATAAGCTCAAGTATGCGTTTTTCCGGCAACTGCAGTGAAGATTCAGTGGATGGTTGATCTAATACGAGCATTAAGTTACAATGTGTAAATACATAAAGCAGCCGATGTACAATGAGACTTCTCAATCAAGAAATGAGGCTAACCAGTAGAGGCAGCATGAACTCCAGGCTTAAGATCTTTACCCCGCACAACCTGTTGATCTGAAAGAAAAACAAATGGACTACAGATAACAACAGCAGCAGCAAAGTCATTGAAATAGCAGAGAATGTGATTAAGCAGAAAAAGGGCTCACCACTATTAGTTTGGTGATCTTCATGGCTGGTTTCTTCTCGAACCTGCATGACAGTACAGACGTTAAATTGGTATTGGAAATTACTCAGCTCAAACAACATAATGAGGAACTGGTGACTTGATATGATTACAAAAACCCCTTATATACAAATATAATGTCACTTTTAGCCCACAACACTCCCTTTATTTGGAGAACATAGGAGTTTAAGTGATATAAATTGCAATGGGAGAAAGAAAAGAAAAACAACTTTCCTGGTTTGATGGGGATGAAGGTGTTGTGGCAGCAACTTCTCGAACAGGTCCGAGGTTACTCTTCTTTCTGGCCCTTGTTCTGGAAGCTGGCCCCTCACCGTTACCCAAGTTGCGCTTCATTCTCTGTGCACTAAAATTACGAGCTGTAGCTGTAGCAGCAGTGCCAGTAGTACTTGTACCAGTGATGCTCAGGAGTCTCGGCCGCTGAGCCTTACAGCATTCCAAAGCAGATATTCTTGGGCTCCTTCTGTGCCCCTCCACCTTCCACTTTGACTTGTCTAATTTTCTACTACACACAGTTCATGACAACAAAAAGTGAAAACCCCACATTGTTAAAGTTGAGAACTTTCAAACATACTCTCACATTTCTGTACATATGAACAAAAACCCACCTAGACATTTTTACAAACAATGTCTTAGCTTGTCTTTGTTGGGGTTTTGACCAGCTGATTTCTATGGCTCTAAGGCTTTATAGAGAGAGAGAGAGAGAGAGAGAGAGAGGCTGATGAATAATGCAGTGAAGAATGTGATCAAGGGGTTACAAATTACAATATGGGGAAATCAGAATCATGAGACAGAGCTTTGCCAAAGGGTGGTTGTTTCTTTGTATAAGAGATGTGAATATCCCAGATGAGGTAAAAACGTTAAACCCAATATTTGTTCTTCCATTTGGTGCTTATTTTATACCATTCATGGCTCCTCTCAGCTATAAAAAGAACCATTAATATTTTCATGATCTTCTTGTAATGCAATAATAACTGAAGAGAGGGAGGAAGAGCATTCAATTCAGTCTGAAGAAGAATTGGAAATGTGGTCAAATAAGCAATGAGGACTTATACGTGGGAAGGGGTACCATCTGCAGAAGACTAGTCAAAATATGTACAAATCATCATCACACGTTAAAGGCTTGGGCTTCATTTTGGTACCCTGTTTTATCACAGACCTTTTACTAAACCTGCTCTCTTATTTGGACGTTTCACACACAAAAGAGACAAACAATTCCTCCAAATTTCAGGTACAAGTTACCACAACGCGCGTTTCACAGACCGTGCATCAACACTGTGATATACGGTAAACATAAGGTTTTTTGTTTGGCAAAAAAGAAAAAGTATTTTTTTATTCAAGTTTTGCTCTCTTTTTTTTGGGTTGGGCTGAAATAGAGGGAACTTTTCAATTAGGGAAGTCCTAGGCCAAGTTCTGGTTGCTTTTTTAGGTCAAGATTTGTAGACTCGATGGCCTATAATTTTCTCATTTGGTGCTGCAAGCCTGTAGCAGCAGCCCGCACCCCAAAGGGGGCGGGGAAGGGGGCCTTTTTTTTTTTTTTTTTTTTTTTTTTTTTTTTTTTTTTTTTGTTCCTAGATGTGGGCTTTGAGTCTTGTGCCTCGAGACGTGACTCATGTCTCGGCTAGGGAAAAGTAGGTCTAATTATTTTAGATTCTAGTCCATAATCTTTATTAGTGCACCAAACACCGGACATGACACTATTGAAATAAGTTGGTACTATCATGTTCATACCAGCCCATAAAAAAGGTTAAAAGTATGCTAGAGTCAGTCGCCTACCTGTGAAATGACTTTTTTGATGGGTGTGAGATTTATAATACACGTTAACAAATATCTTCGTTTTAATAGGTGTGACCCATTAAACAAAGAAAAAGGAATGAGAGAGTTTCAGTCCTTTTTCCTTTACAAAATTGGACTACATAAGCTAAATGATATTTTATTGCACAGTTGGAGTTGCAGAATTTTTCACAAAAAAGGCTAGTGTTGGGGCCCACTCCCATAAAGGCCGTTGTAGTGAGGTCGAGATTGGATGGCCCAGATGCCCCAAACCGACCTCCTTAGCGACAAAAGCTAGGGCCTAAAGTATAAACGGGGGCCCCATTGTTTGTACGGTGAAGATGATAGTAAGTTATGATTGACGCGCCATATAGTGCTGTGTGGGGTTAGGTAGAATGATCAAATGAGATGGACGGTGGTGATTGGATACGATGTGAGGCGTGCGAGCGCACACACAAAATTCGATTTACAAGTCCATGAACGTCTGTGTCTTCCAACCCTCATCTCCACCCTCCAACGACTGACTGAGTGAGAGTTGAAGAGGTCTTGTCTTGCCCAAAAGTTACGCTATTTCTTCTTCTTCTTCGTCTTCCTTAAGAAATTTCGTTTCACTTATCAGATCGTGGGGGTTTTTGTACAATCTTGAAGCTCAAGACCGAATGATCGGAGCTGTTGAAGTTTTAAGGATCGGAGTAATTTATTTTCAGCTTCCTCTCTCTGGTAATTACTCTAACCCACGAAAGATTTGCTCTTTTTATCTGCTAATATGATTTGTAATTTGGGTTTCTATATATTTCTTTTACAAAATTATCTACCAATTTGTGCCTAGAATTTGTGTAAACTGCTGTCATTGTGTGGTGGGTGAACAAATTAGTACAGAAATGGGGGTTTCAGATGCAAAGGACGAGATGTGTATGTGTGCTTTAAGAAGAAAAACTGACAGCTGTTGTTGAAGAAGAAGCTGGATACTGATATAGTGATGTGTTTACGTATCCATAGCCAAATTTTTATTGGGGATATTGCTGTCTAAGATTAGTATCAGCTCATAATTGGTTTCGTCTACTTGATTCTATGCTTTTGTCTTAAAATGTGAGCTTCAATACCTCAATCTCTGGGGGTTCTCTTTATCATTCATGCTTTGCAGTTTGTGGAATTTTAAAGTGTGGTGTCCAACTAGTGTTACGTATATTTTTCTCTCTACTGTTGTGCATTGTTCAATCAATTAACCCAATTTTGTAATCGAGTCTGTTAAGTTTTCTTTTTGAGGCGGCCTTTAGAGAGCAGGGCTTAAGTAATTTAAATGTAAACACTTTCTGGTTTGCAGTTTGCTCGGTCATCATCTTGTCCTTGGTCAGCATTTTTCTTGTAATATCCTCTGTTTTCCAATAGAACTTTGCTTCTCTTTGTTTTTGATGTTGTGCTCTTTTCAGTTTTAGATGGATTCAGTCTCACAAAGATTCTTGGAAGAATTGCGTCAGTTCACCGTTGACAGCAATGAGGATAGTGGTATGGTAGGTGACCATTCTGTGCAGTCTGCAACATGTGCTCTATGCCAAAGGACTTTTTCCCCCGAGAATGAGGCAACTGGAGATCTTGAAACTATCAGCATGTGTGGGGACTGTAAATTTTTGTACCTTGAAGATCATGGTGCCCCCACACATGATTCTTATCAGGGAACGCCATCTACGAGAAGAAGAGCTAGGAACAGCAGTTCCGAGTCACTTGATAATATTTTCTCACAACAATTCTCACATATGATTAATCTGATGCGGCAAAACCAATCCCCTGGCTCTGGGCTTGAGGATTTTCCTGCAGATGGTGATCCAGCTGCTAGGGTATCTCAACGCACAAGTTCCCGTACTACACCAAGTGGGTCTAGAAGATGGCGGCGTGTGCTTTCTGATACTGAAAGTGATGGTTATGATAACGGGGATTCTCTCTATGGGGAAAATGAATCAAATCTGAGTTTTGGTCGGTACAGGGCATTTCATGGTGAGAGTGATGCGATTTCTTTTAGTGCTTACGGAGGGGACTCTGATGCTTCTGTAGACCTACATGGTTTCCTGGATACAGAAACGATTATTCAACCAGATGATGGAAGTGCTTTTGATAGTGATACTGACATTGATCCAATGCATGCTGGTCTTGACCAGTGGAACTCAGATGACACTGAAGAAGAAGAAGAAGAAGAAGAAGATGATGATGATGATGATGATGATGATGAAGGGGATGAAGAAGATGATGAATGGGAAGAAGCTGATGCTGAAATAAACATAGTGGAATCCAGAGAAGCCCCAGGTCGGCTTCGAAATCTTTTAGTTTCGAGTCCAGGTGGAAGTAATGGCTTAGTCAATTGGCGCCAACAGGTATATTCTCCTGAATCTGAGGCTGAGGGTATGATTCGCTGGAGAATGAGGGGAAGGAGTCAAATATATACCCGTAACATCTTTTCTAACACGGAGGAATCAGAGTTGCTGCCATATGTTGGAAATTCTGGTGATTATCTAGATGCGGGAGGCTTTGAGGAATTGCTCGAGCATCTTGCTGAGGCTGACAGCTTAAGACGAGGAGCACCTCCAGCTTCCGTGTCCTTTGTGAATAGTCTGCCTCGTGTTGCTATTAGTAAGGAACATGAGAAGCATGATGACTTAGCATGTGCGATTTGCAAGGATGTGTTGACAATTGGTACTGAAGTGAATCAGCTTCCCTGCTCTCACCTGTATCACCCTTCCTGTATTTTGCCATGGTTGAGTGCACGGAATACTTGCCCTCTTTGTCGATATGAGCTACCAACTGATGACAGAGACTACGAAGAGGGGAAGCGGAACATTAGTGGAAGAGTGGAGACCCGCAATGCCCAGCAGCAGAATGCAAGTGAGGACAGTTCCTCTGTTGCTTTCAACAGAGCTGAAGAAGGTGAAGAGTTTGCTTTCAGTGAAAGGAGAATGGAGCAGAGGTTCCTATCTGATAGGGGGGCAGCAACAACTAATGGCTCTGGTGGAGAAAATAGTCGGGGGAGATGGTTTCTTCTTGCTGCTGCCCCAATTGTGAGTCTCGTGGGCATTGTTCTTGTGCTGTGGTTAGGCAGTCCCCTAATGGAAAGAAGAGGTCTGGCAGGAAACCACAACTTTGCTGGTCAGGCCCAACGCCCAACCCATGTCACTGGCCCCTCACCCAACCCCAGGGAGAACAGAAGCAGGAGATGGTGGTCACTTTTCTGAGGGGTTCTTGAATTGTTGGTAAATATGGATGCTAAGTTTGGTGTTTTTGCTTTCCTGACTATTATTTTTTCGGCCTGTAGCACATGTTCTGCTGCAGGCATTCAGCAAGAATTTTCCAATTTTTGATGTACAATCATAAGTCAATCTGTCGATTGATTGTACGGTTGCCCATTTACCTTATATGTGAGCTCAGTGTTCTATGTAATTCAGATTGTTGAGCTCTCCTCTCACCTCGTAGTTTGAACCACTGAGATTTGAGCTTTTAAAAGCGCACAGCAAGTTCACTAATGCTCTTGCCGTTGATCGTTCACGAAAGTTCCTGCGTTGATTTCTGACCATTCCACATCATCCCCTGTAAGGTGTGATATGTTGTTTTGCTCATATACATAACCCAAATTGCACTTCAAATCACAACTAAGCCAAATTCTTGCTCTGAAAAGAATTAAAATTTACTCAAGTTTATGACTAAAAATTGTTTTACAAGAGAATGAGATAAAGGAAAAGAGGACAAGGGGACCGCCTGTTAAAATATAATTGCTTCCACTTTAAAACCAGGTCGGGGGCCATGTAGCTTCTTCTAAACACCCCCATCAATCCTTCGGAAAAGTAAAAAATATACAGGCAGGCACCTGCTAAATGTAGACGACAACTGACCTTCCACGGACCTAAAACTTAGTGGACGCAAAGGGCAGCTGTCAAAACAAAATTCACGGGTTGCTCCTCAGTTCACCATGAAACAGGTTGACACCTTGCATTTTACACGAATGAATTTCCAAGTTTAACTATATATACCCTTAGCTATTAACATTGACTGCCCAACAAAGAAGGAAATTAATAGCAGAAGGTAGATAGGTGTGGCGCAGCGACAACTTTGACTAGTTTCTCAAAACAGTAAGTTGAGGTACAAGACAATCCATCCAGCCATGGAGAAGATAGCAAATATGTGAACCCAGAACAAGACGGCAGCTGCCTCTCTTCCACAGCCTCTTAAATTTGCAACAGCACCTGCAGACAAGGTTGATTTGTTAATACGAAACTTAAGGTGTCGTTATAAGAGTGGGTCAAGCTATGTCTATGATCTATGACTTAGATTGGGTACCAGCAAGGACAGATGTAGGCATTGTGTGCTGGAGCAGTAGGACAAATCGGAACATCTTATCACCAGCAGGGAGGAAACCGAGCTTATCGGCCAACATTACAATGCCAAGTCCTACAGGGGGCACCAAGACTAATCGTCCGATGATAATAGCAACTGTTGTTCGTAGACCAAGTTTTGAACTTCCTGGACCTGTAAAAATCAGAGAGATGTCACGACTATATTCATCTACACTCGAAACCAAACACATGGGATGCTTATCGAACAATTATTGAGTAATGGCATATTTTCTCAATACATGACATACATAGATTATTTATGCAAGGTCAAACTCAAGAACAAATTAATGGAAACATGGAAAAGGGATGTCAACTCACCATCGACAAGGTTTCCACCTAACGCCAACAGAATGCATGGAATCATGGCCTCCCTGATAATCACCAATATTGTGAGATTATAACAAATAAAGATTGAAATTTAGCAGGAAATGATAATGTGGGAGGAAATGATCCGCTCAATAGTGTTTTTGACACATCAATTCAGTTACTGTTGAACATAAATGGAATAAGAACCATTCAGCCTCCAGCATACTATGTATATAATCACAAATTCCATTTGAAATGTTATTACAAGTCTCTTCACAAGGAACCCTTGCTTTAATATCTACCATGAGGTATTAAATTGTTGAGGTTCCTATTTACAACAGAGGGGCAGGCAAATCTATTCACGTCAAGTCTTTGCATTCAATTGAGAATCCCAATCCTATAACCACTTAACTGCTTGCAGAGCTGGAATCCACAAAAATAAGTTTCATTTCCTTAGGCATCTATCACAAACATATTGACCAATAAAGAGGTTATAGGAATTGTACAAGTTCAATGTTTCCACCACATTACTGCCAACGCTCTTTTATAACCTCACACACACAAATCTTCAGTAGAATTCTTGGATTATTAACTTTTATTTCTGTCAACATCAAGAAACCCCTTTTATCTACCAACATCAACCCTGGAACTTGCAACTTAAAAACAAAGAATACAAAAGAATACATGAAAAACTAGTTGGGAGATAAAGCAAATGAATACCCAACAACATTCCTAGTGAAGACAACAACCAAATGCTATCAGGTACACTTAGTATAAAATTCAACTGGACATACCCAAGGATAATACAGCTGTCTGTGAAGAAGAAAAGTGGACCATCAGCGGTAAAGATAATTTTCTTTAAAAATGGTATCGATCCAAGTACCATGGCCAGGATCTGCAGCAAAGTTGTGCTTACTAGTTAGAATCTATTATGAGTCCATGGGTTAACGATCCAACTGAAAATCCTTAATAAATACAGCAATTAATTTAGTTTGGCAAATAAATTAAACTTACAGAAGCTATTATAGGGGGTTGAAGTAATTGTTTGAGCTTCAACTTCTCATAGAGAAAAACCAAGAAATCTATAATCTGCATCATGAATCATGGCATGTAATTAGAGACATATTATATACTATATGCCAGAGATAACCAGACATAAAGAAGCACTGGAGTAAAGCAGAAAATCCTGAAATTTCGAGTGCAAATCAGTTATCCATCATGGATCTATACATGGAAGCATATCAAAAGTTGAAAAACTTGTAACCAGCCTACCATTGCTATTAAATTGCTGTCTGACAACACACTTCCCCACATGCTAAAATAAAAAGTGTCCCTTTTCTCAACAAAAAAAAAGAAATACATAATTTGCAGCAGATGGGAAGATATTTGTGACACGACATGTAGGATTGAGTATAGTTGAATAAATTCATTCTCACCTTAGGTGTGTGAGAAGCATTTGAGTTAGTTTCTGCAACCTCTTCTTCATGTGCTGCCTCTTCGTTTTCATCATGTGTAAGCAGCGGAACTTGATCAGGTATCTTGCCATTTCGAGGGTTTTTGATTGGGAGCTCTCCCTCCTCAATGTCAAAGGTACCCTCTGGAGGGGGGGCCAACATATGAAATACATATGTGTATAGGATGATTGCACCAACCTATATAAGCATTTAAAATAATACATATTGTTTAGCAGTTCATTGTAAATGAGTGAATTAATGTGCAGAAAAAATCTTGAATCACTGCATAATTGCAACTTGGATTCAAGTATAAAAGTTTGGGTGATCAAGAGTGAAATGCAAAATACCTACCCACTGGCCAAATGAAATATAGGCAGTCCCATCTGTTTTACATGTAGTTGAATCACCAAAAGGGTTTGATTTGTCTCTACATAAAGCTGAAATCAGAACCAGTGGCACATTCCCAATGTTTCCTGCAATCAATGGTAAGACCCATATAATTCAAAATAACTCAGATTGTGGTAGAGCCTGCAGTTGATAGTATTGAATATATTACATACCCAATTAAGCCACATATATTGTGCTATTATTTATAGATTACAGATATATTGCATGGGCTGCTAAGTGTGAATTATGCAATAAATGAGCAGAAAAAGATGTGCTAGTCGCATGTTTTGAGTAGCTTAAATTACAAGACTGATCTCAAATCATCACCTTGAATATTTCATCATCCCACATTTCGGTATCAATTAAAGGCTCATGTTTAAACTAGTGGTAGAAGAAAGCATACCTATTCCAATCTGTACAATTGTAAACTTGAAGAAGGGGTAAGGTGGACGGACAATGGATGCAACAATATACCCTATTATAGAGCCTGATGTACTACCCAGAACGACATTCACAGGAATAAACCACCTGCAAAAGGATAAATTTCTAGTTATAATAATATAATTGTTGGCCTTGTTGCCATGGAGTGTAAAAGAAACAGATGAACTAACTCTTACCACTCAAGCATTTTCTGTAGGGTGATGGCTTGTCCAAGTTGAGAGAATATCAAACATGGAAGCAAAAGGGAGAAGACCAGCTGCAAGAAATAGTAGGAAAACCAGTTATATAGTGCACGGTATACACCGGAAAGTTGCTTGCAATGCAAGGGTGAGATGTGGGTTTTGCTTACCCCATTTAAGAGTTTCCTTCCACTGGCTGGGAAGATGTTAACATACTTGGAAGCCATTAGAAGGCCCAAGGAGCACACTGTAAAAACCTTTGCTATGGGCAAAACTGCGATCTTGATCGTCCCAAGTAACGACTCCCCCCCGGCCCGATGGGCCACCTCCACCACCTGCAAAAACCTTTCCATGTTTTCCCCAACTATCTATGTTGCCTGCCCAGAAGAATTCACCAATTTTTCTTCAAACTATCCCAATTGGCACTTCTCATGAAATCAGAACCAGGCTGCCCACAATTCAATTCTTCTTTCAAAATAAAGCCCCTTAATTTATTATTCGGGATAATAAAAAAAGGGGATTTGCAGTCCAAAAATCTCTTCTTTTCTGGCGAAGCCTCCGTTGCTCGGCAACTTTTCCTTGAACCAGCATAAACAAAAGCAAATAAGGAAATACCCATTGCGCTATATATCAAATCCCAGCTAAAATCCTAGTCATTGTCGAAATATCAATCCTTGAACCCAAAAAACATAAACATTATTTGAATCATCAAATAAACAAAACCATTTGATAAGATAATTAACGTAAACCTCAATCAAAGTAATCAAAGTAGAAGATGAACACCAAATGTGGCAAGGCAAACAATCCCAACCTAAATCATTGTCGTCAAGTGTTCAAGCTGCCGAGGATCCAACGGAGAATTCGCAGCAACCAAACCCTATAGCAATCGGAGAAACACACAGAACCAAAAAAAAATAATAAATAAATAAACGAGACAAAAAGGATGAGAAATGAAGAATCCGAAATCAAATAAAACTGAAACTCAAAAATCAAAACAAACAAAAAAACAAAAAAAGATTACGTCGTCGTCTAAGTTACCTACTCTTTGCTCTGCCTCTTCTTCCTGTTTGTTTTGGTTTAGTTAGTTGGCGCTTTGCCACCTCCCTGTCAAAAAATTTTCTATTTTTCTCTTATTAAAATCTAACGAGTGAAAGTCGGGATAAACTCAGAAACGTCGACGGCTCGGCTATTTGTATGGAGCGGCGAATGTGACGAAACTACCCCTAAAACATTCAATATATTACAGAAAATACCCCTTCCCGCTTGATCGTCGTGAGCTACTAGAAGTCGGTACCAACGAAATTTCCGCGCAAGTAGCACTCTCTCTCTCCTCCCATTCCTAATGCGTACTTGTTTTCTCGCGCAGTTGAATTTTGTTTCTTTGCTTCTGTGGCCGAGGGCTGAGAACAGTTTTGTAGAGTTGGCAATTTTCTTTTTTCTTCTTTTAGGTTCAAATTCTGTTTGGAGAAAGAAAAAAAACACGTAAGGTAAAGTTCTAAAAATGATGGATCGAGTCGAGATAAATAGTTGTCACATCACGCACAGTCTGTGAAAAATTCGGCTTGTCGCATCAGGAAAGCGTACGAGAGTTGCCTTGCCTTAATTAACTTTAGTTCTTTGGCGTAATCGTGTCTTCGTTAATCACGATAATAATAATAAGATTCGTATTACATTCCTAAGGTTCTATAAGTATATATTAACAAAATTGTTGGAAGTAGTTGTAGTTTAAGCGGTCGAGAATAATTATTGATGCTTGTCAGCTGTTGAATTCTCTAATAACGCAATATTATTTGTACAGAAAGAAAAAATAAAGTAGTTTGATATACAAACTTATTATAAAGTAAATTTAGATTTTAACCGCAAAAAAACTTTCACTTTTGAAAAAAGCCAACGTATAACATGCAATACTAATTGTGATGTCTAATGTAAGTAGAATAGTAGGAAAGTCATAGAGGTTTGTTTGAAGGGTAGATGGGTAGATGGGTAGATGGGTTGAGGGGTTGAGGGGAAGTTCAAAGTGCAATGGAGACTGGATCTGTCCCTTGTGAAGCAGAGGTTGCTTCTTTGGAATGGTTGTTGAGAGGATGATGCCAGACAATTGTGTTCATGATTATATTGTTAGCTGGATATATAATAATGAATAATAATAAATAAATATATTCAGTAAATTAAAGGATATATATGTCAGATTCAGAAGGAGATAAAATAGCCAGAGAGCTTCTCAAATCCCATTCACATGATGATCGTGTGGAAATCACCAGTTCACAGCCTGATCAGCTTTCTGTCACCTCTATTCCCTTATCACTTCACTTGCCAATTAATACCTTCGTTGCGTAATAGAAATAGGTCACGGCAGATCAGTCACACGAAATTTCTAACCGTTGGTGTATGAGAACAACTATTATTGACTGTTATGCATGTGCCTTTTTTGACCATTGATGTTCAAAATAGGCATCTCTTATTAATAATTTGATTATGAATAGAAGTAGGTCACGGTAAATTAGTCGCACGAGATTTCTAACCATTGGTATATGAGTGTACTTATTTTTTACCTTCATACATGTGCGTTTTCTAACTATTGATGCATATGCATAACTATTTCAAAATAAGTGATGTTCTTTTTTCTTTTCTTTTTAAATAAATTTAATTAATTAAGACATACAAATTATCATGTCACATGCATGTAATATTAATTCTGCCCGAAAAAATATAATGTCTCATCATGCGATATTAATATGATTAGATTATTGTAGTGTGATTTAGAAGAAAATATGCACTTCATTTATCCACCCAAGTATCAAGTAGTGTTTTCTGGCATATGAATGTGGAAACTGGACACAGGACAGGACAGAACAGGACAGGACAGGACATTTCACACAAATAACGCCACATACAATACAAACCTCACAGGGGAAAGTGCGTGGAATGTGGCATGTCCAATTTTCCATGGGGTCCAGTAATCAATCTTATTTTAATACCGTCATCATCAGACGGATCCAAAACGTATCTCTCAAGAACCCTAAATACATGAAATGGGAGTGACAATCAGATTTGTATGGTTCCTAATTGCTTTTCTGAAAAGTGATTGTCGTGTTGGCCAAAGGAAGCAGGAGGAGGTGTTGGCCCCTGCTCAGTGCCATTTGCCAAAGGTGGAAATCAAACAACACAGTCTCAGTCTGAGACTTTTGGCCAACTGCTTTACTTCAACTGGAAGCTTCCCTTTTAGGCTTGTAGCTTTTCAAGTGGGCAAGTACAAATGGCAATTCCAGTTTCGACACGACACTTCTAGGATTTCACTGCCAAAAGAGTAATGGTTAAGCTGTTTGGGATTTAAATTAAGGCTACAGAAAATGCTCTATTTCAAGCTTGGATACTTACAATCCAATGTACTTTAATTTTACATTGCTTATATTATTACTCGGGTCAAATTTTTGCTTTTTGGAACGCTTTGCAACTAATTGATTGATTGTTTTAACTTTGATTTTCCTTTTCTAGTTAGTGTCAAGTTCTGGGCTTGCATATATTTATTGTTAAGATTTCAGATAAACGGATTCTTCTTTCATTCCTAGCAACATCGATATTATCCCCAACTTAATCACTTGTTTAACAGGTGTGAGGTTTTATATAAAAGATCTCGATATTATTAGGAGTGAAACCATTTATTATATGAGACTTTCTATTTTGTTAAGTTTTCAATGTGGGACTAGTGTATTCTTCAACACTCCTCATGTAGGACCACTTTTTAGTGGACCACATGTGCAACCAATTCTACATCGATCATCTCTTCTTTTTTTTTCCCCATTTGGGTAGAGTATTTGATTTTGGTTCAATTTGAAGGGTTTTTGGTTGATTTGAGTTTAATCAGGCCCAATCAATAGACTCGCTTTGATATCATGTTAAGATTTTAGAGGGACGAATCCTTGGCCCATCACTAGCAACATTGATATTGTCCCCAACTTAACCACCTGTTTAGCAGGTGTGGGGTTTTATACAAAATGCATTGATATTATTAGGAGTGAAACCATTTGTTATATGAGACTTTGTTAAGTTTCCGATGTGGAACTCGTATATTCTTAAACATTTATAACCCCAATCTTGACTCTCCCATACCCAAGGCCCAGGGTCAGCTCAACTTAGTCTGTCCAGGCCCAGCCCAGTTTATAATGGTAATTGGGTTGGTCCAGCCCAAGCCTATGATTACATAGCTAAGAAAGTTTGTATCAGCGTTCTAATGCATGCCCTCACCATGATGAGTTTGCAGAAAAAATTGATTATTTGATATTTGTAATGGACCAATGCAAATATGTATAAGATCAATAACCTTCCGAATAACATTACATTTATCACATTTCTTGATCACATTTTATCGTAGATGAGTTTCACCTTTGTTATATAGATGTAACGAATCTATCTACGAGTGATGCAACTTCAAGCCAGTTGCCTTCATTGCACACGCCTAACAAGGAGTTTGATTCCATGTTGAGGCAGCAGCAAAATTTTGTAAACAGGGCAATGTTGATAATTTGGAGAAAGGGAAAATGAGAACTTGGACAGAATGAGGGAGAGCACTATTTTCAGCTGCAGCATGGCAAATGTCTGGCCCATGCACAATCGGCTCCCATAACCAAATGGCATGTATGCTTGGGGATACTTGCACGATTCGGATACCCCATTTTCAAACCTCTCTGGCTTAAACTCATCAGCATCTGAACCCCAATTTTCGGGGTCACGGTGTAGTGCTGGAATGAATGTCCATATGTGGATGCCTTCTGGCACATCTAAGTCCCCCAACTTCATGTTTGTAAGAGCTTCCCTTGCCATTATGACTCCCGGTCCATAAAGCCGCAGGCTCTCTTGAATCACCATTGTTAGCTGCATGTACATATACATAAGCAACAATTTTGAAGATTTATCAAACACTCGACTATAAATATTACCATTTTCAATTTGCGTAAGGTGTCCATGTCTTGCAGGCAATGATGCAGTTGATCATCATCCCCACAGACCTCAAAATCTCAGCACGAACACGATCTTGCCATTCGGGTTGTAATGCCAATAGCATCATGGTCCAGGATGCTGCAAGAGCAGTGGTCTCAGATCCTGCAAAGTAGATAGTTCTGCAATTGTCCAGAATAAATTGGTCTGTTTTGTGGCTAGGCATTTCAGTGCTAGAAGCAGCACTTTCAAGTATCATTTGTAATAAGTCCTTTTCTGATGTGCCACACAATTGGCTTTCAGCTTGACGATCCCTCACTAATTTGAGCAACAAAGCGTCCACCTCTTTCTTTAAACTCCTTACCTTCTTGTCATTTTCTGTGGGAAGGAATCTGCAGGATTTGAACACATGGTAAAAAAACAATTAAAAAAAAGATATAAAAAAGCATGTGCTAAAGTTACTGACAGAAGAACAAACAAACCTAAAATTGAGAAAGCCAAAGAGCAAACTTGGATGGGACAAGGTGTCCTGGAGGGCAGCAATCTTTGCAAAAATCTGGTTGCCTTGGGAGTAAGAGCTGCCAAAACAAGCTCTTGATATGATATCAGCAGAGAGGCTTTTCAAATCCTCATCAATTGTTATGTCCACGATGCCCTCCTCACTTTCTAGTATACGGCTCTCCCATGTCTTAATTATTGTCTTTGTAGATTCCTCCATCAGACCCACCATGCCCTACAATTCTTCACCATTTCAATCACCACATGCTTGATTTTAAAATTTTAAAATAAAAGAAAAAGACTTTAGAAAATATAGATAAAAGGGTATTCTCTAATATACCTTAACCTTGTCGAGGAAGAATTCAGGAGCAATGATTTTCTTCTGGTATGCCCATTCTTCTCCGTTGGCCCGGATAACGCTGTCACCTAGCAATGGCTGCATTGGCTTACTCAGATATGTAGGTCTGCCCAAATCCAAGGAGTTGTGCAGTTTCAGCTCCCTTAACAGCTTGGGATCGCTCACATACAAGTGTTGCTTGCTCCCTGTTGAGTACATGTATACTTGACCTGCATAAATACTTTCATCAAACACTTGTAACTTCTCTGTCATTTTGATCCAAAATTCCCATATTCTAAATTATACACCAGCGAGTGACGCTAGCACATTTCTTAACTGAACACATTATGTCGCAGTTGACATGTCTATCAAGAGTTGGAAAGCCACATGCCACATAATATGTGACCAAGAGTATATATTTCTCCTCAAACTACGCAAATTTACTAAACTTCATACCATACTGCTGCTCCCATTGCTGAAGATAAGGAAAGAATGAGGGAACCCAGTTGTGCTGCACTCGTTTAACACCAGATGGTTTCTGATTGATGTTGACATTGCTGGATTGAATCTTCTTCATCTCTGAAACATTACCAAAAATGAAGGAAGGTGCTGGCCCTCTGATGCCTTGCCTCCAAAGCACTGATCGAATCCTTGCAGGCTTCAGCCACATCTCCTTAACCAATCGCATTAAGACACTGGTTATACCAATCAACACAAGTGACCAGCATATCATTGCCACCTGAAAACCCTCCTCTGCCATCTCTCTCTGTTTATGAGAAGAGAAGATGGTTGTGTTTCAAGTTTCAACTGCACTGTGCCGTTAATATGCTTTTCCACGGTCTGCACTGTGCCATTAATATGCTTTTTTTGTTGTTGAAAAAGAACAAAACTACAGCATCAACAGTCTGCACCTATCTTGTACTGGTCACTGATTTTTCATTTTTAATTGTGTTTGATTAAATCAATGTTACATGACGAACATCTTTTTGTTTGGTATGAGGAAGGCCAGTGGGGAGGGGACATATTCAAACTCTAAGTAGAATCTTTGCTGACACTCGGATGGAATCTAGCCTGGTTTTTCCAAGAAAATAAGTAGATATAAAGTTATTAACATGTAGCCGTTGGCTGATTCGTTGATTTCTGAGTCGCTGTTGCAATGTTTACGTCAATTATGTTGCCTTCCATACAATAATACTATTTGGCCGGCGTGAGTAAATCGAGCATCTAGAATTAAAATTCAATATAACATGTGGTTCGATGAAAATGAAGTTTTTTATAATGGGACAGTGGTGGTGATTCCCCCTTTCCCCCATACTCAGGATCAAATCCAGTGGAGTTTCTTTCTTCCAATGTAACCACACACAAAAAAAAGTTTTATATAATGGCATTTGCAGTCTGAAATATTAAGATATATGATGGATAATTCTGTGATTAACACTATATTTATCACATTTTTTTATCACATTGTACGGTAAACGTGGTTTTACAAATAGGGTCTGTCTATTTACAAATGGTTTTATTGTACCCTTAAACCTTCTCTAGCTGCCTTCAAATCACTGCACACGCCTAACAAGGAGTCTGATTCCATGCTCCGGCAACAACAGCATTTTATAAACAGGGGAGTGTTGATAATTTGGAGAAAGGGAGAATGAGAACTTGGACAGAATGAGAGGAAGCACTATCTTGAGCTGCACCATGCCAAAAGTCTGCCCTATACAAGATCGGCTCCCATGACCAAATGGCACGTATGCTTGTGGATACTTGCATGCCTCAGACACCCCATTTGCAAACCTCTCTGGCATGAACTCATTAGCATCCGGACCCCAATTTTCAGGGTCACGGTGCAGTGTCGGTATGAGCGTCCATATGTGGACGCCTTCCGGCACGGTAAAGTCCCCCAACTTCATTTTTGCTAGAGCTTCCCTTGCCAATATAACTCCAGGTCCATACAGCCGTAGGCTCTCTTGAATCACCATTGTCAGCTGCATATACATGCATATATATAAACACTGTGCGCAACAACTTTGAAAATTTATCAAACACTTAATAACAATGTCTTTCAAGTACCGTTTTCAACTTGTTCAGTTTGTCCATGTCTTTCAAGCATTGATGCAGTTGATCATCATCGTCCCCGCAGACCTCAGCAATCTCGACACGAACACGTTCTTGCCATTCTGGGTGCAATGCCAAGAGCATCAGTGTCCAGGATGCTGTCAGAGCTGTGGTCTCAGATCCTGCGAAGTAGATGCTTCTACAATTATCCAGAATGAATTGGTCTCTTTTGTGCATATATTGTTGAGGCTTGTCAGTGCTGTTATTAGCAGCACTTTGGAGTATCATTTGTAATAGGTCCTTTTCTGACGTGCCTCCCGATTGGCTTTCCATTTGGCGATCTCTCACTAATTTGAGTAACAAAGCATCCACCTCTTTTCTCAAACTCTTAATCTTCTTTTCACTCTCTGTGGGAAATAAGCTGCATATATATAGCCGCATGTCAAACTTAACATTTATTTTGATTGGACAAGGCGTCCAAAGAGCAAAAACAAAAGCACTCGAGAGAAAAGCAAAACATGAAAGCGAACCTAAAATTGAGAAAGCCAAAGAGCAAACTTGGATTAGACAAGGCCTCCTGGAGGATAGCAATCTTTGCAAAAATCTGGTTGCCTTGGGAGTAAGAGCTACCAAAACAAGCTCTTGAGATTATATCAGCAGAGAGGGTCTTCAATTCCTCATCAACTTTTATGTCCACAACACCTCCCTCACTTTCAATTACACGGCTCTCCCATGTCTTAATAAAAGCCACAGCAGATTCCTCCATCAGACAAACCATACCCTATATGTAACACGTGATGAGAGAGATAGATACGTTACGTACCTAATTATATACAATCGGATATGGAATAAGAATTGATTGACTGTGTATTACCTTAACCTTGTTGAGGAAGAATTCAGGAGCAATGACTTTCTTCTGGTAGGCAAAATCTTGTCCGTTGGCTCGAATAATGCTGTCACCTATCAAGGGCTGGAGTGGCTTGCTCAAATATCTAGGTACACCCAAATCCATGTAGTTTTGCAATTTAAGTTCCTTTAACAGCTTGGGATCGCTCACATACAGGTGCTGTTTGCTCCCTGTTGCGTACACGTACACTGGACCTGCATACAGTTTCCTTCATCAAACTTGGTAACTTGGTCCTCAATAAATTTGACCCTAAGTCCCAGGCTCTTCATCATAGTTTATTAGTAAGTTATATATGCAGTATAATAATCATAGTAATTTTGTAGGATCAAATAATTTATAGACGTCGGTGACAGTGTTGAGTGACAGAACAATCCAGTTAAAAGATGACATGTGTTCAAACATGATGATACTTTTTTTAAACTTAATCATATGTCAACTTTTACCTCGATTGCAACCCTGTCACATGGTAGGGACATTCATACACAAGTTTTTCTGTCATTATAATGGCGTGACAAATAAAAACCCATCCTACATATATAACATAGTTATTAACTTGTAGTATCTCTAGCATTACCCTAATATAAGGACTAAGTTATTGATGGTTGGACATCGATATGATCCACAATATTGACTAGTGAATTAATATAGTAAATCTACCTACCATATTACTCAATCGATCGTCTAGTAACTATTGTACAAATTTAATTTCATACCATACAGCTGCTCCCATCGTTGAAGATACGGGAAGATGGAGGGAACCCAGTTGTGGTGCACATGATTAGCATCAGATGGTTTCTGATTGCTGGACTGGATCTTCTGCATCTCTGGAACGTTCCCAGCAATGAAGGAAGGTGGCGGCCCTCGGATGCCTTGCTTCCAAAGCACAGATCGAATCCTTGCAGGCTTCAGCCACATCTCCTTCATCAATCGAAACAAAACTCTCAAAACACCAATCAACATAACTGACCAACATATCAAAGCCACCTGCAGACCCTCAGCCATCTCTCTCTCTCTCTCTCTCTCTCTCTCTCTCTCTCTCTCTGAGACAAGCTACCTTTCTATTACAGGGGCATCTTCACCTGCTGAGCTCTACAGTAGAAAATTTATAGCTGCACTGCGACTGTGAGTGATATGGCAGGAGGACAAAAGTACCCTTTTGAATAATAATAATTATCTATGCTGCCGTTAAACTTAAAGTTATGGCCATTGCACTAAACCTTCAGCTAAACCTTAATTAATCATTAATAAGGAGAGGTTGGCAGCTCATTGGCCGCTAATAATATTTAATGTAGTGGTCCAATCAATGTGTAATTTCTGGATAACCTTGGAAAAGGGTGAGTTTATTTAAGGTAATAGCATTTGATTGTATTTTAAAATTTTATAAAATTTGATTATAAAAATATATTAATTCCTTTAAAAATATATATAAATAAGAGACAATCATTCATATAATCCAATAGCTAGTTTCTAAATTTTTATTTATTTCTGGAATTTGGAAAGAAGAATATTGATACTATGCATAGCTCGCAATCTGGTGCATTACTTTTGTTTGATCTACGACCCAAAATTGATGGCCAAACTGTCAAAGAAAATAAAATTATGATACCATTATCATCATATACAGTGAGACAGTTGAGCTGTCAAGTTTTTTTTTCCTTGTTAACTTAACATTCTGAGTTGTTATCCACTAATTATCGATTTAATGATACTTTTCTTTTTCATGTTAAAAGATCTGTTATCTCTCATTTTCTCGTCATTGATATTATTATTATTCTACGGTTATCATGGTATCAAAACATATTCAATTGTACTTGGAAGTGCAAACCAACACTAAAAATCAAAACTAGAACGTGCATATACGTTAAAAGCTAATTAATTAATTAAAATCAGGCCGATGTGGGTGGTTGCTCAAATGAAGTTTTACAGTGGGCAATTGCAGCCTGAATTGAGGTCTCTCTTGCATAAACATACACTTTATTTCTCTCATCACTCGCAAACCCTTTGTGAATCGGCGACGACTTGATCGAACTCGGGCAGCTTCTTGTTCTTCTATCCTTTCGACCAATGCCTGTGCTCATGCTATTTCCTATGGCTTCCAAAACCCCTCTAACTGCGCCCAAGTTTATTTCCAAAACCCTCGAATATTTCTCCTCACCTTCTCCTTCTTCTGAATCATTGCGCTTCCCTTGTTTCTTCTGCGCCAACCATTTGTCCAGAGGCTTCAGAACACTCTTTTTTGATTTTGTCTTCTTCTTGCTTCGACCGGGATCGCAGGCAACTTGGCGGGGCTTCACAATTGAGGCTACCAGGGCTCCCAAATTTATGGCTCGAAACTTGAACAGCAGCTTCATTATGCCACCGTTTATGGAGCTTCTCATGTTTGTTGCTTTCCTTAATTAATTGATGCAAACAGACATGCCACATGGTAATTAGTAAGCTTCATATCACTTGTCACATTATCATTATTATTTTAAGGTTTTATATTAGCGATATTAGGGTAGAAAGGGATCAAATACAAGACATCGAATACAAGGTAATTGCTCTATCTGCTTTTAAGAGAGCCCCTACAAGTCTTTTGGCAATAAGATATTCTAAAGCATAATAAAAGGAAAAGAGTACTCGAACTCTGAGTGCAAAAGAGCAAAAATGTTATACTTTTATACATTATTTGTCACATGATAATCGATAGTCTTTTTTTTATATTTTAAAAAAAGTGGATCTCTACTTTTATGAGGATGTAATGAAATATTATTAACAGTTCGTAATATAATGGGTTAAAACATTTTCCAAATAAAACAAATTAATGATTCTACGCGCGTATTATAGTTTTGGATTCACATGATAAATTTCAACGAAGGTTTCTAACTTCTAATATAAAATTATTGATTGGCTTGTTTCAGTATATACCTGCTACGTGCCACGTGAACATTGTCCGCGTGGATAGACAATTCCGACGATGACCGGAGACCAAAGAGTAACGTGTTGACTGCAGGCAATCTCCCTCTTTTAGTAGCGGTGCTTCTTTGCAGCATGGAAGAGTCTTGATCAGATCCCTCTTTCCGAGCCCCACAACTGCTTTCCGTGGACGAAGAGCTCAAAGTGCACGACGCTGAAGATGATGTCGTCTGGTTTACTGGTTGGTCGTTAGGAGGCTCAGAGATGTTTTGGTGGGTGCGGGTGGAGAGCTCCGGGAGAAGGCTAGATGAAAAAGATAAACGCAAGTAATCTACATGGTCTAAGCGGCCTCCAACACGATCATCGTCATCTCGATCACAACTTGGTTTAGGATGATCATGGTGATCAAGGGCTATTTCGATGTATGATCCATCATCACTCGTGCCATCAGCATCATCGTCATCTTCGTCATCGTCGGTGAAATGAGAAAGAGAGGAGAAGTTCAAATCTGACTCGGAGCAGCTGAAGGAGAAGCTTCCTCCATGGCTCAGATCTCGCAGATCAGTACAACTCATACTTTCCATGGCATGTAGCAGCTATATGCTATATTTCCAGCATGCACACGCTATATACGAATTAATAAAAAAACTGTAAAAGGGAAAGTTGGAACACAGATCATAATATATATATATATATATGGAAGAATAAGATCTGCAGAGAGATCTAAGGAGATAGATATGCTATATGTTGCATGTGCATGCCGAAGCCAGACAGAAATTAATGAAAGGGAGGAGACTGGAAAGTCTCATGAAGTAAAGAGCTTTGGTCCAAGTAAGACACTAGCTAGGCGGTTACATTTTATAGCTAGGACGTCAAGGTGGACCGTCCGATATTTTTTTAATGTTTGAAAATTCAAATCCATGCACATATATACATACGTGGTCCAAAGTTGATTTGGGTTGCTTGTGAAGCGATCAGAATCTGACGAATCAAATCCCAGAACTCATGCAAGTTTTATCTCTAGCCCTTGAATTGCTCTTCAAGATTTTAACGTTGTTGTTTGTTAGTCAAATGAAGGACATAAGATGAAACCCATTGGCATATGATGAGAAGCTTATAATCTTGGGTATCTAAAAGCTTATGCAATTTCCGCAATTTGAGCCAACCCCATTCTTTGAGGCCATGGCCCCCAAAATATTGTATGAATTTGTATTTTGCTTACATTAATGATGAAAGGTGCTTTTCAACTACAAATTTGTAATTAATCACCTAATCTAATTAATAATCAAGTTAAGCAGCCCCTTGATTTCAGGATTTTATGAGCCATATATATGTTGAGAACAAATTCCCGAGTCTGCCAATTGGCTTGCAATCTTCGTCAGTTCGATTTATTATTACATTCCTTAAAGTACAAGGGTTGTGACTATAGACATGAATTGGGCTAAATTTGAATTCCCTTCCCGTAATTTATACTAAATTTTAAAATAAATTATCATTTGTATAAAAATAATAATAATAAGGGAGAGGAGACATTCCATTGCAGTGAGCAAAAATTCAGGAAAAATAATGAGATCGTGTATATAATATACAAAACTGCTGGCGTCAGCAAGAGGTTTGACAAGTCACGAGAGTAACAAAGGGAATTACCGATCGAAATCACTCCGAAATCAATCGTAGTCAACAGTCAAGACTGGTGGGGGGCATGCCAGCAGATTTGAAATATTCAATTTTAAGTGATCAGACGACTTTTCATCTCATTTGGAAGTTTCCTTTGCATTCTTATAAAAAGCAGAATGAATTATTAAAGTGCCAACTAATCTTTTTGACTTGTCTTTTAATTGCTTAACCACTGGCCATACTAATATATACTAACTTCTCGCATGTATTTCCGAGTCATGTACATAAAATAGAATATATTATCTGATTTTTTTTTATTATTATTTTTTAAATATAAAAAAGTATGAATTTATCATATTATTCTCATTTAATTAATAATTTCAATTCTTAATGTTTGCATTAATCAAATACATTTTTTGGTATTTTGAATTTCTATTCTCTATCTTTTGCTTTGTATATATATATATATATAGATAATTATTTTTAAAAATAAATAATTATTTTATTTGTTCTCAAATAAAATTCAAAAATTCATCCGTCATTTGGACTACCTGGCGATATATACGCATGTGGCCTTGAAGTTCCAAGTCTTCGTTCCTTAATCCAATTACTTAATTATAATCGACTCAGCCTTTTCACGTAATTTGAGATTAATTATTCAAACGCCGGGCGTTTTATGATACGAAAAACTGACTTAGAAATAATTTGCATACCCAAGATTTATTGATCCATTTGCTTAATGAGAGACACCATAATAAACACAACCAAAGCTTTATCATTATCAATCAAGGGCAATAGATCTAGACATGATCGAGCCACGTAACTACGTAGGGTCCATAATTAAGCATGCATGCATGTGCAGATATATACCGTCGGTCGGTGGGTCGAATCACATTTGATCATGAATTTACGAGGAGGGAACAAGAACAGTGGTGCGCATCATGTCCTTGAACTCGAACAAGTCAACGAGCCCATCGTGGTTGCGGTCAACGGAGGTGATCATCTGCTGAACTCTATCAATCTCATTGCCTTCCTGGAACCCTAGCTTGGCAAGCACCACCTGCAACTCCTTGGCCGAGATGAACCCATCTCCGTCCTCGTCAAACACCTTGAACGCCTCCGAAAGATCCAACTCCTCCTGGGACATCTTCCTCTTTCCTTCGCATTCTGCCGCAGAAGCAACGACAGACTCTTCGTCGTCGTCGTCGTAGGCGAAGTAGGTGTCGGAGAGGGACTGGTGGAGGGAGAGGAAGTCGTCGAAATTGAGGCCGTCGTTGGAGGGTTGGATGAAGGATTTGATCGTGGAATGGAGGTCGGAGATTTCGACATCAAGGCCGAGGAGAGCGAGGGCTTGGCAGATCTCGTGGACGCTGACGAGCCCGTCTTGGTTTTTGTCGAACACGTCGAAGACGCGGCGGAGGCGGAGGGAGTTTAGGCTCGCGCACCGAAGCCGAAACGACGACTTCGATGACGGCCTCTTGCTAAGGGCGGCACCAGTCGGCCGTGCAGCCGAAGACGCGGCTGCTAATTCCATGATGATAATTAATTTAATGAATGATTTATTTATGTAGAAATCAGTGGGGGGATGAAGGAGAAGATGGAGAGAAGGAAACAGGAGATGTTTTGTTTTGGGTGGGGATGAATATATATGGGTGTTTTTATAACTTATAACAGGGGAGGGTGCGCGTTTGGTGGGCGTTGAAAGTCTGTCGTTATTAATTTCCTGTTAATTTGTTAATCTGTTTGTTTAAATTAGTTTTAAAAAATTGATTTTGCATTTGCCCGTTGTTTGCATTTCCAACCGCGTAACTAACACTCCAACTACAAGTCAGTCGTCGTTGACCCAACAAAAACAAAATCATTATAAATAAACAAGCCCCTTGGTAGATGCTCAAGCATATGCCAATTACTTAGTTTTAAAAATTTATTTATTTTATTTTTAGAATTAAAAAAAAATAACATGGGTAGTTATGTTCTATAAAAGTAATACATATTATTTGATTTTGTTTTAATTTTAATTTTTTTTAGTATGAAAAAGTGAATTTACCATATTATCCTCATTTAATTAATAATTTCAATTCTTAATATTTGAATTAACCAAAGGTATTTTATAGTATTTTGAATGTTTATCATTATCTACTTTTGCTATATATATATATATATTATATATACTAACCCCTTGGCACACGCTCACACATATGCCAATCGGTTTTATTTTTTATTTTATTTTTAGAATTAAAAAAAGATAATATAGGTAGTTATGTTCTATAAAAATAAAGACATATTATCTGATTTTGTTTATATGAAAAAATGTGAATTTATCATATTATACTCATTTAATTAATAATTAATTCTTAATATTTGAATTAACTAAGGGCATTTTCTGGTACTTTGAATGTTTCACAATTATCTGTCTTTTGCTTTATATATACTAGCTTCTCCACACGCGCTTTGCCGCCTACAAGAGGCATTTTTTAAAAAAATTTAAATTTATTTTAAAATTTAAAAAGATAATGGGTAGTTATGTTCCATAAAAATATGATATATTATTTGAATTTTCTTTTAATTTTAATTTTTTTAAAATATAAAAAAGTGTGAATTTATCATATTATCCTCATTTAATTAAAATTTTTAATTCTTAATGTTTACATTAACCAATGAAATTTTTTGGTATTTTAAATGTTTCACCATTCTCTACATTTTACTTTATATATATAGATATAGATAATTTAAATAAATAAAAAAAGAGTCGGTGGTTTCCAATTCTAAATATTAAAAAAAAACAAAAAGGAAAAAAAAACACGACATATCGTGGAATTTGGATTTATGGGCCATATCACATGTGGACAAAGAAACAGCAGATTTATGTGAAAGGGTATGGTCTGAGTTCCGTGTATTGGCCCACTTTGGGACACGTGCGATTGGACCCGTACCCATACCTACACCTCACACGCTCTGCCATCCGTTTTCAGGCGGTGCATCGTTGACTCACTGGTCGTACTTTCTCTTTTTCTGATTGGTTTTTTTGGTTACAATTACATTTACAGTTGAGTTAATCATCTTTTAATCACAAAATAAACAATCTCCCATCTTTTTCATGCGTATGTTGTGTGTTAACATAATGCCGCTGGCTAAGCTACTTAGCTAATATAATATCACATACGAATTATAAATTAATATTATTCGAATGATATTGTTTACATACATATCGTAAATGTCTTAATTAATTTCTCGATTAGATGTGACAATCATATTAAAAAGTTTTTCAAAATAAAAGCATACGAAACGTGTGCTGTATCAGGTTTGAGAGTGTTTGTGTAGTATCAATACTGTTTCCAAATATGTCTTATCTTATATTGGTAACATAACAATTGAGCAATTAAACCTCATGATAAGTTTGAGGAAAAAGCTAAATTAAGGTAAGATTGCTCCCCTATGGTAAGGTTTAATTTTCTTTCCTTATTAATATTTCTAAAAATTCCCACATTACCATTTGTGTATTTATTCCCTCTAAAACATATTTCGCGCCATATTTTCCCTCCAAAACATAGTTCCCTCCATATTTTTGCCTCCAAAAAAAAAAATTCCTTATGTATTTCCCTCCAATAATTATTTCCATTTATATTAATTTTCTTTCCAAAACAGAGTAATTATAGATGATGTACACATTTTTTTTTTATGAGAACGAAGTGCATTATGATGCATAAAACAACTCTAATAATGTTGAAAATCCAATTATATCGACATCAAACTTGAACAAAGAAAAATTAATGTGGATATAAAAAATAAAATAAAAAGGGAATTGATGGAAGTAGGGAGTGTAATTAGTTTTTTTAATGCATTTTTAGGAGTTTAATGTTTATTATTAGAATTTTGGGAGGAATATTAAACGAGTGAGTTGCGCAAACCGCCAAAAAGCCAAAAAAGGAGGTGAGTTGCGGAGAAAGTGGGTCCAGAAATTCGCATGAGGAGCACTCAGATCTATTAAACTGGAGCCAAACTCGAAAGCAAAGACAGCGACTGAGTTAAAGTCTATTTACAAACACTATTTTGCAGCTTTACAAAGTAACCTCTCTCTCTCTCTAACCCCATTTACTTTCCAACTCCTTCGGCCTGCGGCTGCTTCAACTGTTCTTCAACTCTGCTCTCACTCAGGTACTCAAAGTCTCCAGCTTTTCCCTGTCTCAAGCTCTTTCAGCTTTTGCTGTTATGGGTTCTTCTTTGTTTGCTCTCTGAGATCGATTTCTTAGGTTATCTGTTCATTTCCGTTGTTTTAGGGTTTTGAGTTTCCTGAATCAGGTTTCCCCTGCTGCCTTTTGCCGGGAGAATTAAAATCCTTAACTTTTATGAATATTTTAATTCAAAGTTCGAATCTTTTGTTGTCATTTAGGTAGTTATTGTTATATCTCATCTTCAGGGCATCTGGGTTATCTATTTAGATTTGCTTCTTTATTATTTGTCTTGTTTTCTACTTTGATTTTCCTTTCCACCCCAAGCCCTTTTTTTGTCTCTTTCGATTTCTGTTAATTTTCAACCAAATTTTCATGCAGGTTCAACTATTTCACATGGGTTTTATCTGAATTTGATTTCTGTTTTCAGTATCTACTTAAAATAATGATTTGCTGCCAAATTCTACTTTTACTGATCAAGTTCCCATCTTCAGCTGCTATCTTCTCCCTGTATTTCAATTATGATTACAACTAGATGAGATAATGCTTTTTCTGCCAAATTATTCTTTTACTAATCAAGTTATTCTTCAGCTGTTACCCTCACCATGGGTTCTGGAGATTGTATCAATGAACTAGATCAATGCAAACTACCATCTCAGAAATCTTTGGAAAAATTGGATAGAGCTAGTGCTTTGGGGCTTCATAAGGATGCCGCTGAGACACCAATGAAATTGATGGCAAATGGGATGGCTTCTCTGGGGCCTATTACTCCTAAAGCAGACAGAGAGAATGGGGATTTCACCATTAACTTCATATCTCCGCCCTCATTTTTAAAGAAACCGTCAATGGTGACCTGCCTCAGTTCCAACACCAACAGAAATGGGGATGACCCATTTGGTTATTGTGCTGATGGTAGCAGCCCTAGGACACCAGTGGATGGTGTCTTCGATCCCTTTGCCCCCGGCCGGGATGACCTGGCATTGGCACCCCGGTGTAAAAAATTTGTCAGTAAGTACAGAAGTGTGGTTGCTCGTCAGCTTGATTTTGATTCTCCTGTCCAAAATTCAGAAGATGAGATTTGGACTGATGTAGAATCTATTTCGGACGAGGAAATGTTTGAAGCGGTGTATGAAAATCTATTGAAAGTTATTGTATCCGAGCAAACTGAGGGAGTTTTTTCTGAATGTTCAAGGAAAGGTTGGGATTCTGATGACTGCAAAACACCTCCCCCGGAACCGCTTCTAAATGGAGTAGCTGAATCTTGTCCTGGTGCGCCCTTGAGGCCATCAGGGAAATCAAGGAACATTGACTTGGGGTTAATCAGAAAGCTTGAATTCTAACACCAGCTGACTCATGCGGTTATATGCAGTGAATTTGCTAGAATTCGGGTACTTCTTTCCAACAGCTGATCATTTGCTAATTATCATTTCTGCCCCTCTTAGAGAATATGTTTCATAGGGATCAACTCAGTCTCTGTCTCTCTCTGTCTGACCTAGATTATACAGTAGTGCTAGCATTGTACAGTAGTTGTCGACCTTATTTATATTTTCAACCACAGGAAAAGACATCATTTTGATTTTAGCATTGGCTAGTACTCCTCAATTTTTACTCAGAATGTAAGACAAAGGGAGAAATAAAATAGAACTTCTTCCTTCATCAATCATGTGCTGAACATATTCGTGTTTAGTAGCTGTCATATCAAATTTTGTATGCCTGAAATCTCTGCGCTTTATGATTCGGAGCTATAATTTGATGACCGGAATGATTGTCTATGTGTATATTGCTCAACTTTGAATCTTGTTGGATGATAAGAATTGGGAAACTAATTGAATGAAGCTATTTTCTTTGTAGTTTTTTGGTAACTTGGTTTATAGGAAGTCTGAAACAGGGAGTTCTTTGTTTTCCATCTAGGATGCTAGCCATATGTTGAGCAGTACCAAGCGAGCTATAAACAAGGCTACTCTGTTTATGTCCTTGGTTTTGTTTAACCCCTTTATCTCTAGTTCTTGTATTTTCTTCACAAGAATGAAATTGTCGATGCCGGTATTGATGTACATGGATAAGCTAATGTGTAATCTGATGTCTTGTGCCCGATTGGATGGACAAAGACATTTGTTTTCACATGAATCTTGAGTATATCCCTGTTGGAGAGTGAAGTTCTTTGAAATGAGATAGATGTCACTGAGTCTGTGTTTTCTGCTTTCATTCTTGGGAAAAGTTGTGGATTTTATTCAGCTTTGGTAGACTCTCTGTGATTTGTTTGTTTGGATATTATAATGTAACGGGGTTCAGAAGCTGTTTGCTTTTGTTCCCCTTCCCTTTCTGTTTTAAAAGTTAAAACAGCGTGCTCTCAGCACAAGCTTCTCAGGTTGTGGGCAAAAAGTTCACGGGCTGTTTTGATGATGTTGGGTTTGGTGGGTAGGCTTAGAAAGCTCTGTCAGCGATTGGCGTGTCCAGAAACGAGTTAGGCCCGTGAAGTCACCCATGCTGGCATATCAATATAAACTACAAAATATATGAACAAGGATCTCTGATTTTGGACATCATATGCGAATTTTTCCATATATTTAATTTTATTTTCGTGCATCAAAATCTATGTTTGGTTCTCTTTCACCAAGTTTCAACAAAAGAAAATAAAGAGTACAGAGAAAAAGACAAAAAGCTTCACAAAATTCTAAATAACCTGGGTTTAAGTTCGTCCTAACTTTAACTCTCTGCATCATCCTAGCTCAAGCTGATCACAATCTGAAAAGTTTGCTTCTTTTTCCTCCACGGTAGCATAAAAATGCGTAATTTACATGCCATTCTTTGGGTTTTCTGGAATCTGCACCTTCTCACGAATCATTGAGAAGCAAGCAGTATTCTTCTCCAATAAAACTCACAATCACAACTTGGCCTTGCTTTTACAAACTTGCCTCTTCACCTTCATGTCAGGAAAACCAATAGTCAATTGGCACTCAGATACAGCCACAGCATGCTTCTTGATGAACCCCAGGAGGGTAACCCTGCCCGGGATCCTCGTACGTGTTTCCAACACAAACTCACCACCAAGCAGATCACTGATCAAGTTGCTCATGTTGTTCGCCAGCCGGTCCGCCTGCAGCGTAAGGCGGCATGGCAGCGTGGAGTTGCCCCTCGATGGGATAAAACCCGGGTACAAGTCAGCATCACCTACCTGGTTGCCTTGGTACAGAAGAAAAGTCTTGCCAGTGCCATGCTTGAAGCTGGCGTGGTTTCTGTTCTCCACAAGGATCATGAGGTCGAGAGTGATGTTGAGCTCAATCTGAACGGCGGGGAATGAGACACGAGGAGCCACGCCGTCGACAGATGCAGACAGGATCTGGGTTATTGGCTGTCTGGTCTTGAACACAGTTAAGGCCAAGATCAAGGCAATGATGAAGAGCAGCAGGATTAAGAAGAGGACAACCCCAATTGCAATGAGACAGGAGCGCTTTCTCTTGTTGGGTTTGGTGAGGTGGTCGCTGTTTTCTGTCATGGTTTTGATTGAACAAAGGTGTTTGATAAATTTGAAGTTTGTTTGTTGAAGACTTGAGAAAGAGAGACAAAGATGAAGAGGTAACAGAGGAAGAGTGAGTTGCAGAGGGATTTGTATTTAGATCGGTTTTGGGTTCTTCTTCCAATTAAAATTGTAGGTGGTTGGGGATTGGGACTTGATTTTAATGCGCGCCCCCCAACCCCCCTCCAATCCAACGGCCAGCAAACAACTAACTCAGCTTTCCTCGGGTCACCGCCTTTTAATTGCTTCCCCACCCGCTATTCTTTTTCTTTTTTTCTTTTTGTTTCCAATAGCAAACCAATTTTTCTGTTATGCTAGTTTGTCACGTATCCCCGCCCGTGATGAGATTTGGTATAACAGATGATTATTTGCTTAACTTCTCTAATTTGTCTGATTTGATCAGTTTGCAGTGAGTCCGTCTCCTTGCAGCAAGTTCAAATTCCCCTTTCAGTAAATTAGAGTAATTTAGATGATCGCTTATATATATATATATATTAATATAACTTCTCTAATTTGCTTGCATGTCTTCCTCAAATCCAGCGGTGTTCGTATTAACAACATCATATACTTGCAAGCTTTAAGGCGGGTTTAAAGAGAAGGGTCAAGATTGTGGCCGGTTGACGTGCCAATGCAACGAGGGTGGAAATAGTATGGTCTCTCATTGTTTGGTTTGAAAAACGACAACATGCACACTACGCAATATGCATGTGTGTAGAGAGAGAGAGAGATCGCGGAAGCGAAGTAAGACTTTTGGGGAAGGGCACCTAAGCAATGTGGACTTTTGGGAGCTTCGATGAGTCTCAAATTCTAAACTCAGAAAACATCACAATTCATACAATTAATTTGATGAGCAAATTGCAAACAAAATAAACCAAAATCGAAACCAATCTAATAAACCAAAATCGAAACCAATCTAATAAAACTTTCTTGCGTATGAAAATTGCCATATGACACAAGTTTGGTGTTACTTTGGGGCGTTGGTTTGGAATGGGATGCTTTCACTTTTTGTGTTTTTTATAATGTTTTTGTGTTAGAATTTTCCCTTGTAACTTGTTTAAGCAGCAAAGAAACAATACCAATGCCTAAAAGACAAAAAAAATTCAGAATCTTTATTCATTTGTGCAATGCTTCTCTCGAACAGTCTTGCTACAAACATTGATATCAAATTGGCATGAGCTGGTAGAGACCGCGTCGGCATGAAACTTGAAGATTTTGAGAAGAGAAAACAATCTGCCAGAAATTTTGATTTGAATGTTGAAGGGCAATGTACCAGCCAACATGTCCGAATGAATCATAATCAGCTCCGATTCTCCCTGCAAACGATCAGCTAAATTACTAGCGAGCATTACATTTGCGGTTTTGGTGGCAGCCTTTGATATCACTCCTGCTTCTATAAGAGCCTCACCCACCACCACACCCCTGTAAACCAAGAGCACTGTGCTGTGGGTGTACTTGAAGGCCACACCATTGGGGTTCATCACAGACATGTTCACATCCACACTGATTTCGGGCACATTACGTGACATGTCGATGTGTCTTAAGGCCACGACGTCCACCGTGGTTATGGGGGTCATTTTCTTGTACACTGTCATGGATAGAAGCAGCAGTATAATCGATATGAGCATAAGAACAGAGGTCACTGCCGGACAGATGACTGTGAGCCGGACCATCTTTTTTCTAATTACTTCCTTGTTGAAGAAGGCAGCTTTAAATGCTTAATTTCCATCATTTACCTCGCATGTCTTCCTTAACTTCTGCATGCCCTTCCTCCCCAGTTTGCTATTAAATTATTCAAAGACGCTTAAAGAATTATAAGCCGTAATAGATGGAAAGCGTAAAAGTTGTGTTTGATGTGAAAATGCAGAGACTAGAGTGAAAAATATATGTATATTTATTAGATACTCAATACTACAACTTAATTCCAAGTCATATCAAAAGAAAAATACTTGAGAAATTGTAGCACCAAACATGTATGTAATTAAAAGATTTATTTAACCCTATAGAGCAAGAAAAGATCATAAGTTGCTCTATGCGCACTTGGGGTCCCCAATAGTCTTGCTCTTGACATCGATATCGAAACCACATAAGCCGGTGGAGATCACAGTGACACCAACCACGCGGAAAACCTTCACTTTGCCGGAGATTTTGGTGTAAGTGTTGAAGGGCACCATACCCCCTGCCACGTCCATATGAATGACGGGGTTCCCCTGCATACGCTCAGCCAAAATGGTGAGCGTGACGGTCATGGATTTAGTGGCGCCTGGGGCTATCTCCCCGACTTCTATGACCACCTTGCCGACCATAACACCCCTATAGAGCAAGAATGCAGTGCTTTTGGTGGGCGTGAAGGCATACTTGTTGGGGTTCTTCACAGAGAGATTCAAATCCACAGTGAGTTTAGGCACATCCTGAGAAATTTGCAGGTCCCTTAAGACGACCCCATTCAGCATGGTTATGGGGTCCTTTCCTCTGTACACTGTCAACGACAGGATCCCCATTATAAGTGCTACTGAAATCACAAGACCCACGGCCATCGCCATGACGATGTATTGGGGCTTTCCTCCTAGTTTCTTCATGATACTTTCCCCCCTCGTTTCTTCCATTGTTTAACTTCTCCAACACAATATACCAGGCGATTTGTTCTTGCTGTGTTTTGCAGCGGCTATGGTGTACTTGCATACCATGTTTTGAACATCTTTTATAGCCTCAAATTTGCCCTCTTCCTTAATTAACTTATGCATGCCCTTTCTTTCTTTGTCATTAAGTTGCTCAAATCGAACCGTATCTTGATTACAGCATGCTTAAAATTTACGTCGTGTACCAGCATGCTTAAACAAGTTTAAGGCCCAGCTTGAAGGGAAGCATAATGCAGAGAGGGAAAATTGTGATCTTATTTGCTATGGAAAGCAACAAATGCATGCCATGCACTATATGCTGTTAACCCCCAAAATGTGTTTGTTTTAAGGGTCCAAACAGAAAAGGGAGACAGAGCAAATTTGGACATAGATTTGTACTTTGCAGGAAGACTTTCAAATTAAAATACACTGGTTCTCAAATTGTCTCATTCTTTCACGCACTTGGTTCTTTTCAGAATTTAGTCAAACTGAAAATGACAAGAGCTTTCTTTTTCTTCTTAAATTGAAGTATATATCAACCGAGTATCCAGAACACTGATTGAAAATATACAGGCCAACTTCCACAGAAGTAGTATCGTTGAGAAGTCTTAGTGTATTTCTGGTTCAATTGTTTGATCTACAAGGTTTGCAAGATAAACAACTATATTTCTCTGTCAGAATACTCGTTCACAAGAGTAGACTCGAAATTAACATTTATTTCAAAAATAATATCAATGTTTTACAGTTCTAATTGATAGTATGACAACATAACAAACGACGATATAACATTATTAGATACAAAAGGTTATAGAAACAGCTCAATATTGAGTAATTCAAGATGCTGAAAATTGTGATTAATTAGTCACACAGTCCAGTCTTTCAAGTGAATTTTAGAAGGTTCCATCTCTAAGCACCATTCAAGACTCAGTAGCCCCATTGTCTGATCAACGGTCAGATTTTCTGCACCTTTCGAGTGCTCCTCTACTGTACATGTACATTTAAAATCTGCTTCCATTGCAGACTGCAAGAACTCCTCATCTGGTTCTTGAGGATTCAGAGCCAATATGTTCCGCGGGTGTCCAAAGCATTCCTTCAGGGAACACGATGCAGCAGCAGTGCATCGGTGGCATTTTACGTGGACTCTATGATCGCATGGGAGATCGAAGGATTTAGCCGATTTGATTTGTATGTCTACCTTAACTTCTGCATGTCCTTCGTCCCCCATTTGCTTTTAAATTATTGAAATCCAACATATCTTTAATTCTGCAGCATGCATATGTTTAAAGGATTTTAAGCCCGAATTGAAGGGAAGCGCAAAAGTTGTGTTTAATGTGAAAATGCAGAGACTAGAGTGAAAAATATAATCTTATTTTCAGTAAAAAGGGACAAATTAACAAATCCAGAATGCAACTTTATCTGATACGTAGAAGGTAGAAACAACCTAATTATTACAACCGATTCTGAATCATATAAAAAGAAAAAAAAAACTTGAGAAATTAGAGCACTAAACATGTAACCCCACAGAGCAAGAAAAAGAATTATAAGTTAGCGTTCTATGAACACTTGGGCTCCCCAACTGTCTTGCTCTTGACATCAACAGCAAAACCGCATAAGCCGGTGGAGATCACATTGACCTTAACCATGTTGAAAACCTTCACTTTGCCGGAGATTTTGGTGTAAGTGTTGAAGGGCACCATACCCGCCTTCACCTCCATATAAATCTCGGGATTCCCCTGCAAACGCTCAGGCATAATGGAGAGCGTGACAGTCATGGATTTAGTGGCGCCGGCGGCTATCTCTCCTGTGTCTATAACGGCCTCGCCCATCGGCACACCCCTATAGACCAAGAGTGCAGTGCCTTTGGTGGGCCTGAAGGCCTCCTTGTTGGGGTTCTTCACAGAGAGATTTAAATCTACAGTGAGTTTAGGCACTTTGTGAGAAATGTGCAGGTCCCTTAAGACCACCCCATCCACCATGGTTATGGGGTCCTTTCCTCTGTAAACTGTAACCGATAGGATCACCGTCATTATGAATGCTGTGATCACAAGAACCCCAACCACCGCAGCGGCGATGGGTACAGGCTTTCCTAGTTTCTTCATGATCCCTTCCTCCCTCATTTCCTCCATCGTTTTACTTCTCCAACACAACACCAGGCGATTTGTTTCTGTGTTTTGCAGCGGCTATGGTGTGCTTACATACAATGCTTCGAACATCTTTTATAGCCCCATTTGCCTAGCAGGTCTCTTCCATAATTAACTTCTGCGTGCCCTTTCCTTTCTTGGTCATTAAGTTGCCCAAATCGAACCGTATCTCGATCACAGCATGCTTAATTATATTTTGTATCAGCAAGCTTAAAGAAATTTACTCCCTGCTTCAAGGGAAACACAATACAGATAGGGACAGAGACACAGCAAATTGGGACATAGATTCGTACTTTGCAGGAAGACTTGGAAAGTAATATAAACTGGCACACAGCTCTCACCAGTATTTTGTGAGCAAATTGTCTCATTCTTTCACACACTTGGTTCTTCAGAATTTGGTCAAAGTTTGAGCAAATTATCATAGCATGTAGAAATTACAGGAATGGCAGATAGGTTTTTGGATAGACGAAATATTGATAAAATGTTTTACCAGTACCATCAGCAGAAAATCCAACTGAAATTGACAGAACCAATTGTTTTTCAAATGTTCTACAGAACACTCTTTCACAACACTAGTCTAGAAACTAATATTTTATTTAGAAATACCAACGTTCCAGTCAATTAATAGTACGACAACGTAACATAATACAATAAACTATTTCGTAATATAACATTATTAAATACAAGGTGATAGAAACAGCTCAACATCAATGATGTCTACAAGTAATTCAAATTTGAAAATCATATTAAAAAGGAAGAAAATTTATATTTAACCAGCGCACTAAACATACCAAAATATGTCACCCCATCACAACATGAGGGCTTGTAGTAGAGCAGTCACCAGTGAGTGGCAATTCAGTCAGTTCACTTCCCGCAAGCAGACAAGCCATATGCAAATCCAGAAAATAAGAAATCCCAGAAGCAAAAACGAAAAAAGATCACAACTTTGTCTTGCGTGTGCACTTCTGCTCTCCAACTGTCTTATTACTCACATTGATACTGAAATCGCAGGAGGAGGTGGAGATCACATGAACCTTGAAAATTCCAAAAATGACAACTTTGCCCCATACTTTGGTCAAAGTGGTCAAAGGCAAAGTACCGGCCACCACGTCCGAAAAGAGCTCCGATTTATCCAGGAACCGGTCCGCCATAATGGTCAGCGTCACGTTCATGGGCCTGGTCTGGTCCGCCGATATCTCGCCCGACCCGATTAGGGCCTGGCCCACCAGCTCCCCTCTGTAGTTGAACAAAGCGCTGCCGTTTTTGTACTTGAAGCCCACTTTGTTCGGGTTCTTCACGGATAGATCCACGTCCAGCGTCAAGTTCACGTCCACGCTGAGTCGGGGAATGTTGAGCGCCACGTCGAGGTCTTTCAAAACGACGGAATTGATTGTCGTTTCGGGGTCCCTGGCTTTGAACACCGTCAAGCAGAGGATCACGAGTACGACTGTTGCGACCAGAACAACAGCTGTCACCCCCAGGCAGATGTTTCTGCACTTCCGAGATTGGCGGCGAGGATCTCCGCCGCCGCCGCCGCCGCCCGTGGCTTTGAATGATCTTTCCTCTTCCTTTGATGAAGACGCCACTTCCATCTCACTAATGAAAGTATGAAACACCAAAGAGATTTATTGTGACAAGTTTCTGAATCGAAAAGGTTCTGGATTGCCAATATATATATAGAAAGATGGAAGCTTTTGGTGTTGGAGCGAGGATGCTTCAGTCGTGAGCTGACCAATTGGCGGTTTGAGTTGAGCCACAGTAGCTCCAAAACGTGTCAAGGGGGGCTTTTGGGGACCCTTTATAGAGCCACCTAGCCTAATCTTATAAATATAATATAATATATTTCTAAGATCATTTGAAAGGGGATGAAGAAATAAAATCGTGGAAAGAAAGTGATTTTAATTTAATAAAATTTACAATGCCTTTCGTTGGGCTCAAAGTCATTAGGGGATCAAGATAAGAAATGAAATATATATATATATATATTTTAATATAAGCAGTAGTCTAAACGAGAAGGAGGAGAATTTCTCTGACACAAGTATGATGCCGTGAGGAAGGGGAAATGAAATATAAGAGATATTTATTCAAAATCTTTTTATGTTTACTCTTACTTAGGTTAGGTATAACTTGTAAGTAGGGGATGATAGTGTCTTAAGTGTCTGTGGTTAGGCCGTCAGGATCTTAATGACGAGAGGAAGGCTGATGCAATGCAATGGTGGGCTCCTGCACGTTCAAACTTCAAACCTTGGTTCTTAATCAAGTAAACGCAACTTAGATTAGAAACCCTAAAAATGGTCGGTGGAGCAATTGAAACACGCTAATTCAGTAATGGTTGATGCCTTGATGAGTTAGTCGATGGCTCGATGGATCCACCAGACTAGTAGCTTTAGTTTAGTCATTGTTATAGCAGTAGGTTTATAGCTTTAATTTGACACACTCATCTTTCAAATCAAAGGATAAGATTTAAATGGACTACTACAATCGCGAACCACAAAATTTGACGGGATTTATTAATTCACTGTTGGAAATGGGCAAAGACAAAAAAAAAGTCTTAAATTTGAGGATCGGCAGGCACTCGTTAGATACACTACCATGCAAAAAATAAATAAATAAATAAAAATACGACAATAAAATGAGTGGCGTGAACAAAAAGGCTTTTGGGAGACGATACAAAAGACGTAACTTTCAGAAGAAAAGTTTGCAACGTAGAAGATGGATATGTTCACGGCGGCTTGAGGTAGCGAATTGTTGCATGTGGCTGGTAGGGAAGATTTTCGGGCCCATATTTTGGGCTTCTGGGCGATATTGGGTGGTGCATGTTGTAATAAATATTCTGGGCTTATGGGCTTTGCTTTCTCTCAACTTCTTGACACCAAGCCGAACAAGCACGCACGCACACAACACATCAACTGACACATAGCATAAATTGCAGGACATGACAAAAGCACAAATTGCAGCCGTTATTTGATAAGGAGAGCGACCCTTTTGTTTTTATGTGATTATCCGATCAACCCATCTCTTACATGATTATATCAAAGCCTCTGCTTTTGTAGTTGGGCAAGCCTTGATGTTGCTTTAATGGTGGTAGGTTGAAATTTACAAGGCCATATGCGGCAGCCGCGCCTAGGTGGGCCATTTTACTGAACAACGCAGCAAAAGGCATTGCAGATGTTGACTTGATTGGTAAGAAATATGGATAATTTGGGGTTGGAAATTGGGCAACAAAAATTGAATGAATGCATGGAAGAGAGTAGGCGTGGGGTGTGGTAGGTGCTCCAGCATTCAAAACGATACAATATTTCATAATAAAAATACAATATTTTATAATATTTTATTACCTAACAATCTTCACAAAACAGAAGTACACATTTATATTGTGTGTGAAGAAGCTATGGACTGTACTAAGACTGTAGGATAGGGAAAACAAGCACATCTACTATGGCCATTTTCTATGGGTTTATTTGTATTTATTTATTATTTTAGAAAATAAATAATAAAAATTTAGATATTGAAGGATTAAGGTAGTTGAAGAAGATGGGGTCCATGGGAATGGTAATGGGGAGTGAACTGGAGCGGCGGGTGGTGGAGCTGGTGACGGCGAAGCAGAAGGAGAGCCCAGTGGTTTGGGCCATGGAAGTGGGCAACTGGGTTGAGGCAGTTCCAAGCATTGAGTTGGGGGAGGTGTTGGTTTCCCAACTCTGTTTCCAACACAACCGGCCTTCCCTTTGGAAGTTTCTAGACCATGCTCTCTCCTCAGGCCTCCTCTGCCCTCTCCATGTCCTCTCCATTTTGTCTTCCAGGTACCCATCATTTCCCTTCAACTCTCAGCTCTCACATTGGCGTTGTCATGGTTTTGTTGATTGGGGATTGCTTTGCAGGGTGGTTCCTCATAGACGGGCTCAGCCAGAAGCTTATAGACTCTATCTTGAACTCCTAAGAAGATATGCGTTTTCATTTGGTCCACTTGCTGGTGATGCTTCCAAAGAAAAGTGAGTGTGCCAAATCTCATTTTCTGCTCTATTTTGATTTGCTGTCATTGAATTCATTACCTTTATGTGGTGCTATATGAATTATTTGGTGTAAGCATAATCTCTGTTACCATTCTGTTTGGATACATCATTGGGTTTGTCTTATTTTATTTCAGGTTTTCAAACTTCGCAGAAAGTTTCCATCTTGGTTTAGATGGTTTGATTTGGTTTCAATTAACATGGGTCGAAATGCTTGCAAAAGGGATGCAGGCATTGCTAGCATGATTTTTGTATCAATCAATTGAATGAACTGCTAAAATTTTGCTTTTTTTCTATCTTGCAGGATAACAGAATCGATTGATGCTGCCCTTCAACTTTCTCAGACATTTAAGGTTCATGTTGTCGAGCTTGGACATGCATTGGTCCTGTTCTTTTTCAGTGTAATTATTAGCTTGATTGATAGCACATTGGATGATTGGGGATTCAAGATGACATCAAGAAAGAGACCGAGATCAGCTTTTGGAGGTTCAGACAATGATATGGAAATTGATTATAGGGAAAGTCAAAATCTCAAAGTTAAAGAACATCATGAACGGATAAGGAAAAGGAATTCTCTTTTGGCCATAGAGGTGCTGGCGAAACTAACAGAAAGCAGAAAATCTTTGGTTCTCCTTCGACTTGTTCACTTGAACATGTATGCCTCTCATTCTTAATATTTGTCACCTTCAATTTGTAGATGTATTAAGAATCCAACCATGCAATATTGGCAACGCATGATATTCCAAAAAAATCTTACATATTGCTCTGTCACTGCACATAAAAATCATTTATATGAAAAAGGATGCCTGTTGAGTGTTGGGAGACTAATAATAAATTTTCTGTTTAATCCTCTTTTATTCATAGGCCTGAAAGATTCAATGGCCTCCTGCAGAGGCTACGGTTTCTCAAAGGCCGTCAATTGGCATCCTCAGATTTGAATTCTGCGTTGCAACTATTGGCAAGATTGTCTGCCAACATCCATAGTGTCTTGGGTTTTAAATACCAGTTAAATAAGCACCGGCTTGTTGGTGTGCTTCTTGATATTGGTTCTCGGAAGCCAGTGTTTCACTGCAATTCTGGATTTGGTCACTCCACTTGTTGGGTCCGTTTTGATATATACATGGAGAATGCAATGGATGGCAAGCAACTTTCTATTAAATCATTTATTGATATACTTGCAGGTAAAGTCCCTTTGAAGAGTCTCATATGAATTCATATCTGATATAATTTCTGTAATTATATGTATGTAAAATGTATGCATACCTGTATGCCCTTAGATTCATTTTAATAGAAAAAAATTTAAGAAAACTGCAAAAAATTCAATTAATTCCTAATTCCACCGACCTAACTGCAGAAGGAATTTTGACGCTCCAAGTATTTAACCAGGCAAGCTGGCAAGAAACCTTCCTAGAACTCTGGCTCTCAGCCCTTCGACTTGTGCAACGAGTTGAGACTTCTCCATGTTAACATATCTTGTAACAGAAAAGAAAATGAAGATAGATAGTTACCTTCTCCTTCATTCTTCATTTGCAGGAACGTGATCCTCTTGAAGGCCCTATACCACATCTTGAGGCCCGTCTTTGTGTCCTTTTGTCTATTGTCCCCTTGGCCATTGCTAATGTTTTGGAGGATAAGATCAAAGTGAATTCCTCTTCTATTGAGGGAGATACAGTGTCTGGGAATATGGAGAGTGGATATGGAGACGAAATGGATGGCAAAGCTAATACTTCAAGGAAGCAGGGACTGATTTCTTCTCTACAGGTGCTTGGAAACTTCTCTGGCCTTTTATGCCCTCCTTCATCAGTCGTTGATTCATCTAATATTGCCGCAACAAAAGCAGCTCGCTTTATACTTAATTCCAAGAATGAAAAGGATGCATCAGGTGGAGGCAGTGATGGTGATACCAGTATAAAATCAGGTTTATCTTGGAAATCTGTAGTCTGCTTTTAATCTCACCTCAGATTTTGAATCGATCAGTGGTTAATGCATATGTATTTTAGGCATGAATCTCTTATTGAAGAAAAAGTGTACACTTGGATCTTGTTTGCTGTCTATAACTTTGGTTTGGTGCTTTGTGCAATAATTTTGCAAATGAGTCATATGTTTTTCAGGCGGTGACATGAGGCACCTTATTGTGGAAGCCTGCATTGCAAGAAACTTAATCGACACATCAGCATATTTTTGGCCCGGTTATGTGTCTGCATCCACATTCTCACTGTCAGATACATCACCAGTTCAAAAATCTCTTTGGTCAACTTTCATGGAAGGGGCACCATTGAGGGATTCCCTAATAAAATCCCTTATCAGGACCCCAGTTTCAAGGTATAATGAAAAATGTCTGAATATAATTGTAGTGCGAGCTGATCTTTTGCTGATTAGTTTCTCCTTTATTCTGCTGTTCAAGTTTAGCAGAGGTAGAGAAGTTATATCATATTGCATTGACTGGGTCTGAGGAGGAGAAGTCCGCTGCAGCAAAGATCCTATGTGGTGCATCTCTCAAAAGTGGATGGAACATTCAGGTTGAATAATCATGCAGTAACACTAAAAATTTACATTTGGCTATGTTTCGAGTCCTGTTATATCTATTATAGCCTAATGGTGTCTTTTATCCTCATGTCACTCTTCAAGTTTGCTAATGGCACCTCTAATATCTTGGGCTTCAAGTTCTAAATGTTGACAATGTTATGGCTGTTAAGAAAAATTATTTATTAAGAAAATTAAATTTTGATTTCTGAACTTTGTTGTTTTCAGGAACATGTGGTGCACTTTGTGGTCAAGCTTCTTTCTCCTCCTGTACCTCCCAATTATAGTGGATCAAGAAGTCACTTAATTGATTATATGTCAATGTTGAGTGCTCTCCTTTTCGGAACTTCCTCTGTTGATACAGTTCATATACTTTCTTTGCATGGTATGGTGAGTGAAGAGGCCCATCTCTATTGGTATCATAAAATAATTTGAGCTTAGAATGCCTTCCTATTGATTCAACTAAGTCATAAGAAGTTGAAGTTCGGACATTCTTATGCCTACAGGTCCCTGAAGTTGCAGCTTCTTTAATTACGCTTTGTGAGGTCTTTGGATCACTTAAGCCTACATCAAGTAACAAATCAAGCATTGGTGATGAGTCCTCCGTTTACATGGTTTTTTCTTTAGCATTTCTTTTTCTTCTTCGTCTATGGAAATTCTATAGACCACCTCTTGAACAATACATTACGGAGAGAGGAGGAGCAGTTGGAGGAGTGCTGACTTTGGAGTATCTTTTGTTATTGCGAAATGGCCACACTGCACCTGCCCGGAATGAAACAAACAGCAGCGGGGATCAGCTTGAATCAGCATCTCGAGAACCTATGTACATTGATTCTTATCCGAAATTACAAGCCTGGTATTGTCAAAACAAGTCTTGTATAGCTTCAACACTTTCTGGTCTCTCTAGTGGAAATCCTGTTCATGAAGTTGCTAATAAAATATTAAGTATGATTTATTGGAAAATAACTAGAACTGGGGACCCATCAAGTAACTCTTCTGGACCGTCAAGCAGCAGCATTAGTGGCTCCCCTGCAGATACTGGAGAGGACATGTGTCAGAGACCAATGCTTCCTGCTTGGGAGATACTGGAAGCCATTCCTTTTGTTCTTGAGGCTATTTTAACTGCTTGTGCCTATGGCAGGCTTTCATCCCGGGACCTGACAACAGGTTAGTTGGATTACTGCACTTGTTAATCCAGGCTCATTATGTGGTTTTTTTCTTTTTCTTTTTTGTTTGTAATTTCTTCTGTTTCTTTCATCAGCTCATGAATATGTAACTCTCTTGACACTTCATACAAAAATTAGAGTGTTTAGTGATATTTTAAGATTTTATTCATGAAAGTCCTTCTTACGAGCCCTTAAATTCTTGCAGGGCTGAGAGACCTTGTTGAGTTTCTTTTTCTTTTTTGTTTGTAATTTCTTCTGTTTCTTTCATCAGCTCATGAATTGCAACTCTCTTGACACTTCAAACAAAAATTAGAGTGTTTAGTGATATTTTAAGATTTTATTCATGAAAGTCCTTCTTATGAGCCCTTAAATGCTTGCAGGGCTGAGAGACCTTGTTGAGTTTCTTCCTGCTTCCCTTGCTGCCATTATTAGTTACTTCTCTGCAGAAGTTACCCGTGGTATTTGGAAACAAGTGGCTATGAATGGAATAGATTGGCCTAGTCCAGCAGCGATTCTTCAATCAGTTGAATCTGAAATAAAAGAAATACTCAACGCTGTTGGTGTCAACGTTCCAAGCTGTGGTAATTTAACTCCTCTTATTTTTGTATTGTTCGTAGGTCTGTTCTGATTATCCTATTCTGGTGCTGTAGCCCCTCACACACAAACAGACTCACAGAGATTGACAATGATTGGTTCAATTTACCTACTGTCATACTAACTTTAGAATGTCTTCTGCCTCTCCGTTGCTAAAACCTTTTCAATGCCTTGCAGGGATTTCAACTGTAATGCTTCCACTTCCACTGGCTGCTCTTGTGAGTTTAACCATTACTTTTAAACTCGAGAAGAGCCTCGAATACATACATGCTGTTGCTGGACTGGCCTTGGAGAACTGTGCATCAGGTTGTCCTTGGCCTAGCATGCCCATTGTAGGCTGTTTGTGGGCTCAAAAGGTCCGCCGCTGGCATCACTTCATTGTCGTATCATGTTCTCGCTCTGTATTTAGACAGAACAAAGATGCTGTTGCGCAGCTTCTGAGAAGTTGCTTCTCCTCATTCCTTGGATCGCTCCATGCTTCAACCTCTTCATTGTCCAGTCAAAGCAGTGTGAATGGTCTGTTGGGCTTCACCATTGCAGACATTGGAGCTCATCCTTCCATAGCACCTGGATTTCTGTACCTGCGTTCTTGTCGGACAATACACGTTGTCCAGCACGTGAATGATGTGATCGTAGGACTTGTAGCAGAGTATGCTGCGAAACTAGCCGAGAGATGTGCAAGCACAGATTCCCCTCGCTTGAAGTCTAGCCAAGCATCACTGTCCCTAGCCATTGCAAAGGCAAAGGAGGTAGCCTCACTTGGTGCAAGCCTCTTGTGCGTGGCAGGCGGAGTTCAGCTGGTTCAAGAACTTTACAGGGAAACAATCCCAACCTGGTTACTCTCATCAAAGGAAGAGAAGCTCGGGGAGGTGAATGCCGCGTCTCGCGTAATGGAGGGGTATGCAATGGCATATCTGGTGATCCTGTCAGGTTCCGTTGAATGGGGCATTGGAGACAACTTGCCTTCATGGACACTCTCAAGAAGGGCCAGGATTGTTGGGAGCCACATGGATTTTCTGGCAGGGGTGTTGGAGGGAAACATATCACTTGGCTGTGATCCTGAAACTTGGAAAGCTTATGTTTCTTGTTTGGTGGGCTTAATGGTGAACTTTGCTCCGGCGTGGATTCAGGAAGTGAAGGTGGAGACGTTGAGGAAATTAGCCGGTGGATTGAGAGGGTGGTATGAATGTGAGCTGGCCCTTTCTCTTCTTGAAAGAGGTGGGGCTTCAGCCATAGGCTCTGCTGCCGAATTAGTTTATGTGTTGGATGGAGTTTGAATTCAAACTCAATCCAAGATGTAGAATGTAGTGATTTTAATCTATCGATTTGGTACTTATATGATGTTGCAATTTAGCCTCCAAATTGGGTTAGCAATCCGATTGTCTTTTTTATTTCAGTTTTGCCTGCTACCGAAAATTAGAACGTAAATGAGAGAAAAGAACTTAGAGAAGTACCACTAAATTAAGAGCTTTCTGATTCGTGTATTATACATCAAACACGAAACTTAGAACCTACTTCCTTATACATCAAACGCTTTCTAATAGGCTAGAAGACATTTTCTCCTACTTTCATGTCAAACACTTTCTCGAATATGATCTAATACGTCTTAATTTATAATAAACAACTTGTAGAAAGGAAAAATAAAAAAAATAAAAAAAATTACTTCCTTGCTGGTATGTGATAATGTGAGAATAATAAACAACAAAATGGAGGAAAAGAATGAAAGTGGAATTTTACATTTGGCGGATTGGCAGATTGGCGGGCCATGTTCAAAATTTCGTAAAAACTGAAAATAGAAATTAATTAATTACGCATATCTGAAGTAACATGCCTACATTTTCACCTGTTTATTTCTTAATGCTTATTTTATTCTGAATTTCATATAAGTATATATATATATCTATCTCTTTCTCTGTCTCTCTCTCTCCTCTCCATTGCTGGCTCTGACACTTTTTCAAGGGACATTCTTTTTCTCCTTCCTCTCCCAATTTCAACCCCACACCCAAACACCCACCAGCGCTCTCCAGATAACCAAATTTCTGAAGATTAGGGTTCTGGGGGGCTTGTTGTGATCTAAAAGGGTTCCATTTAATCTAATAGAAACCATCACAAACGCATATACTGGTATAATTTCAAATATATATATATATATATATATGTATACATATATGCGATATGCGTTTGTATGAAATCAGAATCTGAGAGTTGAGAATGGAAGTGGGAAGAAGGATATCGGCGAGTCCTCGGCCATGCTCGGGTCGCAGAATATTGGCGAAGAAGAAGAGGGCTCGCTCGGATGGGATTGTAAACAGCGTGAAGAAGCTTCAGAGGCGTGAGATTTCTTCAAAGCGTGATCGAGTTTTTGGCCTCAGCAATGCCCAGGAGAGATTTCGCAACATGCATCTCAAGGTCTGGTTTTCATTTTCGTTGTATTTCTACTGATGTTCAATTGCTCGACCTCAGTTTTTCATAGCTCGCATGTATCCAATGCAATTTCAATTTTTCAATCTCAAATCACTTTCTAGGTTTTGGAAGCGTGCGGTTCTCATTGCATATCATAAATTTACTAAATTCATGATGATTAGTTCTGTTTTTTTTCCTTTCTGTTTTTTGGCAGTGCATGTAACATTTGAACTATTTGGCTGGGGCTACAACTTAGAAGAATTCTTATAAGAAAATTAAAATAATTAAAATTTGAATTCTTTACTGACAATTTTTTTTCTCGAATTGAGAATCCTGATCCTTTGCAGATGTTTTCATTTGAGAGATGTGATGATCTGCTTCCAACCTGAGTCATAGTTATCACCTTGGTTTATATACTTCTTCATTGCCTTGGGTTTGTGTGTTTAGATTCTGGTGAAGCTGGCCTTGGGTTAAACTTTGTGATCATATTAATTTCTTACTAAATCTTCCCCTGTGAGAAATTGCCAATGAGAACGAGAATTCATTAATTGTCTACTCCACGTATTACGGAGCATTAAGAAGCTCAAGTTATGACCCAACAGTTTTTCTTTTATTGTTGAAACTGTAAAGCTGACATTAATGATAAGCATTAGCTGTATCTGTCAAACATAACAAGGGGGATTATCAATGGCTGTATTTCTTTTTTTGATATCTAATTAGTTCATTACTGATTCAGGAGGAATATGATACTCATGATCCCAAGGGGCATTCTTCCCCCGTATTGTCTTTTCTGATGAAGAGGACAAGGGTTATTGAGATAGTTGCTGCACGTGACATCGTATTTGCTCTTGCACACTCGGGTGTTTGCGCAGCTTTTAGCAGAGGTAATAACATTCCTAACTGAAACAAATATCTTACCAAATGCATAACAATATGTTCTGTATATATTTTCCCAAGGTAGCAAATATTGCAATAGGTTAGGTTAGTCAATCATTTTTCAGGAATGATAAATCACAGGAATTGAAGGAGGAGATAGACAATTAAATGATAGAAGATCCGATTTGTAAAAATAAGATTTAAAATGACTAGAAAAGTAAAAACAAGACTGAATACAGTTATATCATTATGAGAAAATCCAAAATCTGGACCCAACCAACCCGTTAAGACCCAATCGTGGGGAGAACCTACGTAAACCAGTTGATTAAACAAAACAGAAAAAAGCTTTCATCGTGCCTGCATTGTTACCTATTCTCTGTTGGCTATTCATATTGCAGAGAAAAACGAGAGGATATGTTTCTTGAATGTAAGCCCTGATGAAGTCATTCGGAGCTTGTTCTATAATAAGAACAACGATTCGCTCATCACAGTTTCGGTCTATGCCTCAGACAACTTCAGCTCTTTGAAATGCAGATCCACAAGGATTGAGTGGGTAGATCTTACTTAACATTTATGTTTAGCTTTTTCAATGCCTTCATAGGTTATCTATTTCTTATGTTCAGGTATTGTCTATTCATTGGCTAGGTATATAAGGAGGGGCCAGCCAGATGCTGGATTTTCTCTTTTCGAGTCTGAGTCTTTAAAGTGGCCTGGGTTTGTGGAGTTTGATGATGTTAATGGCAAGGTGCTAACATACTCTGCACAAGACAGGTATATTTCGTTTTGTAGCATTTCTAATATACGATTATCAAATCCATTAAGATACTAACAGATTTTCCTTTTTGGGGGGGTGTTGAACCAGTATATACAAGGTGTTTGACCTTAAGAACTATACCATGCTTTACTCTATATCAGACAAACATGTACAAGAAATCAAGATCAGGTATCTCTCGCTCTTCTTCCCCCCAGTCTCTTGTTGAAACAGTTTGCTTGCTATCCATAGTTTGCTGTCTATGTCTCACACAAACTAATATTTATGCTTAAGTCCTCAATGATTCTTCTGTATTCACCTTACCCCATCATTTCTATTGTTTGTAACAGCCCAGGCATCATGCTGTTGATTTTCAATAGAGCTAGTAGCCATGTTCCGCTGAAGATTCTATCAATAGAAGATGGCACAGTTCTCAAAGCCTTCAACCATCTTCTTCATCGAAATAAGAAGGTTGACTTCATAGAGCAATTCAATGAAAAGCTTCTCGTTAAGCAAGAAAATGAGAATCTTCAGATTCTTGATGTAAGTAAACTATAGCTATTATGGCATAACAGGAGTTCTTTTGCAGCCTTGGTTATTCATGCCTTAGAAACTTTTAATTCTCTGTAGGTTCGAAATGCAGAGCTGATGGAAGTTAGCAGAACTGAGTTCATGACTCCATCAGCATTTATCTTTCTTTATGAGAACCAGCTATTCCTGACATTCAGAAATCGAAACGTGGCTGTCTGGAACTTTCGTGGAGAACTTGTGACTTCATTTGAGGATCACTTGTTATGGCATCCTGACTGCAATACCAATAACATTTATATAACAAGCGATCAGGATCTTATCATATCTTACTGCAAGGCTGATTCGGATGACCATTGGATGGAAGCAAATGGTATTTCATTTGCATGTTCCAATCTCTCTATACAGCAAGAAATTAGTAACTCTTGAAAATAGTGGTGGATATTATTTTGCATATAATTTTTTTTTCTTTTGCAGCTGGATCTATTCATGTCAGCAATATCTTAACAGGGAAATGCCTGGCCAAAATAAATGCAGGCAATGGCGGTCCCAAGGTTGACGACTGTGACAGCAGTGCTGGCTCCTCAAGCAAGCGAAGCAACTCATCTCTGGTGAGAAGCACCGTTGCTGAGGCTTTGGAAGACATAACTGCTCTTTTCTACGATGAAGAGCGCAATGAGATATATACTGGAAATAGGCATGGTCTTGTTCATGTGTGGTCAAACTGAAGTTGAGATCATTACTTTGTTTTGGAAGCTGCCCTTAGAGAAATAGTTTATTTTGGCAAGCCTTCGTGCATATGGTATATTTTACAAGTGCGTTGTATCATTAGATGACCTGGAAGTGCTCTTGCATTGTATCATAATATGATTTTTGAAATTGTTAATGTAGCGTTGTGTAGAGCTTAATTTTTTGGGGGAATATAGGCAGGCTTTCTAAATTTTGCTTCCCATTATCCATATTAAGATTTTTTAGAATCTCAATTACGAAAATGTACTTTTATGGATTGTTGACTGACGCCCTAAATGTCAATAATACCCTTTTTATGCTAAATAGGTGTCATGTCAAACTCTCATTCAAAATTTAAACCCTCCTATAATGGTGTGTTTATGAGTCAAAAGTCCCACTCGATTGCTCCACCTCTCCACTTTACCTTTCTCATCTCAACGAAGGGAAGGAGGCTTGCATAAAAAGTAAAGTCTGGAGTGAAACAGAAGGCGAATGGCCATCGCTTTCAAAAAGCAAAAAACAAGTATCCATGTAACAATCATATTTACTTCAACTTGCAAAGTAAGCATACGCGTAGTTGTTATTGAATTTTTTATTTGTTTGATTGAGGACAAATGAAGATGCCGAAAACTTGGAGAATGAGGCATTTCAGCAACAACGCCGAAGTTGACGGACCTACACGATGGAGATAACCTTGTCGGCATTCTTTCTGAACCGCCCGTAAAGTTGATTTTACAAATGAGCTTAAAGAAAACACAAACACATCTAGGAAAAAAAAAGGCGGGGAACGAAAAAGATTAAGCAAAACACCAGAAAGTTAAAAAGGAACTACTTGTTATGAGAATATAAGACATTTATGTTCATGAATATGAGGGTTTATATACACAGACAGCTTTTTAATGCTTCGCTTACAGGAATTATATGCAGCTGGAGAAAACAATGGCATATGATGCTGACTTTATACAAAACAAATGTGTAGCTGACATACAAATTTGCATTTTTTCCACCATGGTTCATGCGTGCTTTCTCCGTTCTTTTAAATGTCAACTCTTTACTCCCCGTTACTTTATAAAATTATTCTAGCTGGGGAGCTTTCCCTCTCCAGGGTTTGACTATCTGAAACGAGCAGAGCAAACTTGCATCCACATTCATCAAGGCACCTGCATTGTTGAACTCTCCACAATAGTTTGGTGCAGAGAATATGGTAACCAACTGCCTGTCTGCGAAGAATTCGTAACCATCTTCAACAACCTGTCAACCAAGGAGAGAACTAATTAGCCGAAGGATCAAAGATCACATTAGCAAATAGGTATTTTCACATATACTAAACGTGGATGGTACATGTAACATAGCTCGTCAGAAAACAACGGTTACAAACTTGAAACTTTCTTTCCTATCACCACTTGTATACGATTATGTGTATCTCTCTAATTACGTGATTAAAACAAGATGATAAGAAAAAGATAGACCTGGTGAGCCCGACATATGAGATCCAGATCATGTTTCATCAAGAACTCTGCCACCTTATCTGCCCCAAAGGTATAAGAAACACCCCTATCATTTTCACCCCACCCTTTAATGTCCCTATCTGGATCCGACCAAAGTAGGTCACACAAGAGCCCTTGGTCGGGTACATCAATCGGCCTTTCAATGGCTCTGAGTTGCTCCAAGTTGTTCAGCTCAGGAGAAAGGCCGCCATGCATGCAGAAGATCTTGTCATCGATGACTGCAGCCACAGGCAAACAGTTAAAGGAGTCGGTGAAAATCTTCCATAGCCGGACGCTGAAGCGGCGTTTACACTCATCATAGAATCCATAGATTCTGTTGATGGAAGCACACTCATGGTTCCCTCGGAGGAGGAAGAAATTATCAGGGAACTTGACTTTGTATGCAAGGAGAAGGCATATGGTCTCTATACTCTGTTTTCCTCTGTCTACATAGTCTCCAAGGAAAACGTAGTTGGCATCTGGTGGGAATCCGCCATACTCGAACAGTCGCAAGAGATCTGGATATTGGCCATGTATATCACCTGCAACCCCCAAACAATTTGATCTCATTGCTTCCATAACATAGAACATAGAAGAAATAGCCATAGGAGGATGAATTATACTCTGTTTTCATTGGAGCCACCCAATTCAAGTGCATTATTTTTGGTTTTGGACAATGATGTACATAAAAAGGCTCTCTCTTTTGAGATTTTAATTAGAATTTAAGTACTAATTGAAATTTTACATACCGCAAACATTGATTGGAGCTTCCAACTCAAGAAGATTAGGCTGCCTGAGAAAGACTTCTTTTGCAGTTATGCAAAGTTGTCGAATTTCGGACTCGATTAGCTGAATCCTTTTACCTCTGTTGATCCTTGCTTCCAACAGTCTCTCTATCAGCGCATCTAATCCTTCCATTCCCCTATCTTCCCTATCCAACTCCTATCTTTTGTTCTATTTGTTTTTATGATTGATCCTATAACACCTAAACTAGAATTCCATGTATAACTTGTTTATTAATGTCAAAAGAAAAGGAAAAAACCCCCCCACACAGAACCTTATCACAATGGAGATAGAAAGAATGATCAGAAAAACAAAGTAGAGGAAGAGAGAGAGAGATTGCAAAAGAATCGGTGGAGTGAGTTATATTTGGTGGGATTTTATTATTATTGTTTTTTGTATTTTTAATCAAAGGAGGTCAGAGGATGCCAACTTGTTCTTTTTTGGGTTTGTGAGTTGTGACATGAACCTTATTTTTTTATGGTTGTGATGTTGAGAGGTTCACAACCTTTGCCAACAAATTAGAAGAAGAAACAAGCACCCCACCATTTCCCCGACTTAGATGGGCTGCTCCACGTAAAAGGGGATAGCTATATGCTATAAATGATTTACTCATAATCTTGCTAGGTTCGTTATATCTTATCAACTACCTTCTCTGGTTTAGTTTTAGTCTGTAAGTTGTGGCTATAAATTATAATGCCTGGCCAAATCATGCAAAACATCAAATCATATTTTGTAAATGGAGAAGAACCCATGTTTCAGATAGACCAGGTGGTCTGGTCCAGAACGACCCTTAACTAATTTTCCCCTTTTTTCACAGAAACAATTTTCATGGGTCAAAATCAAATCACATGGCTAACAACAAGCACATAACACACGGCACTTCCTTCTACTGATTCATGATCCAACAAAGAAGCTGAATATTATAAAACATACTTCAAATGATAAGTTGTCTAACAAGGATAATAATCATATTGTGATATACAAAGATGGAAAGCATAATAATAGGAGGCTTTGAAATCACCAAGATGATGACAGCTGACTTGACCAAACAGCAGGTGAAAAAAAGGCAGCCCTAAATTCACCACTTCCTAGAAAATGCCATATTCCTTCCGGGACAAAGCACTTCATTCATAGCATCTTTGTGCTCACAAGTGAAAAACTTCAGAATTGAGACTTGTCAAGGCTGTCAAAATAGGGATGGTCAAGAGCGGCTTTGGCTGAGATTCTCTCGGCTGGATCATATTTAAGCATTTTCTGCAGAGGCCAAAATCAAGGCACTCTTAGAATAACCAGAATAATAAAGAGGCAATTAGAAGTACTAATAAAACAGCCAGCACCAGTCTAATATCAACTGATAAACTTGTACTTATCCAATGACAACACATTTGCTAAAACAGGTTCTGCTCATTCATCACATGACTACATTGTAATGGTTCTGCTTTCAAACTTGGCAGGCACTCAACAGTCAGGCCAATTATGTTACTATTTAATTCATCAGGCATCAATTCAGCCATAAAAAGCGAGTCCACTTAACGAACATGTAACAGACCAAATACACAACAAATCCTAAAATCCGAACTGATATTGCAAACTGAAAATAACCATGGAGACTGCCTTCTTGAAAGAAAAAAAAACAGACTGGGTATTACAAGATACTTATATGATGAATAGATGGACCAAGAAAAAACACAATGAAGAGATATGTATTGGCAAGCAGAATGAGGTAGATCACCATATATAAGCCCACATGGAATTTGGCAAACAAATGAACACATTTGTCAAATCATGTACATATTTGCACATGGCAAAAAATGCCAAATTCCTTAATGGCAAATATGAATCACAAACCAAACAGTTATAGGGTTGAAGAACACTGTTCAGAAGACAAGTTAATTGCAGCTTTAAGCACTCGAAGAAAACTTACCTCTAGGAGGTCAACTCCATCAGGCCCCAAAGCAGGAACAGCACGAGCCAAGTTTTGAGGCTGCCACTGTGGATACACATGCCAATCTCGCAGAGCACTAACTCCTGGCCACTGCTTGTCTGATGGTGTTCCTAGCAGCCTACACATATATAGTAATACTAGCAAGTAAAATTTTTGCTTTTCCGTTTCTGCAGTCCCAGAAAATAAATTCAAATCAAAATGAGAAATTGAGCGGGGAAATAAAACAAGCACCTGAAAATGTGAAGCAGCTGCTGGAACTCAGAGTCTCCTGGGAACAGAGCCTGCCTCCTCACCATCTCGGCTGCAATTCAAGAATCAAATAGAGTGAGTAACCTAGTTAATTAATTATTAATTGAAGCATTAAATCCAAACGAAATTGAAAATCGTGAGAGTGAGTAAGAATTGAGTACCGAAGATACATCCGACGGACCACATGTCTACGCCGGTGGAGTAGTGAGTCGAACCAAGCAGAACTTCCGGTGCTCTGTACCAGAGAGTAACAATCTCGTGCGTGTAACTCTTGAGAGGTACAGTGAAAGCGCGGCCGAGTCCAAGATCGGCGATCTTCAAAATCCCTCTTTCCTTGTCCAGAAGCAGATTCTGGGGCTTCAGATCGCGGTGGAGGACGCCATGGGAGTGACAGTGGGCCACCCCCTTGCACAGTTGGTAGAGGAAGCTCTGGACCATCGACGGCGCCAAGGGCCTCGGACTAGGACCTTTCCGGTGAGAATCGATGAACTTCTTGAGATCGGTGTCGAGGTACTCGAAGACGAGGTAGAGGACGGGCTTGCCTTCCTTGCTGTCGACGTGCTCAACGCAGAGAAGCCGTACGATGTAGAGCGACTGAGAGAGCATTTGCAGAAGAGAGACCTCGCGGAGCGCGGTGGGAGGGACGCCTTCTTCGTCCATCTCCAGACGCGTCTTCTTCAGCGCGACCAATTGGCCTGTGGCCTTGTCCTTGGCCTTATAGACCTTGCCGTACGTGCCTTCTCCTACCTTCTCCAGCTTCTCGTATTTCTCCATTTCTGAGACGTCAAATCAAAACCCTAGAATTTTTGAATTTCTGGTCTCCCTCTTCTTCTGGATCGAACCGTCCACTCTCTCTCTTGTGGTTGGATTTTTAAATTTAAAGGCGGAGGAGGCGGAAGGAGCGCAAAGGTGCTGCCCAACGGAACGGGAAGGAGAGGGCAGCACGTGTCCCGCGCCTGCCTTCACGTTCCAAATTTGAATTCACTTGCCCTCCTTCCCTCCTCGCTTTCCAATATATTTGTTTCCATTTTATGTGATCAGAAAATCACAACGAAGAGATACTTGTACATTTCTTAATCGAAAATATTTCTGTGTGCCTGTCTATTTAGTGTATAAAAAGAAAAAATCTTACATTTTTAACTCGGAATTGATACTTCGGTTTTTTATTTATTATTTACTTATTTGATATTACTTAATCTGATCACCAAATTATATGACAAGCGACGTAATAATTGTATATCAATGCTCAAGTAAAACCCGCCATATCAAACTGGAATTCAAATTAAATTAGCAAAAACTCGTCAAACGATGCAACGGTATTTAGTCTCCACTTTTGTTAGAGAAGTCGAGTTTACGGTATTTAATCTCCACTTTTGTTATAGGAGCCTAGTTTACGAGTTCATGACTCGAAATTTATGAGTTCAAGGCTTATGAATGACAATGTGGTGCAGAATCAATCAGCTTTAAGACCCTGTGATATTACGCTAATAATTTAGTCCTCATATCAACATCATTAAGATTTTCTCGAACTTCAACTGTTTTCAACTGTTAAAGAAATAGACAATTTAGAAGGAAGGATGACAAATTATTCATCTGGGAATTAAAACTTCAATCCAAGAAACGTTATCATAAACACCGCGACGATAATTGATAAAAGTATGAAATAGCAAAAATCCATTTTCATCTTTCTTGTCCTGTCCTCCTCTAGAGACAGTGATCCAATTACCATAGCACACAGCTGCTGCTGTGAGCATGCATGGTTTTATAACTTATTTAACAAAATAACAGGCTGCAATAGCAACTGAAATCGACAGCCTCTTTGCATGACATTGTAGCCTAAGTCAAAATTTATGAAATACTAGATTCAACCATCTCCTCTATCGTGCTGCCTAGTTATCAACAACTTCAATGAGTGTCGTCTCATAGTCGGCAGGAGCTTCAAATCCATGCAGATTCATCACGGTTGCAGCGACATTGGCAAGCCCACCATTGGGAACATCCTTGCGGAACTGGACGCCAGGTGCCAGTCCAGGACCACCAATTGCAATTGGAACCTTAATAAAGAAAAACCAAGACAAAATCAATCAATGAGAACCCGTGGAAGTAAGTGTTCAATTTTGATGATTCTGAATGATCAAATGCACCAAAGGATTACTGTTTAATGGCATAAAAGGGATGACTACGAAAGGCCATGATACATGCCAAACTACCATTTCATATGCATTTGTTATAAATATGCAAAAGGTATTCAGAGAACTTACTGGCTGAAGAGTGTGGGAGGTAAGAATTTGAATGTTGCCATTCTTGTCAAGAAGAGGTTGCCCTTTCTTGTTTCTCTTCACCATATCCTCAGCGTTACCGTGATCTGCAGTAACAACATAAATTCCACCCACTTGCTCTATTGCATCAATAATTATCTGCAATCAGACAATAGCATCTTCAGTAAGGAGACCTAAACCCTTTACAGACAGTCAAGGTGGTTGGGGAACAAGTTCAAGAAAGAATTTGGGGATACAGCAATAACTAGCTTTTACAAGTAAAGATCTTGTAGAGAAATCAAACATTTCTTTTTGTTTTTAACTTGATATAAATGCAACACATCGGATATAGTATCCTTATTTCATAATTCCTTTTCGTTCAAATTTGATTTCAAACTCTTACAAAAAGCTATAGCCACCATACCTTGACAGCTTCATCAGCAGCCTTGCAAGCAACTACTGTGGCCTCAATGTCACCGGTATGCCCCACCATGTCACTATTTGGTAGGTTAACACGTACCTAAAGAAAAACAAAACACATTGTTTAAATCTGAAACATGTTTATTTATTTATTTTTTTTTATAAAGATAACAAAAATCTAATATAGATTCTTAGATATCACATGATCAGTCTATTTATTACCTGCTCAAATTTCTTACTAAGAATAGCATCCCTCGCCTTTTCGGCAATCTCCACTGCCTTCATTTTTGGCTGGACGTTGAATGTGATTCCACTATCACTTGGAATTTCCACATACTCCTCCATTTGAGGGTTAAAATACCCAGAACGATTCCCATTCCAGAAGAAAGTGACATGGCCAAATTTAACAGTCTCGCTGCACATTCAAAGATTTGGAAGGAAAGAAAAGGGTCATGAAAGTAGGAAGCCTAAAATTCAAACATGAAAAGAAAATTCTGATATGAGCATATTGGTCAAAATCAATTATTCTCCCAACCCCAGATTTGGCATAGCGTCAAAAACAGTTTTGGAAAAGACAAATCGACAAACACAAAGAAACCTAGCACTTGACAGCAACACAGATAATTAACTGGGTAACAAATGCTACAGATAATTAACTTCATAACAAAAACTCACCTGCAGGCAAAAGTACGGACACCATTGTACGTTAGATATTCACCAGATGTTCTGTCTATCTCTGGAGGTTCTACAAGGTATTTGCTTGGAAGCTTCAGCTCACCATCATACTGCAGCATCCCAGCATAACGGATTTTAGGGAATCGAACTCTATCAAATTTGTCAAAATCAGCATACTCGAGCGCCTTGGCAATCATAACCATACGGTCTGCGCGGAAGTTGAATGTAACAACAGCATCACCATCCACTATTGGGCCCACAGGCTTTCCGTTCTCATCAACAATAACGAAAGGAGGTAGATACTGGTCACTGGTGTTTGGTTCCTGTCTCAACGTCTTGATAGCTTCAACAGCATTCCTAAATTTGTGGGGAGCTTCACCTAGAACCTGGGCATCCCATCCTCGTTTTACAACTCCCCAGTCATTCTACAAAATACCAATCATCCATATAAATTAACAATTTGATAATGAATGGAAGAATTCAGGGGTCAAGTAAACAGATATGATCCACAGTTAACTGAGGACAACCTTAAACTAAATATAGGGGAATACAAAGTATGTATGAACATTTTACTGAAGAAACCCTGATAATTCTGGAAACACATATAAAACAAGCAAATGAAAACATTGACAAACCCAGACATAAAAGAGGGGCAGAATTCCATAAGCATTGGGATGTAGATCATGAAATTCACAACATTTCAATTATTCACATCCCAAGTTCCAACTTATGAATAAGGTCTTATCTATGCCTATAAAGCAACCATTTTGGTTAAAAGAAATGTCTTCTAAACATACAGTAATCCGTAAAAATACACACAATGGGCAAAACTTCAAAAAGAAATTGTAACCATCATGCATTTGGAAAGACCTTTAAGAGTTCACTCTACTCAATATACCTCATAACGATCCATGGTGACGTACATGCGACCACCACCAGACGCAATTTGTGCATCCACACCTTTCTCACGCAATTCTGCAAGGTAATTTTCAAGTGTTTCCGCAAATCCCACACTTGAGCCATCCAAAACATCACGGCCGTCAGTGAGAATATGAACACGGATCCTTTTAGCACCACGCTCACTAGCTCCTTTAACCAACAACTACACCAAGAGAGAAAGACACAAACAGAATATAAGATAAAAGAATAGGAAAACTGAAAGTTGAAAACCCAAACCCAGACAAAGGCAAAAACAGCCCAGAGCCTAGAAAACTCACTAGCAGTTGATCTAGCCGAGAATGGACGCCACCATCACTCAATAAACCAATGAGATGCAATGTGTTAGTAGGAAAAGATTCCTTAATGTACTTGAAACCTTCTCCTTCATAAAGTTTCCCAGTCTCAAGGGCACTGTCAACAAGCTTTGCCCTATATTCATTCAAAAACGAATATAATTATTTTGTGACCACATAAACTCTAATCATTCGTATATCATAGTATAACATAACTACAAAGACAAGAAACCCAACAAAACACATATCAAAAAATAACACAAAGAACGTAAAAGAAATTGAAGGGCAAGTCTGAAACTCACCCCTGGGCAAAAATACGCCCGGCACCGAGAGCGTTGTGGCCGACTTCACTGTTGCCCATATCATCCTCTGTAGGAAGGCCCACAGCAGTTCCATGAGCTCTCACTAGCCTCCATCTTTCAGGAGCACCCTGTCACAACATCAAACATACATACACACACTCAATATGAATCAAATCCTTCCATTAAACAACAAAAATATCTAAGATTTAACAAAACCATATAGCAATCCAAATTCCAAAACTCAGATCTGAAGAAACAGGAAATACCTTCTTAAATGAATCCATGACGGGGGTCTCAGCGACATGGATGCAGTTGTACTGATCGGGATTGGCTTCGCCCCAGCCATCCAAAACTATGAGCCCAACGGTCTTCCCCTTTGGAAGCTTTGGGTGATCCGCCAATTTCCAATTAAAACCTGAGCTCCCCATTTTTCTCTTTTCTTATTTCTTTCACACAAAAAAAACACACAAAACCCAAATCAAAACCCAGTTGCCCACCAATTTTATAAGCCGAACAAATCACACTCAGACAGTCACATACTGATAATACAAACAAATCCATAAACAAACAGAAAAAAGACAAAAAAAAATTCGAAAGGTCGTGAAAATATCGGAAGCCAAAAGCCATACCTCAAGAGTCACAAGACCAAAGTGGTGTGTGGAAGAGAATAGTTGAAGAAGGCAGAAACAACTATAATGCTCCGAAAGCCCGCTATATATAACCAAACTGCTTTCTTCCCACGGTTTATACTTAAACGCAAATCTGAGGACGTAGATTTTTTTTAATTTTTTTTTCCTTCTTAGGGTACCACTTGGCGTGGGGGCAAAGCCCGGGGGTTTTTCAATCCGGTGCTTTTCGGTCTACGATATTAAAGTAATATCACACTATCCAAAAGTTACACGTGGCGTGTATGGATTGAAATCTGTCTATCTTGGACGAAGCAGAAACCACGTGACGTCAAAACCAGCGGCGTGTTAATGCACGTGATATCTGTAACCAAAAAAGTAACGCAAAGCGGCGACAGATGTCTACCTACCGTTTTGGGGGTTTCTGGTGGCGTCCGGACAAAGTCGGTTCGAATAATTTGGTTGCCCCGAATGGAATATTCCAGAAGATACTCTTCCAAATCAAATTTCTAATTCATTAGTTAAACTTTGTCAAATTATTTGACTCCTTAAATAAATTTAACTACCGACGTAACTACATAATTAAAAATATTTTTTTTAATGCATCATTTAAATTTTGAACATGGTTTCTCTTCTTTTTTTCTTTTTTTTGTATACAAGGGATATCCTACGGGGAGAGAAAATCGAACTTCACTGCATAGTGGGTAGTACATCCACTCTAACCAACTATGTATACTAACATAGTTTCTCCAGGTGTAGGTGTGTGCCTCAATTTGTTATATAAAAAATATTGACCCTTGTGTTCCCTTGCCTTGTTGATGCTCCTTTGCGTCACTTATTTCAAGATATTAAACGACTTGATGAATCACCTAAACTTCAAAATATATATATATATATATATATATATATATATAAGGGGCGGATCCGTGGCACCATATTTTTTTACACAATTTTTGGGCCATTAGATTACTCCACTTTTAATGGTTGAGATTAAATATGACATGACAAATAGTTTTAATGTTTTAAATAAACAATCATTAATTTTATTTTCTCTCTCATAAAAATAAAATAAAATAATTTTCTCTCTCCTCCATTTTTTCTTGGAAATGTAATATCTTTTCTTGGTAGTATCCTTTTTTACTTGGTATATACCTCTCTCTCTCTCTCTCTCTCTCTCTCTCTTTCCTAGGTTCAAAAAAAAAAAAAAAAAAAAAAAAAAACATTCATCTTTTTTTCCCTCTCTCTCTCTCTCTCTCTCTCTCTCTAGTAACTGCAAACCAACCGTATGAATTCTCTACTCCATTTTTATTCCATTTTCATTTTTCTTAAAACTAATACGTTTTGTTTTGTTATTTATGATTATATTGATATGACCTAAAATCTTCACTGTTCGGTTTGTTTTCTTAAAGAATTTCAGGTTTTACAAACGGAGAAAATAAAATATTTTTTAGAGATGCAGTGCAAAAAGTTTATGCCGAACAATATAACCTTTATTGGTGTTTTCGTATGCTTGTAACCATTGTGGTTTGGTAGAGGAAGGGAAAAGATGGTTTAAAGGAATGGAGGGCTTTGGGCTTATCCCCCAAATTGAGCAATATGGTTGGATGGTTGATCTTTTGTGAAGGGCGGGATGCTTGGAGGAAGTCGAGAAATTGATTGAGAGAATTCATAAGGTTGGTTTGCAGTTACTGGAGAAAGAGACAGGGAAAAAAGATGGAGGTTTTTTTTTTCTGATCCCAAGAAAGAGAGAGAGAGAGGTATATACCAAGTAAAAAATGGATACTACCAAGTAAAGAGATTACGTTTCCAAGAAAAAAGGGAGGAGAGAGAAATTTATTTTATTTTATTTTTATGAGAGAGAAAATGAAATTAATGATTGTCTATTTAAAACATTAAAACTATTTGTTATGTTAGATTTAATCTCAATCATTAAAAGTTGAGTAGTCTAATGACCCAAAAATTGTGTCAAAACTTGTGTAAAAAATATGGTGCCACGGATCTGCTCATATATATATATATATATATATATATGCGTGTGTGTGTGTGTGTTTATAATATTGAAGTCGTTTTCGGGATTTTGAATTACACTTTTTTTAGTAAATGAGTGAGTGAAGCAATGGAACATGCGTGCATATTGTTTAATGAGAAATTGTGTTAATTTTGATGCATGATGGTATGATAGGTTTATATTATGTAGCTGACTAAAACTCGAAAAGCTAATTTCTTGAATAATAGAAAGTCAGAAACTCCTTCTTTAAAAAAAGAAAAAAGAGTCAGAAAATTAATCATTTTGATTGCATATAAGTTAAAGAAATGACTCATATTGAGCATGCTTTGACCTTAAGGAGATGCATGCATCTATCTAATGATCTCATTTGAAAGAGCATAAATAATGTCCTTAATAATTTACTCCTAATTATAGAAATAAAAAATTTAAAAAAAATTACCAAATTTACTATGATGTCAAAAGCATACCGAAAGAAAGTATCTCGTTTGACAAACCGAAAAAAGAAAAAGAAAATATCATACGGAAAGAAAAAGAAGAAAAAAAACAGGCTGCGATGTGAGTTAGGCCTTGAGATGGGCCTAAGCCCAATGTGACCAGTTGGGGCATCTATTTGCATTGGCATGCAAAAACCGTTTGTGAAATTCTACAGTGAGGGTGTCATATATGGTCCGCTCATGTGAACCTTTATATTAGCTACAAGATTATTTTATAAATTTAAGTGAAGTTACTATTTAGATGAATCCTATGACTAATATAAATATCCACATCTACGATACATGTATGGACTCTCACCATAGCACGACTCAAAAGCGTTTTGCTTTGTTTTTGTTTGGGCTGAAGTCTTTCATTTGAGGTGAACAAATATCATTTTTATTGGGCAACGTATGTATAAATTGGGCTTAAAATGGAGCCCCCAATAAGGCTTCAAGTTTGGGGATCCGACGGATGTGCACCACTGAGCTCCTCTGATCTCATGGTTCTCTTCTTCATGATATTATAAATCTATCTCTCAATTATAGGAGGTTATGATTTAGGTAAGATTAACAACTTAATAATGAAATTGGCAAACCAACATACCAAACATTTACTATGTAGCTTATGTATTTCGTTCTGTCTCATTATCACATGTTTTTTTAATTATCAAAACTATCTTTTAGCGTTGCAAGAAAATTTTGAGTTCGAATTTTGGCATTTGTGTAGTGTACGTGAGTATACTATTATTGTCCCTCTTAATAGGAAAGTTCCTCAAACTTTCATTTAGCGTTGATATTGATGTACCACCGAATTCAAAACATCACATTGGTTATTGGTCAATTAGTCATAACTGAACTTCATAAATTTTTTTTGCCGTGTGAATAGATCCCATGTTATAATCAAATATCTTCGGAAAGATATTTCAATAAGTTACTTTCAATACATAAAACAGGCAACAAGATATTCCTGTAAAAACTATTTGATCATATCGATCAGCTCTACATACATCACTACATGTTTCTGCTGAAAATTATTAACAATGGAAAACGTAAACCCACAATACCTCGCTGGAACGGAGGATTAGATGCAGAGAGAACCCAGAAACAAAAACAAAAAAGAGGAAAGAGAACTGTGTGGTTTCTAAATAATATTTACATCCCCACTTCGAAGCTTGGTTTTTTATATAAAAGGAAAAAAACCAAGAGCTTTTTTTTTTTTTCGATTTTTTTTTTTTTTTTTTTTTTTTTTTTTTTTTGAAGAGAGAAAAAAAAAAGTTCACGTGGGGAAGACTGAGACACGAGATCGATGCTCAGACCCGAAAAAAGAGAAAGAGAATATTGGGATTGAGAATTTATAGGGGAAGAGGAGGGTGATTTGAATCCACCGAGGGGAAAAAGGTGGTTGACGAAATCAAATTGGTGACCGACCAATCAAATTGATCGCCGCGAAAACGACGACGTCCCGTACATCTGATCAAGCAAGATGACGAAGGCCATGGCCACCGACGTGTCGATATCGGGCTGCACGATGAGGCGGAAGACGTCGACTCCGAGGGCAACTCCGCCCACCGCCGCCTCCTTCCTCTTGATCTCCGCCACCATCCTCCTCTTGTTGTCGTGCACCGCGCAGCACCGCTGCCCGTACGACCCTTCCACCTGATAGAGCATCGCGTTTTTGTTGTCGTAATTTTTGGACTCGCCTTTACCATTGTTGGCGGAGGTCACGTGCGCCAAACACTTGTTGTTGTTGAGGATGCTCACGTTCTTCCTCACGCAGAACCGCGGGTTCACCGCCGTTTCTCCGTCGTACACCATCCAGTTGTCCCCCAAGCTCAGCCGCTGATATAGCAAATAAGTAAATAATCATCAGCGACCAAACAAAGAAAGAACAAATTACTTACATAATCTTTATGCATACATATTTTTTTAGTTTCTCTTTTTTTGAAACACATGAGTAAAAACGTTATATATAGTCTAGTAACATAACATTTTCTGATGCATGTAAGGGTGTGTACCTTGCGGCGGATGGTGAGGAGAGGCTTGCCGCAGGCGTCCATGAGGACGATCTCACCCTTGTGACCAGCCAAATAGTTGTCAACCCTAAAGACCAAGTTGCCCTTGTTGTCGAACACGGTGAAGCCATTGCAGTTGAGCAGCAAAGACTTCTTCCACACGGTCAGCACCGTCGCATCCTCCTGGTCGGAACCAGAAAGCTTGAGCCTCTCAGGCTCGTAGGCAAGGGCAATTTTGGCATTGGCAGCGTTTGGGTACACCTTTGTCATTTCTGGCCTTGCAAAAATCTATGATGCTCCAAGCAGTAGCAGCAGAGCTCAGAAACTTAAGAGTAGTTTTTTTTTTTTTTTTTTTTTTTTTTTTTTTTTTTGAGTGTTTTGAGTGTTGAATAAGTTGAAGAGACAAGTTGGCAAATATATATACACACAAACTAGATTCGGGGTTTGGGGTGGAAACGTGGTTGTGGTGAGCTTTCGTGGTCCAAAATGAATGGAGTGTAAAATAAGCGTTCAATCCGAACATGGGCGCACCCAATCAAAAGCACCGTCGTTTTGGGATCAAAAGTCGCACCAAGAGTGCGCCACCAAAGTGTGACGTGACCCAAATTAACAAAATCAAATAAACAAATACGAATGGAAATAAACGGATAGGATGAGAGAGGTGGCTGATCTTTCTACCGTACGATGCAACATGATAAGGAATATTTTTGTAAATATTATTTTTCTCGTCATTAGATAGGGGAGGGCCATCGTTATTCTTTACTTCTAAGCCAATAAAAATTATTTCAATTATTTAATTATTTAATTATTTGGGTCGTATAAAAAAATATATTATATTTTGTGGTTATCGACCAATTTGTGGTGGAAAGGAGAGACGCCTGTCATTTGTTTCGCCAGAGATATTTCCCATGCTTGTTCATTGTCATTTTATTTATTTAAATTATCATGTTTAATTCTCCTAATGATGCAAGTAATTAGTTTAATTAAAGTGATAACGATGCCCATTGGCTAGGGCGGTTTGTGCGACCCCCCCTGAGCCATTTAATAAGTGGAAGACATCTGACTTTTTCTATGAATTAAATTATTTATTTATTTATTTATTTATTTATTCCGAACAAGATATATTTGAAAATTCAGAGACTCAATGGACAAATTTATTTATGTCATAGCTAGGTTTGTTTCCATCCATTTGATTTCAGCATCTATATCCAATGATGGTCCTCAAATTATGTGGAAAAGAAAATATCAAACCCTTCTAGACGGCTTCTTTCTTATGTCTTTTCTGTGCTTACAAGCCAAATAACCTTTCGTCTAGCCAATGGGTACGGGCCGCAACCTACAATACCTCCCTATTACAAAATCCATACTCCCTTAGCATAACATTATAATTCCCGATACGAGAAGAAGCTATGTTGTCAATTCAATCTAAATTGTTATTGAGTATTACAATGTTTAAATACATAATTAACATTGATAGTTATCGACAATTTGATAACATACGACAAGAGGATGTTACCATCCTCCACACTTAATGAACTATTTTTTTGCCACAACATGCAAGTAATTTTGTCTTGTATTTCTAATTTATTAGGCAAGTAGGGAGTTTATACTAAAAATTAAATTTTCTCTTTTGTTTATGGCCGTATTAAAATATAATGCAATTCAAGTCTACATATACGCAATACGTAAGTATCTCACCAATTCCTCATAACCAATCGTGGAACATATAATTCATTAAAAGAGAAAAAAAATAAACTTACAAGCACGGGGGGCCGCCCATGCAAAGATTTTTGGACCGACACCAAAGACCTAACTTTTAAATTAAAATTTATGTTTGGTGAAAGCTACAACTAGGCCCCAACAAGAACAACTCAGTTTATTATTGGATTCCATTTCCAACCAGAAGACAAAAACTTGTGGCTGTGGGGGATCAAAATTCCACAGTAGAATCCGCGTTTATAATCATGGCTTTTCTCTGGCGTTGTGGGTAGCTGGGGGTTGTAATCAGTAAAAGGAGGAATTTGCAATTGATTGATTTTTTTAAAGTCTTTTATATACGTGATATTGAGGGAAGAAGAAAACTTAGGATCCCGAGTGCAATATCAAAATTCTTTTTAATCACTTGTACTACAAATTCTATTCGATTTTTTTGAACTGCCAAAAATGAATATGAATATTGTGGATTTGGATAGAATGCATAGAGGAGTTGAAATTGTGAAAAAGGAGGTGGAGAGAGAAGACAGCTTCACTGAGAGGGACTTGCACATGAGAGTGGTGATGGGCTCCGAGTGAAAGGACCCCAAATTCCCCACTTCCACCAACTCTTTGCTTTACTTTACCTAAACCTGAATCAATTCCAAATTCTATTCCAAAATCTCGAATTAATTATAAATTCCATTCCCAAACATGAATCAATCCACCAAACTACGTATGCCCTTGTGTTCCTGTTCCAAACAATCTACCTTTTTGCTGCCTTTTTGCTTTCAATGCCTATGCACCAGGACATTATAGGACCATGTGTTGTATTGTGGCACAAGTAGAATGACCCTAGTGGTGAAGTAAAACTTCCATGTCATTGTCACTAGGTACGCGCTTTCTCTACCTCGCTTATTACCTAATTCGAGTGGTTGAGTAAAACTTCATTGTCACGAGAATATGTCTAATTTCTCAATTTTACTCATTACGTAAGTTATGCGTTGAGTGAGATATAAAGTGTGTGAATATATCGTAACGTATAAGTAAGTTAATCGAAAAACAAACAATTAGAATTAGACTACGTCAATGGTTTGATTCTCTCTCCTTAGCTGTATGCAAAAGACTAATTTATGAGAGTGCCCAACCCATCCCTATATCTCACGAGCTGTTACATCCAAAGATTCAATTGTCGTGTATCATAAATGCTCGCTCGCCAGACTGCCTCATAGTTCTAGAGTTTTCTATTTTGGTCAGACACAGAACACAAACAAGAACAATTCCAAGGTTATACTTGTCAAAGCCTAACATTGTTGTTTTGTTTTGTTTTATAAATGTCTTCACAAGAATAGTAATAAGTGGATGATAATGACACAAATACTTTGCTACGTGTAACGTATATATGTTTTTATGTGCTGTCAAACAGGAAGGAGAGAGATGATGAACCACCATCGGAAAATATCACACCGACCCTCATGTTTCATATAGTCCAAGGGTTGGCCGACTAAACGAGAAAACCACAACGTGCAGCAAAACTCAAGTCAAATAGGCAATTTAGAGAGTATCAGATTTTCATGCGCTGAGAGGGACTAAAGGTCTCTCAACTTTCGTATTGGAGATGAGCACGTTTTTAGTCACTTGAGTCCATTGATTGTCGAGAATGAGAGAGGACATGATGACCTTTCATCCCAACCAAAATTGCCATCTGCAAACAACTCAGGCGTTGTGTTTTAACCGATCACACTCTGTCACGTGAAAAATTTATCACGCATGATATATGACGTGATTGGTCAAAAATAACAAAAGAATACTATCCCTGTTTCGCACAAGTAAAGTGTTTATTGTGTTTTACACCCTGTCAACATCTGCAGCTAGACTTTGAGCACAAAGCAGAAAAGTGGTCTTCCACACGCACAAATATACAGGCGTGTTTTACTTACTCTTCCGGAGGCGGAAATATGAACAGAAAGCATACAAAACTAGCTGCAAAGCACTTCATTTCTTTTCGATAGGTAAAATAGTTCACTATATATCTTCAGAAAGCACTTTGTAAAAACTCTCTTTTCCCTTCCAATCCCAATCCTGGCACTGGGGCAAGAATTTTCCACCATGGTTAACTAGTTCTAACCAAGCAAAAGTAGAAACAAATTGATCAAATAAAGAGTTTTGAATGGTATGAACCAGAAAAGTAAAAGAAAGAGTTTTGACTTGGAAAATTGATCTAATTTAGTTGACATAAAGACTGGTAAACATTAGTTTAATCAAGGAAGAAGAGTTCATATAAAATAGCACTACCCCTAATGATCTATGTTTTGTAAAAGTTTCTGATACTCAAAGTAGACATGCACAAGATATCGCTTCTGTAGAAATATTTTCAAGCTAAGAGAGTCGCGAGAAGGCACACCTAAATTTATATAGGCAAAATTCCAAGTGATAGGAATACAATGTAAATGAATCATCGTCGATGAAGGGAAATATTATCTTGAGATGGATGATTTATAATTTTATAGCACAATGATGGGAAAGGAACAGAAATTCAAATCTCAAATGTACGGTTGCAATGCATATCTGATTAAGATTTAAAGCCATTAACAATTCATACAATGCAATCCCAGCATGATGAACAAAAGGAAAGGATTTGGAACCAATGTCTAAATTAGAATCGACACGAACGCGGACCCACACAGGTTCAAAATTGACATGATTTTTTCAGACCTACACAAGTTCAATGTATGCCATGGGTGCATTGTCCCCTCGCCTTGGCAGTGTTCTAATAATTCTTGTGTAACCACCATTTCTTTCCCCATATCTGTCTGGTACCTCTGCAAACAAAGCATGGACAATCTGCTTTTCATAGATGAAGCCCAGAGCCTGTCTCCTCTTATGAAGGGTTCCATTCTTGGCCAGTGCGATCATTTTGTCAACGTACTTCCTCATTGCACTTGCCCTTGCTCGAGTGGTCTTGATGCGGCCATGTTTAAGGAGCTGAGTAGTGAGGCCTCGCAGAAGTGCTTTTCGTTGGTCAGGAGGCCTGTTGAGCTTAGGGACTTTCCTGCCATGTCTCATTGCCAAAATTCGGCCACCATTATCAAGAATGGTGAAGTTATGCTCAAAACTTGTATATTCTGCAAGAAGATAGATAAAATAACTTAAGGGTTTTGCAAGGTCAGTGACATAAACATCCAATGATGGAAAACATATCTCAAAGATGCATGACATATAAGTTACTCTTGCATAAATGTGAGAGCAATTAATCTCAGGATGAAAGTAATCGCAGGTTGCGGCGGGTGGGCGAGGGGTCGTCGCGGCGGTCGACTCGTGAGAGAGAGAGAGAGAGAGCAGGTTTTCTTTAAAGTCAGGAAATAATAAAAAAAGACCCAGACGCCCAGACCCGCCTAGGCCGATTTTTCGAACACTGCATCTGAATTATATAGTTGAAATGAAAATAGAACACTAGAGGTTACTTTGGAAGGTCATGAAAACAGAACACATACACAGATATACGAAGGTACAAACTTCTACTGAAATAACACACAAAGATGCATAATTTCACTCCCACACTGGAACCCAAATGCCTCCACCTCCATTTATACCCCTCTAATTCATAACAGCAGAAAATTTAACAACAAACCCAAATGAAGTGATGGAGAAAAGAGTGATACCGGAGAGGCCAAGCGAGAGCAGGGGATTTAGGGGAGAGAGACCAGTGAAGGACCCAAATTGGGGTTTGTGGAGAGACTGGTTGAGGCTGACGCTGAGGTGCAGGCTCCGATGCCCGCATGGTGAAGAAGACGAAGATGCAGAAACCGTACACCTATCTGGTGTTGAAGGCAGCGCCGACCTCAGAGATGCCATGCTCCATCTGCTGCTAACACTTTCCACTGTTCCAGTTGCCGTTGCCAACGCCATTGCCATCGCCATTCCCAAACCATACAAAACAGTGTCTTTTGCTCCTCTTCTTTTCCCAAATCTCTTATCTATGAGCCATGGATTCTGGATAAGGCCATAGGAAAAATGGGTACTGGTAGTGGGTTAGGGCTTTTCTTGAGGCCCAAGATCCAATCTTTTCAATTTGGGCCTTTCCAAAAATCTTTGCCCCAATTGGCCAAAAAATAAAATCTATCTGGTACTAATATTATAAGGAGAAAGATACATAATTGGAAGTAAAAAGTGGTCCCCACAGACTGTAACAACAGCAAAGAGGAGGGAGGAGAAGATCCACAGCCGCAGGTCCATCGCCATCACGGCTCTCATCACAGAGTTTAAGGAGAGAAAGAGGGCAGGCCAGGTTTTAAAGTTTGAACCTTGCAGAAGTGCCACTTGGAGAAGGAAACTAGGATTTTCTTCACCTTTTTATGCTCTACTGTTTGTACTTAAAAGCGTTATTTCTTTTGCTTCCTCGTAGTTAAATACTAATTACTTACTAATTAAGTGCTAAGCACAGTGAGAGAGGGGGAGAGAGAAAGAGAAAGAGGAAGAAGATAAAAAGCTGGGAAAAAGTTGAGAGGCGGAGGAGAAAGCCACTGAAGAATGAAACTCTGCACCACCAGCAGAGTCGGAGCACAACTTCATCATCACCAGCTTTGGCTTCCACTTACTGCTTCTGCTTGTAACGGTCAAATTCAGTCAAGATGGGAAACTGTGGGACGAGGGAGGAATCAGCTGTGGTAACGAATGCTCAAGGTGCGTGCTTGTTCGGGTCTCAGAATCCAGATCTTTCTATATTTGTGTTGTGATTTTCAGCTAAGCTTGCAGCTTTTTGATTGAGCAGTTCAGCAGCTGAGCACTCTGTCTTCGTCAGTGAAGAACGGCGAGAAGAAGCAGAATCACAGCCGTTCGATTTCAGATCTGAGCGATCCTTCAACCCCACGCAACTTCGAGGATGCGCGGAAGAATGCGGTGCTGTACACGCACGTCATCGCCTTCACCCTCTTCGAGCTCGAGACCATCACCAAGAGCTTCCGGTCCGACTACATTTTGGGGGAAGGTGGGTTCGGGACAGTGTACAAAGGCTACATTGACGAGAATGTGAGGGTTGGGCTCAAGTCTCTGCCCGTCGCCGTCAAGGTCCTCAACAAGGAGGGCCTTCAGGGCCACCGCGAATGGCTGACGGAGGTCAACTTTCTCGGTCAGCTCCGCCATCCCAATCTCGTGAAATTGATTGGATATTGTTGCGAGGACGATCACAGATTGCTTGTTTACGAGTTCATGTTTCGAGGGAGCCTTGAGAATCACTTGTTCCGGAGTAATTGAGCTCATAATCATACAAATTTTGGATTTTTTTGATGATTTTTGTTGTTGTTGTTGCTAATTTAAATTTGGTGGGCATTTTAGAGGCAACTGTTCCATTGTCGTGGGGAACGAGGATGATGATCGCTCTGGGAGCTGCCAAGGGACTTGCTTTTCTTCACAATGCTGAAAGGCCAGTTATTTACCGGGACTTCAAGACTTCTAATATCTTGTTGGACTCTGTAAGTGGTGTTTCTTGAGTTTTTAGATTCTACAAGTTAATTTCTCTGCTAAAATATTTGACTTTGTGATGACGTGCAAGCTGCTATTAGTCTTACTGGTTGCATGGGTTTGCAGGATTATGCTGCCAAGCTCTCTGATTTTGGGCTTGCTAAAGCTGGACCCCAAGGGGATGAAACCCATGTATCAACTCGGGTTATGGGTACCTATGGATATGCAGCCCCTGAATATGTAATGACTGGTATGGCATTCTTACATGTTGGATTTGCTTGATTCAGAGCTTATGTAGTAGCTTGAACATCACGAGTCTTCTAATTGAATTAGTCAAGTGGGAAACAATCTGACTGCTTCCTATAGAAAAATTGCCAACAAGTATCACCAGTATTAGTACCATTTGAGGAATATTCTGCCATAATTCTCTGCTTGCTATGGAAGTATGTTGTAAGCTTATATTTTCAAATTGTCTTTCGTCCTTTCACTAGTGACAGATTGAGTAAATTTTTTAGATTAAATGGTTTTAAAAGGGGAAGGCTGCACCTGGTATGGTAATGCCAAAGCAGGCTCTTGGGTGAAGGGGAGATCTAGAGATTGAGTAGCTCTTCTTGTGATGAACATGAGCAATAGTGCTTGATGGTCAAAGAGTTTCAACACTGCTTCAGAGAATGACACCTACGTTTACAGTATTCTGAATGCTTGGATGCAGTGCATTTCTATTTAAATCTTTTCATAAATGCTTGGCTTCTTTAGCAACTGGAAATTGAATTCATATAATCTTGACAGCTCCAACGCAATTTCTGTTAAAATCTTGTCATAAATGCTTGCCTTCTATAAAATCTGGACTTGAATACATGGATTCTTGGCAGCTTCAATACACATTCCGTTCAAATCTTTTCATAAATGCTACATTAAGGAGTTATCAGCTTATGGATGAGGTGTAGAAGTATTAAGTCATTTTCATGTAGCTTGGAATCCTAAACCTTAAGCTACACAGACAAATATGGTACACATGCAACGACTCTAATTAGTAACTTAAATAAGTAAGGAATAGAACAGTCCCCCTTTTAGATGTTTTGTTCTTGACTCGTAAGGTTTTGGATTTCAAATGCATTTTATTATTGAAGTGACGAGTGACTTGCAGATTGGAACTTGAGAGTATTGCGATGCCCAACTACCCTGTTTTCTCTGTTCTGTAACTCACTGATTAAAAGTTTTTCTCCAAGGTCCTCTTTTGCTCTTCAAAATTGTATGTATGAACAAATGAAGAAATGCTGACATTTGCTGTGCATGTGTCTAGTTTTGTTGTTCAGATAGTGTAGGAAAATTAATTTGCATGTATACATGCTTATGTGCTGCTTTTCTGAATCAAATCCTTATGAAATGGGCAGGCCACCTGACTGCCAGGAGTGATGTATACAGCTTTGGAGTTGTTCTCCTTGAGCTTTTGACAGGAAGGAGATCTGTTGACAAGACGAGACCGAGCAAGGAGCAGAACTTGGTAGATTGGGCACGGCCGAAACTGAATGACAAGAGAAAGTTGCTACAAATAATTGACCCTAGGCTGGATAATCAGTACTCAGTTAGGGCAGCACAGAAAGCCTGCAGCTTGGCATACTATTGTCTCAGCCAAAACCCCAAAGCAAGGCCCTTAATGAGTGATGTAGTTGAAACTCTAGAGCCTCTACAAAGTTGTAACGAACCAAGTGAATCATCAACGGGTGGACCATTTGCGATGAGCAGAATCCCTGATTATCGAATGCGTCACAGGTTTCCTAACAATGTAGGTCCAGGTGCTGTTTGTCGATCCCCCAACCCAAACTATTCGCCAGGAGGTCCTGCAGCATGCAGAGTTAGATGAGAATGTCATCTATATGTATACTTGTTTGTACTTTGTATGCGTTATCCCTCAACCTTTTTTTGCAATGACAGAATTTGCTTGTTAAATTATGGATGCATATGTCATTGTTTTCCATATACATAGGGTTGCCGTGTTCCTCTACCTTTTGTCATCGTTTCTGTTTGACACCTGCTTGTATTTAGGTTTGGTCATGCTTTTGCGGTTATGGAAGTTGCATGTGGAAAGCCCCATGTTAAACTCGCGCTGTGTGATTTCCCCCCTTCTAATGAAGGAAATAACAGAGCAGGCATCTGTTGAGAATTGAATGTAAAAACTTGAGCCCACCTTAATTCCTAAAAGGTGGATATTTCTTGGTGCATAAGTTGAATAATCAACAGAATTAGGAACTTAAGTGTAAGTGTTATATGCATGGGTTTGTAACTTAAGTGACCGAGATGTGGGGTTCATTTCCCCTTTCTCCAATATCGATTGTAAAAAATTAAAATCAGTATTAGAACACCAAGGATCTTTACATTCAACAACCCCCCCCTTCTTCCTTCCATGCCCCTTCAGCTAGGGTTCATGGGCATCAATATTAGAAACTTAATTAGCTCCTTATTTTTTTCTTGTCTCCAAGTTTACTTGTTTCAAAAAATTTCTTAAGAAAATCTTGTCCACAACAATTGGGTCGGATCTTGATGATGATTCCATAATGTCCTGCCATATAGTACCATACAGACTGAGACCCTAAATAGAAAAGAAAAAAACCTTTTTCATTGACCTTCTTCCTCTTTAAAAAAATCTCCTCTCCACTGCTTTCCACCACACAAAAATTTATTCGCCCACCACTCTCTCTCTCTCTCTCTCTCTCTCTCTCTCTCTGGTCTCTCCCTGGTTAGCTACTGTTGTGTCTGCATGTTTGCTTGGTTGACATGGACGACCTCACAAACAGTAAAAATCCCATAAAACTAGTGCCTTTTCTAATCTTCACCGCCCTATTAGCCATCACTCCTGCAATTGGTAAGTCACTTATTTTTCTGTACAACTTTCAGTTTTTTTTTGTGTGGTCAAAACTCTTCAACTTTCAATTCAATCATTCAACGTTAAATACATGATGCGCAGCAGCAGGATCTCATGCCGACGAGTATCAGCCAATACCAAACCAACCAGCCGGGACATTGCAGCCCGTCGGCACGACGGAGTATAGGCTATTGATTGACGTGTTAAAAGCTCCTCCTCATGATCATGATGATATACAACGGCGGCAGAAGCGGCGGCGGCTGGCGCCGTACCAGCTGTGCTTGCTGTGCAAGTGCTGCTCGGCCACCACGTGCACCTCCATGCCCTGCTGCTTCGGCATCAACTGCCAGCTTCCCAATAAGCCCTTTGGCGTCTGTGCTTTCGTCCCCAGGACCTGCAACTGCACCAATTGCACAACTTCTGTTTAAAAGCTTAATAGCTTTTCTTCTTCCCTTTGAAATTATATTTAGCTCTCTCTATCTCTCTTTCTTTTTTTCTTTGAAATTATTGTTATTGTTAATTTGAAACTGGTGGGTTTTGTGCCGATGGCTAAAATACAAATGATGACAACCTTGCAGTGTCAGAGAGCTCTGCAAATTATTCGATGTTTAGAAATCTTAAATCAATAACGTCGACCTTCTTTCTCTTGTGTTCTTGTATAAAAATATCATCTTTGAAACACCCCACGTGGGCAACTTGCCTGTATAATAATATATGCTTAAATATATTTTTGCGTACTTATATATGCATCGATCCACGCCCATCACATATATTCTTGCTTTGCTCATCATATCATGTATTTTATTAGCGTTCTTGAGTTTTTCTTGAGGTCAGGCTAATTGGTTATGACAGTGAGTCAGTGATTTCGTCCCCTTGCATTCACATTCGACTACTTACTTATAAATTAGATTAATTTAGACTAGTTCAGGTCATTGCTTGTATATTATATGTGTTGGCAACTTGTTTGCAGAAACCCCATGAAAATGTATGTACAAGTCAAACCTCTTGAATTGAAGGACTGTCAAACTCTTGGAAATGTGGAGAAATCATGTTGTGGGGAAACCCCTTTCACATGTGTAGTTATGATCAATTTTCTTACCCCCCACCCCCCAAAAAGAAGAAAAAGAAAAAGGAACATAAGAATACAAACATGTACTGTTTTTTAATCTTCTTGATTGGAAAGAGAATACATTTGAATTTGTAACATATTCATCTTCTTCTTCAACATTTGAATTTGAAATGGGCCCATTAGTTTATGTTCTGACCACAGAAAAAAGACAACATTGTACCTTTCATCCTTAAAAAAACAAGAAACCCCCAATTAATCTTGATGCGTATGTGGTCATTGAGCCTTGATTCTTAACTTGACTAATGAATCTTAATGGGATGACGAAGACCATGTATTGATAATTTAAAGTAAGTGGGAGAGTCGTCCTTCAATTAATTTTCTGGGTGACATCCTCAGCTAAGTAGCTCCTTTGTATGGCGCGCATGCCAAAGGCAGAAGACCTCAATTATCCATTTCTTTGTCCATATACCATGGTGTGTTCCTTTCGAAAGCAACTTTGTACAAGGACTTTGCTGCCACTATTAATTTTAATTTTAATTTTAATTCGAGTTTAATTTGGCACCACTCATTTCACCAATGAAAGAAAATTTCAAACAAAAATTAATTAGTATATATTCTCATAGGGATAATGCGAATTAGTGTACGTTTGTGTGCTAATTAACAACATTATCTCTCGTATTCCTTTTCCCTAAAGTTTTTTGTTAATCCAAATGAGTAAGGGTATTATGCTTAATTAATTACTGGAATACTCTAAATGTCAGCTCTCCAGAGATTAGATGTCACTAGCGCAAATTCTTACTCCTCCCTCCCACTCTCTCTCTCTCTCTCCCATCAGCATTACCACACTGAGAAAAGTTAACTAAAAACTAATCAAAACGCATTACTAAAATTAACAACCACCTGAACGAAGTGATGTCTCAATCAAATATGCCACCTGAAGGGTGATATTCTTGTAACCTTGATTAAGTGGCTGGATAATGGTGTAATTAATTTACTTAATTTGAAATAGGGTGCTGTTTCGCTATATATTTTATGCCCGACCATGAACATCTTTAAAATAATGCTACGTATTATCCACTATTAGAAGTAAAACGGTCGTTAATCGTTATCCGCATTGCCGCTATTACTTAATCCACGTTTTTTATTATTATTTTTTCTTGTTCATTTGAAGAATAGGATGATCTAATCTAACTCAATACCTAACTTGATGAAGCTTTTCGAGTTTTCGATGGTTATGTTAATGTTAATTAATTAGGGCCACTCACTTCAATATGTATACAATTCGCACTTTGCATATGTCTTAATCTAATCGTATAGAGGAACTGATCCAACCCTTTATAATTTGTGTGTCTGCATAGTCATACCACTATTGCTTTACCACAGGCGTGAGTTCATGATTTTCTGGTCATGATGAGACAGAACAGGTTAATCCATTCCCATAATATGCCACGTACAAATAAGAGGAACGTGCCATTTCATTTAAATAAGACTATATATGTACTATCAACTTATTCAAGCGGTGAGTTTTATGATATCTGCAAGCTTGCATATACTCTTAGGTCTCGTTTGGTGGCTCGGCCTAAATTGAACTAATGTTCTAGTTGTTATTTGGTGATGAATTTGTAAATTTTATCTAGAGGAGTGAAACTCATAAGAACTGATTTGAACTCAATTCCAATTCAGTCTTGATTGAGCCACCAAAAGAGACTTGCTTTACATTAACCTATGTCATACATACTCAGATGAGGTTGTGAAGTCTAGCTTGTATTCTTGTAGGATAGTTCACCTTTTCACAATATATATGTATATCTTCTCCCTTTTGAACTTTCCATATTAGTAAAAAGACATCATCTTCTTTTCATGTTACTAACACTATGGTATAAAAACATTGATGCTTAATTAAAAGTATTTATAAGTGGATAGGAACTCATTGGAGAGAAGCCGGATTTATGTGTATGGGCTACATAGATGGCTGCTTATCACCTAACTCGGTCCCTTTGTTTGAATGGATGTCGGCTTCCAATTCAGAGGCTAGCCTTTTTTGTTATTGTTCTACACGTACATGATAAAAAAGAAAAATAAGTATGTCGTGAAGAAAAATCCCAATTGAATATACTCCTTAGTTTATCGTGAAGAAAAATTAACTAATGATTTTGGAAAAGTTGTATTGTTTATTGAGAGAATGCAAACCTGCGCTTAACAAATAAGTGATTGGTTTGTGAGTGCTTTAGTGACTCAAAAACCACGGCCATGCACTAAGCAACTTGCTTAATTAAGAATCTCTAAAACCAACTGTATTATATTAATTGGCACTAATGGTATTGTGAAGGAGCTGGTAAACTTCTCGAAGTTACTATTTATCCATCTGTCATTCCCATTTACATTCTCCCTTGCTTAATCAAACAAATTTCCTGTGGTTTATTGGCTACTTGGTACTTTTTTATACGTTTTTAATGGCCGATTAATCGACTAATTACATTGTGAATGATCACGACAGACCGCAAGACAACAAGAAATGTCCTGGTTTCCAACTAACCCCACGAAAATTTCTTCTTGGGTTTGAATTAATGCTGGTCAGAGAGACATTAATTAAGCTTAATTACCAAATAGAAAAATTCCCAATTGAAATATACAAATGGGAATGTTTGGACCAAAGTTTCAGTATGACGACAAAAGGAGTCACATGCATGCAGGAAGTTTGAATTAATGAGCATCAGCATTTTCACTTGGAACCTCATATTCTTTTTGGTGTAAATCATGCTTAGCCAGATCGATCGAGGTTTACAGTAATCATGACTTGTAAAGCAAACCAGACAGTTTGGCCCATGAGGTCATCATACATCCGTAGTCCCACTTTGTCTGCCTGGCTTTAAAATGCCGGCCTTTGATCGATGCATTGCTTAGGCCCTCATGAAAACATGAAATTGATGGTGTCTGCTAATGGATTCACAAAGCCAAAAATATCAAATCATTACTTGGTGGCCTACTCCTCGACCATTCACTCAATGTGCCTTCCGAAAGATCCAACATTACAACTAAAAAACATTCTATTAAGACTTTTATGAAGAAAAAGTCGATCATAATTTACGAGATTATAATTTGACATAAGATGTTATTTGACTGTCAATCACAACTGGACTACACAAGAACACTGTATATATCGTACGGAACATGGCAGAATATAAAATTAGCAGGTAGCTAGCTAGGGTGGCCACTTGTGAGGTCAGAGAGGTCATGTAATTTTGTATATAAAAAAAGAAAAAAAAAGGGAAAACAGGCAGGCTGATAGAATAATATTAGAGCATAAATTAAAAAGCTGGGGACCTACGTAAGAATTTGTGTTAACCACTAAGCTAGACAACAGAGAACACAAAGCTCTCTCTCTCTCTCTCTCTCTCTCTCTCTCTTTGTTTCCACGTACATACGTCCTCTCATAGTATATACCAAATCATCCCAAGGCTTCTGGCTATATATATACATATCTTTGGACCTAGCTTTATTCTTAAGTTCAGGCACAAAACCAAAGCTAATCTATTGTCGTTACTCATACCCAGCTATATTCCTCTCTCTCTCTCTCTCTCTCTCTCTCTCTACCAATATTCATCTCTCTCTCGTCTTTGAGACCTTTTCCTCTCATCTTCTTGAACGGCTTCTGCTTTTGAACAGCTAGCCATGTCTAGGATACATCCGGCTGCAGTGAATAGATACCAGGATCATGATCAAGATCATCCGCTGGAGCTTCAAGATGTTCATGATCATCGTGTGCCTCCCTCTGCGCTCACTGTGTGGAAGAGATCCAGCATGAGTTTCCAGGGGACTGATGGATTCACAGTGTTCGATGACCGCGGAATATTGACTTTCCGAGTAGACAACTATTCGAGAAAAAACTGTTGTGTTAGAGGAGGGCTTGTCCTAATGGACGGAGTCGGAAGGGCCTTGCTGACCCTCAAACCCCAGGTACTTATTATGGCCTTCCTCCTCTTTAATGTAGTAAATATCATTGTTTGAAACGGCATATACGTGGTTTAGGCCTAGTTTAGACTATCGTTTGTATAAAAATAAAATAAAATTATGGTTTATAACCGGTACATGAAAGCTTAATGAATTTGATTTTGTATGAACAGATGTTGAGCATGCAAGACCAATGGAATGCATATAGAGGAGAAGATGGGTGTGGAAAGAGCCCAAAATCCAGCAGGGTGTTTGCCATGAGAAGTGGGTCTGGCCTTTTTGGCAGCAGCAACAAAAGTGAAGCAGCTGAGGTGTTCATGGGAGCTCATGCAACTGGCACCCCAGATTTCAGAATTGAGGGTTGTTTTGGGAGACGAAATTGCAAAATCAGAAGCCGCAGTGGACAATTGGTGGCCAGTGTAGCTAGAAAGAGAGTAAACAATACAGTCTTGCTTGACAATGATGTGTTCAACTTGGTGGTTCAACCAGGCTTCGACCTTGACCTTATTATGGGTTTTGTAATTATCTTGGATCGGATTTGTGGGAAGCCATTTACCCCAATTTTGTGTTCTTAATTATCTTGTGATGTACAGAAATAAACCCATGTAAACAAGATACCATCTTTTTACCCCACTGAATCTCATATTTTGTACAAGAGCCGTCACTCCAATTTTCTTGTATTTAAATAAAAGTGCAAGTGTTTCAATGCCTTCTTTTGCTCTATCATCCCATTATTAATTTCCTTGATTCTTTAGCGAATTAGCAACTTCATTCAGATCAGAAGTTTTCAGTGAGACAAGACATATACATCTTGCATATGCATCATGTGGATAGCATGTGATGAGTGATCGTGAGAGAAGATACGTATACAACCGTCTCATAGGAGCCGGAAATTTCCTTGTATTTCATCCTAAGGCCAAAGGATAGCCTACCACATACTCTTGATCCACAATGATCGACTTGTAAGGCACATGGCATGTTATGGAACAGATGGTGGTGTCATTACAATGCAACACCACATGTTACTAATATTGCCGAAAAAATTTAAACAGGGCAAGTTTTCTGACGAAAAGAATGAAACCAAACTCAGAGAAAGATTACCTTGTTCATGTATATAGAATTTTATTTCTTTTTTAAGAACAGCAGGAAGATTATATTGCATCTGTAGAAATGCTAAATTTGTACTTACGTGAAAAATAGGGGGGCTGAACTTGCAAACTCTGAAAAGCTTGTCCCGTTCGACCCGCCAAACTAAGTTTTTCTCATGTTCTAGGTTCTGAATTGAATCCGAAAATAGTGTTCTAAGCAACAAAATGATAGCTGCATGACAACATGGCGCAGGAATAACATGTAATCTAGAAACTGTGAACGACAGCATGTGAATATTTCGTAAGGCTGAATTTCGTGAAACTGCCCAAGTGGGTCATCTGTGATGTTAGTACTATTCCATAAAACTGCCAAAATAACAGGAGCAGCCAATAACTAGCCATGTATTTGCCTCCGAGATCGCCATCTATTAGTCACCGGTAACATAAGACTTGCCTTCATAATACTTTTTCTCACTTGCTGCCTTCTTCTCATTACGTATCTGCAGGAAGGAAAAAAATAAAATAAAAAATAAGGCTGAATTTTATTAGGTTTGAAGCATGTCAGAAAAGCAGAAATCAAGGAATACCAACTAAAACAATAGTTATATATTTATATGTTTAAGCATATGGACAACATATAATGCTTTATGATTGGATACAAATTTGATCAAAAGAGTATCACAAAGAAGGTCAGGTATAAAGGGGACCTGGTATGCTTCATGATTGGATACAATCCTCCTAATTATCGTGGAAGTAGTGATATCAAGGGGGCTGTCCAAAACTTTGAAGATACCCATACTGATTGGAACTTCATATGGATTGCCTTGTTCCTGCAGAAGACAAATATGTAACTAACCAAAGCATCCCGGCACTTCCACTCCATTATTAAGCAATAGAATAATATACATCACCACGGCCAACTTGTTTCACAATTTACCTTCTGAAAATTGTTATTCTCTGCTACCGTTCCATGGACAACTAAAGAGATGTTAAAGGTGGTGATCTGCAGGCAAAAAATACTATGAGCATTCTTTCAAACAAGCCAAGTTGACAAAACTGAGGAAAGTACTTCAGTAAGACAATTTATTGGTAGGTACAATTTCAATAAACATTAATGTTTACCACAAGCAAACCAGAAGAATCAAGTAGAAGAATGAAAAGTGACTAAATGCATAATGAAGCAAATTCAATACAAATAAGAAGACAAGCTGACCATGTCTTTTGAAATTTCCCATGGAGCACCAATTATAACTTCATCCACATGCCGGCAAGCCAGAACACTCAGGCTTCTTTCATGAAGGTTCATGATTGGACGATGTGCTCCTCTATGAGCACTGCAGTGAAATTATTAGAATGAAGGCTATCACCTATAAAGTGTAGAAAGCTCGTATCTAATACAATTAAACTATTCGTACTTGGGAAAAAAAAAACTCACAATCAGAGGTTGCAATACTAAACAAGCTGCTATAAGATACAGAAATTCATGAATTGGTCAGCAATATTGCTTTTCTATTTTATAGTTATGAGTTGCTTCCCAGAAATTAATATAACATGTAAAGTTCGAGAATGAAGTTGCATTTCATGAAACATCAAAATGTGAACAACGGATCATTGCAGTAAAAAAGATAACATACACACAGGCCATGTGTAGGAAAAAAGTTAAAAATAACAAGGGTACCAACCAAAAAGATACATGAAGTAAATCAACTTTCATAAAAGACAACTGATACTCAGCCAAGTTTTCCAAAGTGGTGACATGGGATAAGTTTCTGTCACAGCCATTGTGCTACTCAAAACCCATTTAATGAGAAAACTAGCACAACGGAGTATAAAATGACTCACCAACTCTTTCTTTTTCACGTGAAAAAGATAACATACACACATGCATGTGTGCTAAGAAGTTCTGTGGACATACAATGTTGGGTGGATTTTTTATTTTTTATTTCTTTAATACAAGCGATAGTCTCAACTACAAGCCATGGTAAATGTCGGGTGGGTTTTTAAATTTTGGCCAAACTACATATGGATCTAAAGTGGGTCCAAGTGACTAAACAGTTACAGAAACTGACAAGGGAAGGTTTTACCATTTCAAAATTGCAACAAAATGTGTAGATAGCTTAAATAAAAGAATCAAACTTGATAGCCCTTCCAGCGATAGGGAAGCAGGAGACCAAACCTGACAGTCTGATCAGTGTGTATTCCAACAAGAAGAAAATCCCCAAGCTCTCGCGCAATCCTTAAAATCTGTATGAAAAGGATGGACATGTAACCAAACAAGTAAGTTTTTTATCCCTTAATTGTTAATTGCCTACATTGAATAGTGAAGCAAATAAAGGATGGTAATTAAGCGAAGAGAAAAAGGAAAAAAGTCCGTTAAAATCTAAAGCAAATTGGGAAAAATAAGAGAAACAACTAGAAGACCTTAGTAGCACGGAATATAGGATGAACAAAAAAACCAACAGGAAGTTAAGGACAACGGTGCTGTTATAAAGTGTGTGTGTGTGTGTGTGTGGTGTGTCAGAGAGAGCTAAAGACAGGCTTAGTTTTATTTTGCTTTTGTTTCCCAGGTTTTTCCTTGTGTACAAAAAAGGGGGCCAGTTTGGAAATTATTGGGAATCAGATATGTAATCTGCCCAGCCAAAAGATCAATATAAAAGAATTTGGAAAGATACTTTAAGAAGAGAGGTGGATAAATAGCATGTGAGCAAACTCATCTGCATTACCTCCACATGTCCAGCATGGAAAAGATCAAAAGCACCATCTATATAAACTATGCGTGCGTCCGACTGAGGACCCTGCAATCGGGCATAAAACATACATTAAAAAATGACAAAGTTCACCTCACCAGTAATATATGTGATATAGAACTTATGTTTTTTCTTTCCTTTTTGTTCCCCCTTGTTTAAAAAGAGACTTCATCCGAGGAATCAACGCAAGGGATTGAGTAATAAAAATTGCCCTCTGTCTGTGATGTAATATCCACAAGATATAAACTAGGATATTCATAGAAATTCAGGAAGCTAAAACAGACAAAATGCACTTATTTATTTGAAACAACCAGTAAAGAAAGTTCAGAGATTACGTACTTTCCCATTCGAGAACTGAACAATTCTTCGAGATGTTGGTAGGAAATGAGACACACGAGTTCCGCTTCCAGATCCACCATCTTCAAATTTCTGACTGTGACCATGGCTGAATTGTCTCTGCAAGGAAGAATGGTGCTGGTTCTCACTAACCGATCTCTCTCTTACACAGAGAAGCATACGACCTGTTCACAGCATTACCAAAAAACAAAATTAGACTAGCAAATTCCAAATGCCCCAACAAAGGATTAACAACTGTGATTATGTAAAGAAGATTAGTATTTAATCAGCTTCTGTGCTATAATTAGACTTAAAATACGCATAGAAATGGGCATAACCGAGTGAGATGGATAGAATGAAACAAACCAACAATGTCTGTGCTGGAGACCCCTTCTGTGCGTTTGATCTGCTTGTAGCGACCAGCCTTCTTGGCAAGAGCATAAGCGTCAGTTCCATCAGGAAGAACACATGGGTCATCTCCATGAATGATATAGTCTATATTGTATTCATCAAACAGTTTCTTCATGAACTCTTCGGTTATAGCATAAGGTGCATCCGGAATAACCTCATCAACCCATTTCACAGCATTAACCATAATCATCCTACAACACAACACAAGCACAGATGCATTCACATAAACCCAATAATTACGAAGCTAATGCAGCTGATTTAAACAAAAAGCTGGTACCTTTCATCGAGAGGAGTAACAGGGGGGCCTTTGTTGGCGATGATTTCAGCGTCGCTGACAACGCCGACAACCAATTGGTCGCCGAGGGCACGTGCCTGACGGAGCGCGTTGCAGTGGCCGTAGTGCATCATGTCAAAGCAGCCGTCCATGTAAACGCGGACAGGTCTGTTCTTCTTCCTCCGCCATGGAAATCCCAGAGGCAGTTGAGGGCCATGACGTTCCTGTGAGCCTAACAGAGACACCCCAAAGCCGACCCCCACCGCCACCACCACCCCTCCGACGAGGCACGTGGCTAGAAACCTCGCCCAACTTCGCGCGTTCTCTGAGTTCCCATCTTCCAAACTCATTTCGTCGCTTCTGGATTTCACAAATCAAATCGAGTGAAAGAGAGAGCTTTAGTCATCTGATTTACCCAAAATTCCTTTTCTTCTATCGAATCAGAAAACCGAATAAAGTCGGCATTTTTTCCTTCTGATGAAAAATTGTCGGGTTCGGGGTTCCCCACACTTTTCTCGTTCTCACTCAATTTTCTCACTTTTTCTTTTTTGTGCGGCGGATGATTCTTGGGCTTGGGCTACTGTGCCACCCAAACTTTCAATTTTTATTGGGTCAAAAACGACTCTTTTATAGGATTTTCTTAAGCCCATTTCTTTGTTTATGTTTCAAAAGAAAAAAGAAAAAAAAAAAAAAAAAAAAATACGGTGAGTGGAGGGCGGTGGGTGGTGGCGTGGACTTGACTCAAGTACTCTTTGTTTGGTTTATTCCTTTTCAAATTCCGTTATTCCACTGTAACTCCTCTTCCTCTTCCTCCTGTTGCCGACGAATAGAAACGAGAGAGAGAGAGAGAGAGAGAGAGATCGCGTTGGACTGGTCTTGCTTACAAGTAACAATGGCTTCCACCGAGGGTATAGTACCAATAACCAGGGCTTTTCTGGCTTCCTATTACGACACATACCAATTCTCCCCTCTCTCAAACGACGTCGCTCGCCTTTCCTCTGAGATTCGCTCTTTCACCGCCAATTTGCTTAACAGCTCTCCGGCTGCTGAAGGTCCTTAATTTCTAAACCCTCTAATCTTATTTTTGTTATAGTGATCATCTTCTTCTTTTTTTGCTTGTTATTGCATATTGTTTATGGAATGAGTCAATGAGTGTGATTTGTAGGCGAGGAGCGATTACTAGTGAGTGAGTTAGAGAGTGAACCGCCCCATAAAGTTGACGAGAACATGTGGAAGAATCGAGAACATATGGAGGAGATACTGTATTTACTTGAAAAGCCTCATTGGCCTCGATCGGTAAGCTAATCTAAGTTAATCTATGCTGTTGTTGCTTCTGAAAGATCTACCTTTTTTTTAATTTTATAATTCTTGCTTCTCTGGGCACAGCTTCAACAGCAGTTAAGTCCTGATGATGCTGAACTTGCTACTATTATCGATCGTCTCCACCAAAAGTTTCAAACCAGTTTGAAGACATTGGAGTCTTTCCAAGCTAAAAATTCTGAACGTGTCTTCAACACAGGTTCGTTGCCTCTCACTCGCCCATGTTGCGTTTCAATGACTTATTAAAAAATCTGCTTTGCTCATAATGGAATGTGGGATTATGCCTGCAGTTATGACTTACATTCCCCAAGATTTTCGGGGAAAGCTCATCAGACAACAGAGGGAACGTTCAGAGAGGAATAAGCAAGCAGAGGTTGATGCTTTGGTTAGTTCTGGAGCATCTATACGTGATCGTTATGCTCTCTTGTGGAAACAACAGATGGAGAGGTGAGCCTAATTACTTTTCGCTTACCCAATTGGGTTAAAAGCAGCATGTCCTCCACCTTACGTTTTATTTGCTCATCACTCTTCCAGGAGGAGACTTTTAGCGCAGCTTGGTTCTGCTACTGGTGTCTACAAAACCCTTGTCAAGTACTTGGTTGGGGTTCCACAGGTATGTTCCTCAGCCCATTTGCCTGCCTTTTTTTTTGGCTGGGTTGACCTACTACTCCATATGCTTGTTTGGGTCTGTATATTCACTCCTACCTCTTAACTTGATATGCTGTTCTCCTTCTAACATTCCTTTTATGGTTTTCTCATTTTGCCTAATGTATTTATCCAGTTGGAGGGTGGTTATTTGATGTTGTCTTGATCAATTATTATTTTTAGATGTATTTCAAAAGTATGATTTACTTATTCCATGTTTGAGATTGTGATAATTGGTAACTGTTCCTGCACACTTCCTTTTGGGCGCAGGTTCTACTAGATTTTATTCGCCAAATAAATGATGATGATGGGTAAGTTCTTTTGTGGGAGTAGTGTAATTTCGCTGTCTATAATAATTTAATGTCTTGTTGTATCCTTCATTAACAGGCCCATGGAAGAACAACGACAACGTTATGGACCACCTTTATACAGACTTACAACTATGGTGCTTCTTATAAGAGTCTTTATTTCGCTGTCTTGGGGGCGTTTTGAGACTAGAAAATTGTGAGAATTCTTGCAATCTTTTTATCTTTGGTTGTTTTGTTCAAAATGTATTTCTATTTATCTTCTCACTGACGCTTTCTTTGGTTTCCTTTTTTTCCCCCAAATTTGCATCGACACTTATTTGTTGTATGAATTGAGCAGAAAGAAAGAAGAGGTAGCTGTATTGGAACAAGCTGCTGATGTCTACACCACTGAGTTTGAAAGGTTTATAACGTTTATCAGGTATTACTCTTATTTCTGTTTGCAATTGGGTAACTTTAAGTCGTATGTCATCTTGATGATAACGATTTTTATCACTTTCATTATAATAACTACTATCATATTAGTTTTGAAGTTTCAATTTACATACCCCTTCCTTTTGCTAGGGGTTTGATTTGACTATCCTTTTGATCCCATAAAAATGTGTAGAAGTAAAATTTTACAAATTATGGTAGCTTTCTTGTGTATATGCATGATAATACATGCACACTTAAACGCCAAAATAAATCTGTGTTGTCTTGCTGGGCTGCAAGCATGTCTTTCCTTTATCTTGCTGCTAGGCTGTGCTTATTGCTATATCAATTTGTGTATGCATTTTTGTCAGCGAGGTCTTTGCAAATTCCCCCTTTTTTATCTCAGCAGAGGTTGCCGGTGCATTAGAAGGAAGGTCAGACACCAGCTTTTTAAAAAAATTAACTTTACTTTTGTATTTTCATATCAAAACTTTTGTTAGTTTTTTTCTGTACAGGAATAATGATGATTACAAAGAGATAAGTGTTCCGGCTGGGAAAACTCATGAGGTTTGTTTACATATCTGCTTGTGAGACTCATTCTTTTTCCTTGTGGCTGAAGGTGATTTGTGCTCACATGCATGCGTGTGTGAATCTATTGATTCATTTCTAACAACTCTGGTTTAACAACTCAGCTAGGAATTAATATAACTTCATTACTATTATAGGTTTCATTGTCTGTGGACGCGATAAATTCATACATTGCTTGGGATTTTTCGCTTGTGCAAGGGAAGATAAACTTGGTATTGTTCGTTAACCGTTATTGACCTTCTTTTCTTTTCTAATTACTATGTCTTTTTTCTTTGTATGTATGTAGAATATAATTGGCAACAGCTGTAATGTGCATGCTCCTGGCCTCATGATAGTAATATATGTTCCAGTTGTTAAAATAGCTCGTATGCTTCTTTATGCAAAATTTATGACAATGTAAATCCCATATTGAGATTTATGTTTGGTGGTCAGGATATTGGGTTTAGTGTCGAGTATACAAATCCTTCTGGAGAAAAATCTGTAAGTTGAACTATGATGGTTCGGTTGTTAATTATACAATGTTTACTTTATTCTCCTCCTTTTCAACCTTCTATTTTTCTTTGTTTTGTTTTTCCCTTTTGCTTTCTTATTCCTCATTTTAACATAATTGTTTTCTTGCAATGACACTGGGGCATTGGTGATTATACCACAGCTCATTTTACCTTACCGACGCTTCGAGTCTGACCAAGTAAGTTTAGCATTTCTGGTTGTGTGTGGTGTTAGAACACCATTTGAAATTAAATCTCTTGACTTCTAAACTTGTAATCTTTTACAGGGAAACTTTTGCACATGCGAGGTTGGAAACTATAAACTGCTTTGGGACAATTCATATTCAAGTTTCTTTAAGAAGGTGTGCAGACATGTTTGGGATCTCCTATTTTCGGTTTCTGTTTTTGTTTTACTACACCACTTTACGTGTCATATCAATCTTGAAAACAAGTCGGCCTTTTGGGTTTTAGAGTTGAAATATAATGGTAATACAGAATTTCTTATTATTTGCAAGTCACTGGAATTTCTCATTAAGAAGCATGCTATTTCCCTATTAGAAAAAAGACACCTTCCATGCTGTTTTAAACTTCAGTTTGACGTTTGAGCCATTAAGTTGTGTTAGCTCACTTCTCATTGTTAGCAGAATTGGCCCTTTTGCATATATTCTGAGCATGTATTTTTCAGCAATTCCATGTCACTTGATATACTGGCTGCATGTCTCCATCTTTACAAAAGCAGCTCAAGTAGGGCAGACAATGTTTGTCCTGATTCTACTTTATTATGATATGAACTAAGAGATCGAAAGCAAAATCTGACCTCTTCTCAATCTAACTAGACTTATTGTAGCTAGTAGCTAGCTACTCATATTCTGAAGGGTACTGTCATCTGACCTTTTTTCAATCTTTTTATGAACTGGTACCCTTTTTGGGCCTTCGTCTATTGTATTGTACACCCAATATAGGAATTTTCTTACATTTATATCTTATTATTTGCTGGAATATAGGCGCTGCGCTACAAGGTAGATTGCATACCTCCAGTTGCTGAGCCAGTGGCACCCGCGACTGAAGCTAAAGAATGAGCTTCTTGGCAAATTGGAATATTTTATCGTCATGCCAGATAAATGCTATCAGTAATTTCTGTTGCGTTAAATTGTATCATGTTATTCTTCTCTTTTTCTTTTTTCTTTATTCGTTGCATCTCCTGAGGTTGGACATCCAGATTGGTTTCTTTCATTATCAGGGCATGCGATTGATGGTACAGAATGTTGTATTATAGATCCTCTGTATATTACCTATTTACCTGACACTCAGTTATTGAAATTTAAGTCATCAGCAACGTTTTCATGATCATCCTCAAGTTGAATTAATGCAAAGTGGCTTGATTAGCATTTCTAACCAATGCTGAGTCCTGTTTCGGCACATAGAGATGAAGGGCTTGGGACTAAAGTGCATGTAAGGAATCCAGCATTTGGCAATTGTGGAGCAACCAAAAACACAAAAGGCCAGCGAACGAGTTTCCCAGCGAATATAGACATTGAGTGACTAAATACACGTTTAATTATTCCAAAATGTAACTGAACAAGTTAAAAGTCTAACAAAAAGTACAGAAATCCAGTAGTTCAATAACATGGCAAAAAACCTATGCTACAATCAACAAAGTACAGGTTAAGTGAAGGCATAAACTCGTTTTGCTGAATCAAGAGTGTTTGATAGGAGCATGGCAATTGTCATGGGTCCAACTCCTCCAGGCACTGGGGTGATGGCTGATGCCACCCGCACTGCTTCTTCATAGCAAACATCCCCTGTGAGGCGGTAACCATGCTCCGAGCTGGGGTCCTGCCAGTACAGTACATACATATATATGTGATTTAAAAGTAAAATGAAAGAATACGGCACAGTTATGTGATTACTTAATGCCATCGTTTTGTCAAATTGCCAAATTCAAAATGTTAATCAGAGTCCAATATTTACCTCAACTGGATTAGTTCCAACATCGATAACAACTGCTCCGGGCTTTAGCCAATTTCCACGGACCAGATTTGGCACTCCTGCTGCCGTGACCACAATGTCAGCTTCACAGGTGATAAGTTCTGGGTTCTTTGTGAAGGCATGTACAATGCTGACTGTTGCATGGTGCCTCTGCACAACAATTTGAAGAAAACTATGCCTGTACATTAGCATGTATGGATTGATTTTATTATTATGTCATTTTTGAAAAAAAATATAATATTACCTGCAACAGCAATGATGTGGGCAATCCAACAATGTTACTTCTCCCAATCACAGCAGCTTTCCTCCCCGCTATTTCCACACCAGACCTGAGCAACATCTCAATGCAACCCTTGGGAGTGCAGGGAATGAACAAAGGCTCCCTTCCTCTCATGGCAAGATTTCCCATATTAAGTGGATGGAAGCCATCCACATCTTTCTCTGGTCTCAGCACATCCAAAACTTTTCCCTCATCCAAATGCTGTCCCAGACAGTTTGTTGTAAGTCATCCATACAACAGCAGCAAGTTCTGACATGTAATGAATCAAAACCTCAGCTATTTAGTTGCCACACAGGTGATCTAAGAGAAATTTCTATCCACTGGAGTGTTCATGGCTTAGGTCTCTCAGGTCTTGGGTTTGTGGTGGGGGTGTTCTTACCAATTCAACTGTGTCGGTTTGCAATCTCACAAGCCTGAAAACAAAACTACGGGCCAGCAAACCTAAAGTCACCCGAACTATGAGATTGTTGGACTAACACAATCCAGATACCGTTTTACCCAAAATGGGCAGAGATTTTTAAGGAAACAATTCCAAATCGAAATGTGCAGCAGGAAAATTCCATTTTAAAACCCTAATCACATGGATCTTTAGACAAAAAAGTTCAGGAAGCTTCCAGTTTGTGGGTGCTTATGGGAGAAATTCAAGTTAAGGAAGATTTCTAAAATAGGGCATTCCCTTGAGTGAGGTTGATTCAGTTAAAGTGAGTACTACCAAGTATATAAATTTGTTTCATCATTCTTAACTAAATGATATCTGTAGTTGATCAACTGTCTTTAAGATTCAAAGCATTTTGAAAATACAATTGTATAACTTCAATTCTAATCTAGTTCTATTTGCAGCATACAGCATTATACATTAAAATAAAAAAAAAAAAAAAAAAAAAAAAAAAAAAAAAAAAAAAAAAGTAAGAAATTACTTGTGGTAGAGGAAGTTGCACGAGAATACCGTGAACAGAGGGATCCGCATCAAAACTAGACAAAGCGCCAAGAACTTGATCTTTTGTGCAATCTTCAGGCAGCTGAGCAACCATGGACTTAATCCCAACTTCTGCACAAGCCATCATCTTGTTACGGACATAACTCTGAGAGTCCCTTCTATGACCTACCACAATCACCGCTAACCCAGGCACCATTCCAATGCCCTCTTTCATCCTCCTCACCTCACCGCCTATTCTCGTCCTAATTTCATCCGCAATAAACTTCCCATCAATAATAGTAGCTGTCTGCTCGTTAGCTGTGGTGGTGAACCAAAATGAATACTTTAACGCAAATCAAATTGTTAAAAACTGGGTTTTGCTCACACCATCAAATACCACTTAATTTACACACAACAAAGATTTGAACTTTTAATACTTAAGACCATAAGAAAGCAAATCAAAGGCAGAAAAAACAGAGTAAAGCTAAGCAGCAAAGATGGGCAAGCAGGAAACTTACAGGAACTTATAGGGGAAGAGAAACAAGAGTGTGCAGGGGAGGGAGCCCAATCATCAGGTATGTCTAGAGAGACAAGAGGAGGAGAGATTACAATTGGGCAGCCATCGTCGTTTCTTAAGGTGTTATGGGCGCTTCTGCAGCAGCCTCTGCTTCCTGATGGAACTCTCAATCTCAGTCCATTCCGCCATGGCGATGCCACTCTCGGAATCATTTTATTATGCTAACGCTACTGCTTCGGCTGTCCCTTGCCCCTCCTGCTTCTATTTCATTTGCGTCTTTCTCCTCTCGACCCTTTACAGCATAGCATCACTTACCTACAGAAAACAGAGGGCCCAATTCACTTCCGGGTGAAACCACAAGGCCCCAATCAAACACCAGGTAAACTATCTCCTGCACAAAAAGCCCATGTCCTACAGTTTGGATGGGATTTAGCCCAGCTCATTAGTCCATCGACCAAGCCCGACATTCCTAACAGGTAGGTTGGGTATACTATGTATGTGATCAACCTGCCTGAGGATAGGCCCATTTGGCCTGCCCCCTTCCTTTTGTATTTTTCCCGACGATCGTCTTCCTTCAAAATATTTCCTCATTCTTGTCATGTGGACAAAAGGGCTCCATATGTTCGCGAGGGCTCCACATGTTCGTCTATGAGTGCTCCATGAGCACTAACACGAACATATGAAGCCTGCCACAAGAATATGAACAAACATTAATGCTTTGCATGGTGGAATTCATTGCATGATATAATGTATCTTTTCCCCTAATGATGTAATGGAGTGTCAAAATATTTGGCAGGAAGGAAAAGTTGAAATGAATTCATGAGCATACGATATGAGATGGCTTGTTTTAACATGCCCAATAATTTTCTCCCCAAGCACACGAGGAAGAAAGAAAAAAAGAAAAAAGACAAAGACAAAAATGGAAGAAGAAAAAAGGAACAAAAAAACAACAATAGAACAGTGTGTGTGCATGGGTCGACAGTGAGAATCTCCATTGAGGGAAACATTGGAGATATTCTTGTGGAATCACTCGAATGTAATTTTCCTCTCTTTCAATTAATTGAAGCCAAAAAAAAAGAAAAGGTGTGTATCATAATTTGCATGGATCAGTATGCCCACATCACAAATCAAATCAAATCGAAAATTTTATAGTAAAAAAAATCTGAAATTTCCATTTGGATTGGGTGGGCATGCATGATTGTGTGCTGTTCTAGATGAATTATGAACATTTGCTAAGACGAAGAGCAGCAAGTTTTGGCCTATGCTGTCAGCCCCTTCCTAAATTTGATTTTAAATTTTTAAATGGATGCATTTGTTTTGTTGTTAAGCCTCGAATGTTTGGTACAACTTGCTGCGTCTTTTTCCTATCAAATGCAGATTATCGCTTCTGCATCAATATATTTTTAACGCAATGTGCATGCATTCTTCTATGCTCAAGAGTTCAATTGCATGTGACCTGCCTCAATTTTGATCAATCGCTTTAACATGACAATAAGACATATCGACACTGTCCCCTCTCAAGATACCTAATAATGTTACGCGTGTATATATGTATATGTGTACGCACACGCGCGATGGTTGGATTATAAGTGCAAATGAGTGGAAATGCTTGTGTGTTGAGTGGTGATGTATGGGATTCATGTTGCTTGTGCTATTAGTTTGAATAAGAATGTACAATGATGTGATTATAATGTACTGAATCCCGGAAGAAAAATTGCTAATAAAATTTACCTAAACCGACATGGGTTTGCTGAAAGAATTCCATTTTGACGGCCTACTACATGGTTCAAAGTTGGAATGAAAAGTCGTAGGTCATCAGCAATGGGGAGTTTTATCCAAAATGTGTCTTTTCAATATTGCCAAGAATGATTACTGGGTAATTATTATTGGAATCAGCAGCTGAATGAGATGTTTGATGTGGTTATAAATTACAGCGTTCATACACCAAAAGCTGAATGCATCAAAGTCTACACTGTGGGGTAGATTTTAGGGCACATCACATGTTACCTCCAACAAAAGGTTTTTGTTGTCACCTTTGCAATTATATACATAAATCAAATCATAATGAAAAAATTACTACCTTAATTTCACTCCTTTATGATTAAAGTTTTGAGTTTAGTGACATCAAGTTGGACTTGGATAAATTGGAGTTGGAGAAAGACTTTTATGCAACGGGGATAACACTTTTTGCTATTCCCAGTCAATAACGCAATGACACGTGAGATAACTTTTCCACGTATCATCGTGTGTTATTGATTGATGGTAACAAAACAGTACTATCGCCATACAAGTGAGTTTTTCTGCTGGAATTGAGTTTGGAACCTTGTGTGCAGAACAATGTTGCTATATTTGAAAATTCAAACAGAACAGAAATCAAATAAGACCAAAAAATCATCAAAGTATGTGAGAATGGAATTACCAAATGGACCCAAATGGAATTCTGCCCTACCTCTCTGTCTTTTACCCTAATGTATTATGCCATGTCATTCTCACGACTGGCATACGTACATTCACAAAAAAATAAATTATGTACTAAACATCTTTGTTCAAATAGCACTTTCCAGATTTCGATTCTTTAGTTGCTGCTGCTTGTTTTGATATCTTCCAAAATTTCAAAATTATATATGAATAATAATAGTAATAATAATGATCAAATTATGGAAAAAAAATACGTTGCGAATAATATTCAGAAGAACCCGCATTAGGTTAGGGTTGGATGATGCTTGGAGTGGGGCAGAGTCTCAAAGTGCCGTACTGTCATACTGTCACAGAACAATATTATTATATTTTTCTGTGCTGATATGATATGAAAGGAAAAGAAGCTAAAGAAACAAACAAGAACAGAAACTTAGATAATGAGACATGCATGGCGATGGTGGTGCTGTAAAAAGAAGGAAACAAGAACAAGGTGAAAAGGGAAAGTGAAAAACCAAAAAAAAAGGGCTGAGCAATGGAAATTCAGAAAGTGGTCGAGAGATCTTGGCATTTCAAAAATTAAACTGACTCTGTGTCTGGTTCTGCAATAGGGGTGGGTGGTGATGCGTCTCTTTTTCACGTGTTGAAGTTTGCGATTCAATGGCTTTGTCAGTCAGAATTCAGAGAGAGAAAAAGGAAGAGAGAGAGAGAGAGAACGACGGTCCAAAAGACGAATAACTTTTTACATGCACACCATAAAATCTACTCACTTCACTGCTTCCTTCTGTTAGATAATTACAGTAAAGTAGGTTTAATCTTTTTCTCTCTCTCTCTTTATATATTTTAGTTCAAACAAGTCAGCCTACTTTTTGGTGGTATAACGTGCTGCTTTTTGTTCATTTCTGTATTGCGCTCTCTCTCTCTCTCTCTCTCTCTCTCTCTGTGCCAGTTCTCCAAGAAACTTTGTTAAGTCTAAACATGAAAGACCTATCATTAACAAATTCACTCAAATTATAACATGTATATTACTTAGTTGGTAATGCTAAACTCGTAACATCATGCGATAAAATGTTAGCATGTCACGTGGGTTTAACATCCAACTCCTATCTAATTAGACAAAGTGCCTGTCTGTGCATGGGATGGATGGGAGAATCAAACAAGGGCAAAGTTACTGCTAAGCTTGGTCAAAGTAAGTAAAAAAGTAAAAAGTAAAAAAGATATAAATATATAGAAGAGGAGAAGAGATACTATACAATAAAATAAGAGCGAGAGGAAAAAGTTGATGTGGAAAATGCAGTTGAAAGCAAAATGTCAAACACTAGGCTTCAATTTCCAGGAACTGAGGTTTGACAGCTACTTCTCTTCGTGGCTCGGTCACGAGGAGGAGCCTCCAATATTTTTTTATTATTGAGACCTGCCTTTCTATATTAATTACCTCAAACCCTAGTAGTAGAACAGTTGGGAGGAAGGGCCTAAATGTAAAAATATTTAGACTAATTGTAATTTATATGATTTAATCAAGCTAGTTTACAATATCAACGCAGCAATTTTCCTTGCTGTTAACGAAGCAGCAATACAATAATATTACTTTTAGGCCCCCCCGGCCTTGGAATGAGCACGACATGTTTTACTTGGTAATCTAATCTCTAAAATCTAATTAGTGAGTAATTAATTGACTAGGGTAGCAACGTTTTCCCATGCGAATATTGAAATGTCAAACACATAGATATGAAACGCACTGGTGCTGGAATTATGCGTCCTTTTCTTGAACCAAAAAGTAAATTCCAAAATGATTAACGATTTAATTAAGTTGTACTGTATCGTAATTAGTTAAACAAGACAGTGCCTGATCAGACATTTCTCATCCGGCGGAAGGAACGACAACAACAAATGTATGTCACAATTATGTCTTTATGTTTTCATATTGCCACTTATGAAATGAACCTTGTAACACTTCCGTTACTGTGAACTTTGTAAACCATTTTGTCACCAAGAAATTTGGCAACATGCAAATGTACGATGGTTGTCTTGTCTCTCCAGTTTGTCATGACTCATCTTGACGTGGCAAAATATATATAGCAAATCTCTTTTTATTTTTATGGCGGGTCTTTCTTCTTTTTTCCTGTAAAGTTCAAGTTCAATGATTAATTAGCTTAATCACATAAATAATATGTTTAAGAAATTTCTGTGTCATGGCTAGCTAGGGTTTATAAGGTAAGTTAGTATCAAATCTGCTTATAAGGTAAGTTAGTATCAAATTTGTTTATAAGGTAAGTTAGTATCAAATTTGTTTACAAGCTAAGTTAGTGCTTCTGGAAGGGTTAAAAGCGCTTCTGATAGCATTTAGCAAAAAAATTTAGAAGCGCTTATAGGTCATATATAAGAGCTTTTTCAATAAGCACATATTGTGTGCTTCTTCAAGAAGCACTCCCAAATGCTTTTCCAAGAAGACTAGGATTTTTTAATGAAAATTCAAGATTTTTATAATAAAAGCCCTTTTATTAGAAGCGCTTATGAGCAAAAGTACTTTGTAGAGAAGTAGTCTCAAACGAGTCTGTAATTTTAGGCTCAATTGTGATTGAAAGTTCGACCAAATTTAAGAGTGGTTGCTGTTGCAGACCCTGCAGTGGCAGTGCCCAAAATTGGTAAAAATTTGAGGTGATAATTTCATGGAAAATAAATGCTCTCATCAAGTTGATGAAAGAAAGGGGTTGGCACGTTGAATTTGTGGCAGGTTGATAATTAAATGAAGATATTAAATAAGGTAATTTCATGAACTTGTAGCGCTAGGGTTTTTGTCTTGTACCCAGTAACAATAAGGTTGAAGAACTCTCCCAGAGACATCAATGCACATCATAGTAATGGTCGTTCCCAAATCCGAACACGAATGAAAACGTCAAACACTTAAAGACGAGCCACACAGAAACTCCATTACTCCCAAACCAATCTGCCACTCCGAAGCCACAGCTAAGCCCACACCCTTAAATCTTTTTTGGACGAGAGCGTTATTCTAAACTATCCTAAAGTATAGTCTCCGAGAGGAGGTTCAAACTCGGATACAAGGGAAACGACACTACCTATTTGCATTCTCATTTGTTTGTTTGTTTCCATCGCTAGCCTAGCTTTGTTTCCCATTAAACCATTAAATAAACCAAAGGCCAAGAAGAGTTTAAATTAAGTTTTCAAATTCATCCATCCATAAGCAGACGTTTAGCTAATCGCCACTCCCATTTTCCCAGCACGAGCAAAACCTCTCTTCTGCAATTTTTATTTTTATTTTCTTCTCGGTTATGAAAAAACCCAGATGCATCCAAAAGACATAGCTACGGCGGACTTATATTATTTAAATCACAAAACAGAGAATAATAAAGGGTAGCTTAATTTAGCACTTGGGAGCTCGTGTTGGGTTGAGACTTGAGCAAGAGAGAGAGAGAGAGAGAGAGAGAGAGAGAGAGAGAGAGAGAGAGAGAGAAAGAGAAACAGACTTAGAGAGAAGAAGGAATCCCAAAGCTGCTGTCCCAATCTTTACACCGTTATCTGTTTGGGATATTGCAACCCCCCATCTTCTTCCTTTGCATTTCTGCTGAGCTGAGATCCCATTTCATTATTTCTTCTATGAAGAAGAGCAAAAAATATCAAACACCTTCTTCTACTCTCATTGTCCCAGTCATATTTAGTACCAGCTGCAGGTCCTCCAGGATCTCCATCAATCTTCTTCAACATGGCTGCTTGTGCTTTGCTCGGTGATCACAATGGAGAGCATATAAGCGGCAATGGCAGCAGCAACAACAACAGCCATGGCGGAGGAAGCCCATCTTGTCCGATGACAAGCACCACAAACTCCAACAGCCAAGGCAGCAGCGTAGAGCAGCAACCACCTCGCCAGCACCAAAACCAACAGCAGCAGCAGCGACAGTCGACAGAGGGATCGAAAATGGTGAGAAAGAGAATGGCTTGTGAGATTGAAGTTCAAAACTACCCAACAAGCAGAAACACAAGTGCTTCTGATTATATGAGGCTTTCCCGTCGGAGCAGCAGCATTATTAATAATAATCCAAATCCAAATGCGACCAAAGTGAATAATAATTCTATGGTTTATCCCAACTACTCCACTATGCTGTTACCAGTACCATCTTCCACAAATTTGACAACTTTGACGTCAGCTGGTGGGGCTTTATCACCTGCTTCTGCTTCTGCTTCTTCCGCTGCTGCTTCTGCTGCCAACTGGGGTCCTATTGACCCACTGTCACTTCATCACCATCATCAATCAGGAGCGCTTCCTCCTCATCAGCTTCAGCTTCAGCCCAAGACCCTCACCCCTGCCGTTTGTGGGTTTTCGGGTCTGCCTTTGTTCCCACCAGAAAAGACGACTCCTTCGAATCAAAGTACTGCAACTCCATCCTCCATATCCATATCCATGGAAGACAGCTCCTCCGCCACGGCGTGGATCGACGGCATCATCAAGGACCTCATCCACAGCTCCACCAACGTCTCCATCCCTCAGCTCATCCACAACGTCAGAGAGATCATCTTCCCTTGCAACCCCAACCTCGCTTCTCTCCTCGAGTACAGGCTCCGCTCCATATCCGAGCCGCCTCCACCTCCTCCTCCCATCCCGAACTTTAACCCCGCCACAGTACCAGAGCTCAGGAGAAGAAGAGAAACCTTACAGCTTCAGCAGCAACAAAACCAACATCATCATCATCATCATCAAGGTCCTGGGGCTCTCAAGCTCAATCTTGACTCGGCTGCCCTACATGACGTCGCCATTTTCACGAACCCAACAACAGTTGAGACTGCTTCTGTTGCTACCCACGTGATGAACAGCAATGATTTGTACTTGCACTCATGGACAGGAGGTGGAGGAGGAGCTGGTCCTACCCCTATCACCTGTAGCCAAACAAACCCTCACCACCCAAACTCTCCTTTCAATCAGGCAATTCATCATACACAAGATAAGCAACTAGAAAACTCTTCATCCTCATCCCCTGCGGCCGAGTCCACAACACCCACTGCTGCACCCGCCACCACTACAGCCACAACAACCCCCACTCCACCGCCAACAACACCATCGGCGGCAGTGTCCCTAATCAGAGAGAGAAAAGAAGAGATGCGGCAGCAAAAGCGAGACGAAGAAGGCCTACATCTCCTCACCCTCCTCCTTCAATGCGCCGAGGCCGTCTCGGCCGACAACTTCGACGAAGCCACCAAAATCCTCCTTGAAATCTCCGAGCTCTCCACCCCATTCGGCACCTCCGCCCAGCGCGTCGCCGCCTACTTCTCGGAAGCCATGTCGGCGCGCCTCGTCAGCTCCTGCCTCGGAATCTACGCCTCCCTCCCTCCCTCCTACGTCCCAATCAGCCACACCCAGAAAATGGTCTCCGCCTTCCAAGTCTTCAACGGCATCAGCCCCTTTGTCAAGTTCTCTCACTTCACCGCCAATCAGGCGATCCAGGAAGCGTTCGAGAGAGAGGACAGGGTGCACATAGTAGATCTCGACATCATGCAGGGCCTGCAATGGCCTGGGCTTTTCCACATCCTGGCTTCGAGGCCAGGTGGGCCCCCCTACGTGAGGCTTACCGGGCTCGGGACCTCCATGGAGGCGTTGGAGGCCACCGGGAAGCGTCTGTCTGACTTCGCTGATAAATTAGGGCTTCCGTTCGAGTTTTTTCCTGTGGCGGAGAAAGTGGGGAGTTTGGACCCGGAGAGGTTGAACATCAGCAAGAGAGAAGCTGTGGCGGTGCATTGGTTGCAGCATTCGCTTTACGATGTCACTGGTTCCGATTCCAATACGCTCTGGCTTTTGCAGAGGTAACGTCTTTCTCCATCTCTTGATCCATTTGATTCTTAAAATATGATGGAAAAAAAAGAAAAAAATCAAACTGGGTTTCTTTTGCTTTGCACTTTTTGGTGTCTTTGATCGATGTTGCTAATCAAAGTATCAAACTTTATGAAGCTACCGCTGACCATGTATTAAACAAATAATGTTTTACTGCACCATGCCACTACCATCTATATCTATCTATCTATCTATCTATCTATCTATCTATCTATCTATACTGCAACCTATAAAAAGCTGCCCTCAATCCTTTTGCACGTATTGTTGGTCGTAGCATTATGGGAAAGATGCAAAATTTAATTTTGACTTGATACTTCAATGTAGATTTTTTATTGTATACTAATTGGGTTTTGATTGTTGCATGTGTTTGGGGATGTTGATTCAGATTGGCACCAAAAGTAGTGACGGTGGTGGAACAAGACTTGAGCCACGCGGGCTCCTTCTTGGGGCGGTTTGTTGAGGCCATACACTACTACTCCGCCCTGTTCGACTCTCTCGGAGCGAGCTACGGCGAGGAGAGCGAGGAGAGGCATGTGGTGGAGCAGCAGCTGCTCTCGAGAGAGATCCGGAACGTTCTGGCGGTCGGAGGGCCGTCGAGGAGCGGAGAGGTGAAGTTCCACAACTGGAGAGACAAGTTTCAGCAGAGTGGGTTCAGGGGGATATCTCTGGCTGGAAATGCAGCAACCCAAGCGACCTTGCTGCTTGGGATGTTTCCTTCTGATGGGTACACTTTGGTGGAGGACAATGGCACTCTCAAGCTTGGTTGGAAGGACCTTTGCTTGCTCACTGCTTCTGCCTGGAGGCCTCCCTTCCATGCAACCACCAACCCCAACCTTCACTATTGAGTGAGAGCTTTTGCTTTTATGGAGATGTATGTATAATGAAATGAGTGTTTGAAGGTGGTAGCTTAGGCGGTTCATGAGTTTGAATGTATTATCTTGTTAAATGCTTAATTACCATCATTATGCAGTTTAATTATTTTTTTTATTTGAGATCTCTCGGTTTGAAGTTTTGGAAGAAACTTGGTTCTGGTATTTGGGCTTGATCCAGTCTATTTATGGGCTCCAAACCTGTATATGAAAAACCCTAGAAAACCCAACAGGAGACCCGGAAAGTAGCAGGCCGATGCATAACACAAGCCACATTTTCTTTAGGTTCAAAAGAGGCCTGAGGGCTGGAGAGAACGGGAATATGATAACCAATTTGATCCAACTGTTAAGAGATAGGCCTTTAAAAGAGGCCCTCGCTCTCGAATTCTACCAGGAAGATGACAATTGACAAGCCAGATAATTGAATTGATTTGTTTAAAGAAGAACAAAATTGATACAAGATATAAAAATAATTAGTCCATTGACATCACCTAAGACAAAGACAAATAAATAAAATACAATCTCAGAAGAATGATTTCTCTGAAAGGCATAGAGACTATTTGCTCCCTCAGCCAACTGTCATTTATATCACGAATGGTAATTGAATCTGATCGGACAAACAAACAATAGCACCCTTCCTGTGTACAGAATTATTTGCACAGCTTTTCCACTAAGCAAAAAAATTTCTTCAAATCACTCCCTGGATTTGTCCATCAAATCACCTTTCGTTTCCCCAAAGATGGTAATTCAGAAACTTAGCAGCCTTCCAGGAGCTCCATCCTTCTGCTCTTTCCAAAAATAAAACCAAATTTTTTGTCTTTTATTTACCAAAAAATTACAATTATGTGATTGTCAAACTCAGCGCGGCTATCACGTCCTCGCTTTGGAAGCTTGATAAAAAAAAAATTATCAGCACCCACAAAATAGACATCCATCTGTTAATGCTTCCGGATCCCCATATTTCGGAGAACCTCTTGTAGTACAACCAAGGACAACCAGCTCATCATGAATTCCAATTGCAGTCAGTCAAGAACTGATCCTCTCGGTTCACAAAATTCTTCCAGTAACCTTTATATTTTGGGATCCCTAACTCAAGCCAAGGTTTCATCTTTCCATTATAGTGCAACACTGCAGCATTCCTGATTGGATAGACATCTACATTATAGTCATGACCCAGTCCAGAAAGAGCCCAAGAACCATCCAGAGGATAAATCAAATCCTGAAAGGTAAGCAAGCTCGCATGCAGTGCAACAGCTTCGTTTTGCGCCTCTTGTGTGCTCACCTGCCCATGCAAACACGTCAGAAAATATGAACAACTAATGGACAGTGTTTTAACAAAATAAAAACTAGGACAAAAAAATGCAGACTGTTTCAAATGACAATAACATTTCACCAAATTTGATGTAAAACAACGGGGTCAAGCAGTCAATCCTTCTGTAGTGACTCAAGTTAAATTTTCTCTCTCTCTCTCTCTCTCTATCTTATAAAAATTTCAAATAATTTGCATCACCATGACCACAGGTTAATCAAAGAATAATTACACTGGTTAGATATTAGGTCAACTTACAATGTGACTCACCTCCTTCACAAACTTTTGGTAAGTTTCAGTGAGATCAAGCTCTCTCCACTTAACCAGATCAATCACATTCAATCCAGACATCCAAGCACATGAATTTTTATTGAAACTGTTCTCCCCAAGATAGCTCTTCAACAGACTTAACTTCACTGAGCAGAACTGCACAGCGGCATTAACTTTCCCTTCCATGTTGAGGTTCCATAGTGCAGACAAGTCCTGCTGGACAACAACATCATCATCCAGAACCACAACTTTCTCCAAATTCTGGAATATCTCAGGGAGACGATAGTGTAAATGAGAAAAAGTAGATAAGTACTCCGTTCTACTTTGGGCATCAACGCTATGGGAAACACGGAACTCCACAGGCAGTGAAAATTGTAATTTCGAGTTGTTCAGATCAAGCCGCTCCATGTTTAACACCTCAATCGTGGCTTCCTTATATGTATTTCTAAAGAACCATAGTTTCATTGCGAAGTAATTCTCTTCATCTGTTAGGACATGAAAAACCAGTTTCCCACTTTCCTGAAACATTGCAAATTAGTTAATTGGCGTCATTGCAAGAACAAAAGGAAACTAGCAGCCAAATACGCATGGGAGAATGTCTATTACATACTTTTGCATGCATTACAGTTGAGTTTATCACAACTGACGATGCAAGTACATTAGTGGAGAATATGACATAGTGCTGCAATGCACGATCAATGTACTTGTCAGCCAGAGAGGCCTCTGTATCGTCAAAAGGAGATCTGAAATATTCCACAGTCAGTCTCATTGACAGGCAGTGGAGGCTCTTGGGCATAGTCTGGACTGCAAGTTGGTAGAGGAAAACACTTTGTCTCATGTGGAAGTTAGCTTCATCCTCAGTCAAATCATATATTTGTCTCAGTTTCTTGTCAACATTATTACAATCCACATGGAACGATTTGGCTCTGGCTATTGCAGCTTGCATCCTGTGTAGCTTCTTCCCAATCCTGATGGAACAATTGGCATTGTGCTTAGTTTATTGGGAAAGCCAGACACATTGTCAATAGCCCATGTTAGAAGATATCCATGAAAACCAGCATAAGGACTCACTGGAGCAAAATTCAAAAACCTAAACAGCGGCATGCCAGAAGTAAAAAATAAATTATGACAATTTATGCACTTTACAAGGTGGATGCGACAGCCAAACTCAGCCATTGGATCTTAAAAGTTCAATTGTAAGCACCATGGATGTGGGTAGTAAAAACCATTATCTTATTTTTGGTTATCATTGATGATGGAACAAAGGGAAATAATGAATAGTTTCCATGACTTACTGTGGTGGAAGATCAGCATCTGTGGTACTTTCACTAAGAACACGCTCCACCTCTTGAATATTTTGTCTCATTTCACGTGACAACTTGTCCTGTGATGGAAGTTTTGCAATACTAGGATAATATGCTCTGGCCACAAATAGGTGATCCTTCAGTCTCTTGACCATAGAATCCTTCATGTCTTCTCTATGTTGTTCACGCCAAAGGCAGTAGCTCCCAAATTTCAACTCACATGATTTTCCACTTTGATCAACACCACCTTTCGCATAATCAATGATTTGAACTGAGGCACCAGCTTTAGGGTTCTGTCACAAAAACTCAAATTAAACAGAGCAAAGACAATAGCTATACAATGACTAGAATATGATGGCATGTCAATCAGATTCCAAAGGGAAAAAAACGACAGATTCATGTATACATTTTCAATGGGAAGTGATTGCAGATCAGCATGAGGGGGGACTGAAAATCCTGCAATTATTGAAAAAACAATTTTCAAGTTAATATCTATTACATTGCAACCAGAAAGGATAATGGCAAACCTTTGAAGGCATTGAGCTAACAGACCTTTTTCCTCCTCATTGTCGTGCATGGCACTTGGACTTTTGGTTTCATTTTCAGCTGGATGTGAAATATTCTTTAGTATATCCTGGCACAAAATAATAAAAGGTAGTAAAAACAATCAGGTCACCGATAACTTTAGATGCCTGCATCACATCACTCAAATTATTAACCATGTGATGAACATTATATACCAAAAGAAACTATTGCTGCAATCGTTCCTACAGGTCTTAAATGCCAAACACATCAAAGTCAAAAAAATTGATTCCCATGTCATGCATTAGTGAAAAGCTGCCTTAGAAAAAAACCGCCTGAACGTTGAAAGGTGGGTGCTCCATGATACAAATTCTCTTAATTATGCAACAACTGTGGAAGACAGGGAAAACCAGTGAAACAATAGAGCCATAAATGGAGAAACTTTGGCTTGAAGTTGAGTGAGGAAGGTAGAACTAAGTATGATAATTGATTAAATGTTAAAACTTCATAAATCAAAAGCAAATTTGTATGTTCCAAAACAATGAAATGATCGCATTCTTAAGGTACACTTGCTATAGTCAAAATACGGAGCCACAATTTTCCCTATATATATTACAATTGATTGGAACCAACCAAGTGCAGTTTGAAATGATTCATTCATTCTTTTCTTCTATTTCATCCAATTTACTTTTATCCAACTTACTCCACTTTCTCTGTAACCCTTATTCCACTTCCTTCCACCAATCACAGATAGTGTGCCTCACTCATTTAGTACATAGTGTACTTTCCATATATACATATCCTCTAGCTCCCGGATTAAAAGATCTAAAACACATGATATGGAAGAACTCTAGATGTTAGCATATATTGACAGGTACAGATAAAAATTCTAATAAGTAGTTCATTTTACGAATGAAATTGACAGGTAAAGAAGATGCAAGCAAAATTAGGTAATTTTCATATTTTGTTTACACCTTGATGTCCATTAGTCCTTTTCTGTTTCTATTGGGGCAAAGGATAGGAACATTATGTACACAACAGCTGGGGATTAAACCTTGAATCTACCTCCACCCTTGATCATGCCACCACACCCAATGCCTATTGGCCCATTAATCAAGTTATTGGATTTGGCCAATGCCTAAAAACAAGAAAAGTAAAATGAAATCCTGCCAATTTCATGAAACTTAATTTATTAAGATGAATTAAAGGGTGCATTACTCGGATATTTCGGAGCTTATTTTGTATTATAGTTGCATTTTCCATAGTTATTAGCATTTTCAGAGGAGCATCCTACCACATAAAGTTCTTAGATGACCAGGGTGGAAGAAAGTTGACAAATGTCATAGGTGAAGGCACACAGCTGGCCTTAGCAGTAGAATAGATGCCGTTACTTCTTTCGGCCCCTTAGATTTACAATTAAGACTTTCCAGCATTACTACTCTTATGTAGATAATACAAATTCCTAGCATAATTCCTCTTCACGAGGCACAAGGTCCACTTTTAAAAGAATTTTAGCACGAAATCACTGCCTTCATCAATAAATGTCACGCATTTCAGTCATCTGGAAGCTAAGTGATGAATCATCTACAGGCCTATTTCTCTATAACTAATTAAGCTACACAGTACTAATAAAATGAAAACGGCGGTATCAAATGAAGAAGGTAATAAAGTATTGACCATCCGAGCAATATGCAACGAACCTTTGAAAGGGTTGGTGCAAATTGTTTCACAAGATCATCTACATGGTTTGAACGATCCCCCTGCAAGAAACCAAAGCATCACTAATTTATCCTCATCAATGTGTTTCTGTATGCGAATTTGTCTTAAAGAGGTGGGTAGTTAAATGGTACCTATGAAGAGATTAGAAGCCATCTCTATTTTTTTGACGATTTTTGTACCATATTCCAATCCAAGACCAATCTAAAAAAAAAAAAAAAAAAAAAAAAAAAAAAAAAACAAAACAAAAAATCAACACCACCAGAATGTGGGAAACAGAAAACAGTGCTAAACTAACATAACCAGGTTCTAGTCCTTACTGAAGGCGAACTTTGTTGTTCTGAACCTGCATATTGTGAAGGAAAAAAAGAAAAAAATTCGAGATGTGAGAGAGATCCAAACTGCCATTGCAATGGTTAAATCGGATCTGAGACAAATACAGAAACAGATCTAAAAACAAAGAAATTTTAGAGTCATATAGTGAGTGAGTGTTAGTTACCGGGAGAGTGAAAGCCATTGTGAAGGCCGAGAAGGAAGAGAAGAGGAACGAGCATGGAAAGAAAAACCAGACCCAAAACTGCAATCACCAGGCCTCTCCATCTCCGCTTCCCCGAATAAACACCACCCCCACCCCCTCCCTTCATCTCTCTCTCTCTCTCCTCCTAATCCGATTTCATACCCACCAATCCCATCCTCTAATCCCACGATTAAGCAACAATTAGCAACAATTAACACCAATTAACAACAGCCCTTCTTCTTCGTCCTCTTCCTCTTGCGCTTCTTCTTGCTGTTGGGTTCTTAATGTTATCAAATGCGAAGCCTCACTCGCAGCCGCATCAACAAGTAAAGCGCTTTTCTTCTTCTGTGGCATGAATCATTCTAATGGCTTTATGGGTTGTTTATGAGCTCACAGCATCTCTGTCTCCCACTGCGATTCAATCAATCTCAAGCCTGGAGGATGGACAGTACGGCACAGATTGGATTTCCTTCTTTGATACAAACTCTGATTTTCTCTCTGCGAAAGTGGTGAAGAAGAGAAAGAGCTTACCGTACACTTAAACTTTTTTTTCTTTCTTTTTTTGTTTGTTGGGGTTAAATCTTTACCTTCGGTTAATGCTTTGTGTTTGTTATAATTCTTTGGGGTCAGATCCAATTCTCACATCTGTGAGAATATCACTCGTGACTGGACTCTTCCTTTAAAAAGCAAAAAAAAAAAACCCAAATTAAGAATTATTTTTCTCGTGATGTTGATCATTGTGATATGCCTTTTTCGTTTTTATTTTATTATCTTTAATCCTTTTTTTTATTTTTTATTTATAGTTCTATTTATGTTTGGTAGTTAAATTCTTTTTTATGACTATGCTATCCACATCTCAAGAATGCCACCAAAAACAGAATATATTAGTAGCCCATTTAAATAATTTATTTTTTTTTTTTTTTTTTTTTTTTTTTTTTTTGTTGCTACTTCTACTTAAATTTACCCAACCTAAGATATTGATCAAGTAGTAGTGGAGTTGGCCCTGTATTTGAATTCAATCAACTGGGTAAAGGCTACTTTTATTCAAAAAACTCGAAAGGATTGTCAATTCGGGAAAAGTAGTGAGTCCTAACACAACACAATTCGGAAGGTGATCATGGTACAAAACTCAAAGTAGTAAAATTTCGATGCCATCTTTCAGGTCTTACTAAAACTTCCTTGCATCCAATCCGTAAAATAAAAATAAACTTTGTAGCATTCGAGTTTGAGGCCCCTAGGAACATTGTAACATAACACACTAAATTTCTATTTGGCAATTGAAATGAAAGACCACTATATATTCTTTTCCTGTATCTACTTACATATATGGATAGAGAAGAGAAGGTACAATTACAAAAGAAGAAATTAACTCTGCTGCAGGCCTTTGCTACTACATGGGTTCAATCTTCGCCGAAACTGCGTATCCACCACTGTAATCAAAGGCACCAGTGCTGTCATTCACTTCCTTTTTGGGCAAGCCATCGTTGTACGGATGCTTAGGAGCTCCTTTAGATGCTGCAAATTCTGTGGCTGATGAAGATGCTGATGTTGAGTTTGTGTTCATGCCATCATTCTGCAGAATGGTTTCAATAGCCTTCACAAGCTCACTCATTGTGGGGCGGTCTGCAGCTGATTCTTCAACGCATTGCAGGGCCAGCTCCAGGAACCTCCCAAACCCAGTAAGAGTTCCAGAGTTTTGAATGCTTCGATCCATTAACTCCCTCAAACCATAGTGTTCTTCATCATTCTTGTCCATCATCAATTGTACCTCGCAGATGATGTATTTTCCCTTCTCAATAGGCTGCCTAGCCGTTATCAATTCAAGCATCACCACTCCAAAGCTGTATACATCACTCTTCTCAGTTAACTGATGAGTCGTGTAGTATTCAGGATCAAGATATCCCTGCAAGAACAAAACAGAAACTTAAGAGTAAAAACTCAAGAATGTGTCAATGGGATGAAATATGTTGAAATGCTAATAACGTAAACCTTACCGGTGTGCCTTTGACCTGACTTGAGACATGCCCTTTTCCACTGTCAGCTACCAGCTTGGACAAGCCGAAATCTGCAACCTTCGCGGTTAAATGTTCATCTAATAGAATGTTGGCGGACTTCACATCTCTGTGAATTATAGGAGGATTTGCAAGCTCATGTAGGTAAGCTAGTCCTCTTGCCGAGCCAAGAGTGATGCGGAGTCTCCTCTTCCAATCAAGATGAATACCAGATCTCCCTGCAATTCATATTTAAGCAAAGGTGAAGTTGGTCACTATGTCTATTGCAAACAAGTTATCTCTATGCAATATGAAATAGCTGAGAGTAAAATCTTTGAACTAACCTGACAAGCTTTCCCTGAGTGTTCCATTAGGCATAAACTCATAAACCAGCATCTGTTCTCCTTGTTCAAAACAAAATCCCAAAAGGCCAACAACATTTTTGTGATGAACTCGCGAGAGCAACTCGATTTCAGTCTTGAACTCAAGGCCACCCTGCATTGATCCTTGCTGAGCTCTTTTGATTGCCACCATTTGTCCATCAGAAAGCATGCCCCTGTAAACCTATGGACAACCAACCAAAAGGTGAAAAAAAAAAACATCCTTTAACTTGAAGCAGAATTTCATAGATGTTACTGAAATACTTGAATTAATATACCTTCCCGTATCCACCAGATCCTATCTCATTACTGTCAGAAAAATTATTTGTGCATTTCTTAAGCTCATCAAAAGAAAAACATCTTGCTCCCTTTAACTGTGGTGCACCACCACTATCTTTTCCGCTTGGTGCCCAAGAAGCTAGAAGATAGAGAAAAGGAGTGATATAAGCAAACCAACTTCTAATGTCAATGACAGAATTTCAATGTATCCAATCATAAACAACAAGAATAATTAATTACCAAAAGGTCGGCTTAATCCAATGGCTCTTTCTGCACGTTTCTTTTGCCTAATGGCACATATTCCCACTACCACGAGACCCAGTACAAGAGCTACACAACTAACTGATATCCCAATAATAACACCAGTGCTCATAGAACTTTTATTCCCACCTGAAACAATTTTGAGTTTTTATTGTCAGTTTAATCAATCTTCTAATGCAGGGAAATGGCATACAAAGTAACGACGCGATTTAAATTACCTGGGAAAGTATAAGGATCTGGAATAAAATAATAGGGTCCAAACCCCTCCGGTGGCCTGCGATTTTGGTGGTTCAAATAAAAACTAATCCTTATAATCTCTGACCTATTAAAATATGTTCCTGTAGGTGGAAATAGTGCCAGCTGAATTTGAAGATAGTCATTAGTGTTGAAGAAAGGATTTTTAAGAGAAACTGAACCAGGAGTGAGGCCAAGTGTATCCCATAGAGCCGTTTCTAGTGAGTGAAACATAGTCATATTTGACAATCCCTGAAAGAGGGTGCTTTGAAATACAATGTTCCTTCGAAAGGATATGCACATTGACAACTCTGAGGGCCGAGCTTCTGTTTATCGGGGCATGTAATGTTTGAACAATTCGAGCTAGTAGTATACGTTTCTGTATTTTTTGCAGAAGCTGACAGAATGAATTTGAGCTAGTTCCATTGGTGCAAACTGGGTTCCCTACAAGTCTGCAATATGTAAAAGTGACAACTAAGAATGGTGTTGAAAAACACACAACCATAGAAAATCAAGATCAAGGCCCATGAACTGTCTCACATTAATCTATGTTTGTATTCATAACCAGGAGTTATATTAGGAATCTGATTGTTCTGCAGATCAACAAGTTGCAGTTGTGGACTGATGCTATCACCCAATTTCAATGTATCGTTAAATGTATTGTTTTTCAGTTTCCTGTCAAGGGTTAGAAAAAAACATGAATGGCAATTTTCCTAAAATTACAGTCAAAACTTGATGCTTTCTTCAGTATTCTCCTTAAACTTACACTTGCTGCAATGATGTGATGCTGAACATCTTCTCTGGCACAGTCCCTTCAAGTGCTCCAAATTCTAAAATGCTGTGTTCCGTAAAAGTGGAGAATTTCAACAAAAAATTACAACAAAGTTTTCAGGGTGTCCTTTTCCAAGACTCATTCATAGATACTAAGTCATTTTTGTGTAACCTCCTAAGGACTTACATAGTGGTGATTGAGGGTAAGTTTGAGAACCAAGGTGGAGCTTCTGATGGGTCAAATGAGTTGTTACTCAGGTCTCTGAAGTAAAATCATTAGGATTTATCAGTACAACAAAAGAACAACTTGCAGGAAACTTGAAACTTGAAATGACAGCTCCATGCCATCTTACTCACACATAATTGAGGCAAATCATTCCAGTTAAGTCAGGTAAAGGGCCTGTCAAATTGTTGTGAGCCAAATTTCTGGAAGAGAACAAAAACTCATGTAAAAGATGATTAAGAATAATTAAGATTAAGTTAACTGTCAACAGCACATTAGAATATCCTCTTAGAGACTTGGTACTCACAGTTCATTGACACTTGTTAGGTTTCTGATATTTGAGGGGACATTTCCTGTCAGAGCATTTCTATCAAGCCGACTGTTGCAAACAAGAAGGTTTTGAATCCAGTAAGTATCAAGAAGCAGATACTTATATGTGAAAGAATAACAAAATTGAGCTGTTTTTGTACTCACAGAACCTCAAGAGTCTGAACGAGTGCTATGGTTGATGGAATCTCCCCAATAAATTGATTTGCATCAAACAAACTGCAGTTGAAGAATGACAAGCAGTTAGATAAATATAAGTATAGAACATAAACTGATAGATGGCATCTGGCTAAATTAAAAAATGATCGAAGGGATCAACTTACATGTGTATCAGTTTCATCTCAGAGCTGAAAAGTTTGGGTGGAATGGTACCTGAAAGCTGGTTCTTGTTGAAATGGCTGCATGTCCATATTATCAGTTTAATGTTTATGCAATAAGCAATGGCATAATCCCTATTAGAATTTCATTTTTTCACAATGGAGAGAGTTTGGGAAATGGAAAAATACTCACAAGTGTTCAGCCTTCAATAGTTTGTCTAAGCCTGAGGTAACGGGGGTTGAAATTGGTAGAGTTCCAGTCAACTGATTGTCTGTCAGGTCCAACCAGAAAAGTTTGGAGAGTTTACCCAAAGAAGGAGGTATTTGACCAGTAAATTTATTCGTATTCAGAGCCCTGAAAAGAACAAAGGATTTATATAAAGTTGGGAAAGAAAAAACTTAAAATGGTTTGCACTAACAGTATGATTATCAATTCAATTCTTACAAGAAAGTTAGCTCTCCAAGATTGCCCAATTCCTCTGGAATATTGCCACTGAATCCGCAGCCAGCTAGGATCCTAAAAGATGAAAAGAGTCCTGTATACTTATCCAATATAAAAACTTATATTGCATATACAAAGTTCAAAAGGTGCAAATATGAAAATTGCTTGCTAATTTGTTCTTACAGGATATTTAACTTGTTCAGATCTCCTAATCGTGGAGACAGAGAACCCATGAGGCCCTTGTTGAATGAAAGGTCCCTGCAATGTTAACGTTTCTACTTCGTTACAAAAAGGATGCCATGCTAATTAAAGATTGAGTGATAACAAAATAATTGATACTGCAAAAGAAATGTGTTTTATGCATATGTTTACATACTGAATCTGTTGCATTGCATCTGGGTTCAATTCATAATGTGCTGCAAACATAATGCTGGTACAAAGAGGAGCAATTATACTCACAAGGATCTTAATTCAGAGAGTCCCCCGATATCGCCTTCAATTTGTCCTTTCAAGTTCATTGCTGGTAATCCCCTGCACATAAAAAAGTGCAAGGTTGAAAATTTGTGTAATAAAGTAAGTCACCAATGCCCAGAACTGTTGGTCGGTGAAGGTTACATGTTTTCGGATGCCTATAAAAGGCTACTCCTCCTTCACATTTGAAACACACACAATACACCATCAGAATATCACACACATTCTAATTCTCTCCTTTTCTACTTTTACATATATTCTCTACTTTATATTATTATTATTTTGGGCAATGGTTATGTAACTTGGATACCTATATCCGTCTATGAACGTGCTCATAGCGGATCTTGAGTTTGTGTACAAGGAGTCGTATCTTGGAGTTTTGTAGACCGTCAGTACCTGCACGTAGGGAGGCTACAAAGGCTTTAGAACAGCGTCTTTGACATGCTTCACCGTACCAAACTCACTTTCTTACTTATTATTTATTTTCCTTTTACTTACCTATGATTTTGTTTTCTTAAATTTCATTGTACCTTCAAACTTTTCAATTTGTTTATAAGTTATTTATAATATAAATGTTTTTATATTTGGCTTTACGGAAAAGGAAAACTATTATTTTCTCATAACAATCTAAAGCCTTTGTAAGTTAAAAGTTGTTTTCTTCCCGTATTGCTAGATTTAATATCTTTTAACTCTTTGACTGAAGCTTTTGCATTTGTATTGGATTTCCAACATAAATTACGATTTATTTTGGATAGATGCAGTTTGAAGCTTTCATGTTGTCTATATAATTTCAACTGCTTTAAATATTGTTGGTACATTAATATGTTTATAATTTGTTGCTAACGTTTGGGAAATTACTACTAGTGTTTTAAAATAAGAACCTACAGACTAATTTATGTGGTATTATTATTATTGCTCAACGTATTATTATTTTATGTGGTGTGTTCGTTTTCTACAGCACAATTGTTTTTAAAATACATTTCAGAATCTTAATAATGTTTATAGCATTCAAAAGCTAATTAATGACCATTGAAATAATGAAATATATATATATATATATATTGAAGTAAGCTATGTTTTTCTAAGTTACTGTTTGTTTTAAATAGCTTGTATTGTTTCATTACCGATTACTTAATTATTACTCATTAATCAATTTACGGTGAAACATCCAAAGTTGAACGGTTGAAGTGTTTAAAAACCGAAACGTTGAAGTTTTTCAAAATCTTTGGTCTTATTTTTTTTTTTAATTGAAATTTCAAAGCAAGTATATATATTTGATTTTATTGTGTTGGGCCTTCATTCGTTTTGGTTGCCATCAATCTTCCTTTATATAATGATCCTTTATAATCGTTTTTTTAATATCGTTTTATCGTTTTATTATTTTGGTTGCCGTTAATTTCCTTTTATGACTTCATTTCAATTGGTCTTTCAAATAAGGCAATTTCTTATTGTGATGGTTATTTTTAATTGCTGAAGGTTTTATTACAAAGTCTTTTTGGCTAAATATTTATACAATTTAATTACATCTTTGTTTTAATGTCTTGGATTCATTTTAAAGTTGTCAACGGCTTTATATTTCAATTGCGCAATCCTTCATATTAGTTACTTGAGTTAATCATGATACAAATATATTTAGTGAACTAATGTTCTTTTGATTGTGAAGTCTTGACAACTGCCACATTGAGTTAATTGCCATGAAGTGTATATTGTGAAATCTTCATGAGAAAACTAAAATAAAATAATAAATTATGTCACTGTAAATGGCATTAAATTTTGAGTTTTGACATAAGGCTTTCAAACCTTTTTTTAATTTTTTTATAAGGTATTTGTTTTCATTCAATTTGTGAGACTTTCTGTGGTTTTACTATTATATTTACAGTAACTATCAATATGATTGTGAGTTAGCATATCTTATGAATTTAAAAATAAATTCATATATTTTGAGACACTTAAATTGTGGGGGTTGAGTTTTTTTTATTAACTATGTGAGTATTTGTTGGAATTTTTGTGGGTATTTCAAAATACAAAATTAATTTTAATACTTATTTTAAGTTGATTTAATTTTCTAGATTTTGAGTGGTTTGATTACCTCTTTAAAACTGAAGTTATGTTATACATTTATTATATAAGTTTTGATATCTCTTTTATTGGAATATATCTTATTTTGTTTTAGTTAGCCCTCAAATGTTTACTTTATTTGCTTTTCATAATAATAATAATTATGTTTATTTTAAAACGTGTGGACCAATTTGTGGAAGTTGAATTTTCCTAAATGGGAACTTTAGTACTGTAATTTCATTTGTTACTAACATTAAGCAATTTTTTATACTGAAAATATTAGATTCATTTATGTAGGCTTTCCTTCTCTCTTTCCCATAATTTTTTGTGTGTTTTTAATTTCTTTATGCTCTCATGGGAAAGATTCATTATATTCATTTAGTGACATAATAATTTTATATTTTATTGGCAAACATACTGTGTCTGTATGAAATTTGTTTCATTATGAAAGTTTATTATGAGACTAATTTATCTTCAATTTGATACGAAAATATTTGCAACTAATGATGATTTTGGCATAAAATTTTGGTAGAGACTTCTTATTGTCTTATAGGTTCATATTGAGAATCGACAAGATACAATTTCAACTTGGATATGTGATCATGATTTCAGTCATTTGGAGTGCACAAAAGTGAGTAAGGGTATCCTGAAATACTCAGTGTTTATAGTTAAATTTATTTAATGAATTAATTGTTATATTGTTTTTTAAGTGGTATTATACTGAGGTGAAATCCACTAATTATTTGTGTGCAAGATTGTGTAGGAAATATTTTAATAACATGCATATTTAAAGCGCACTAAAATAGAGAACAAAGACATGACCTACATTATATATGCCTTGTGAAGGCTAGTTTTGATATGCATGCCTCGTGGAGGAGGCTATTAATGCAAAATGTCGAGGGGGATGTGCTTAACCCCATAAGGGAGTCACCTAGGGAGGTAACCCAACTTCTGTGATTGGAGATCCCATGAAGGAAGTTCAATGTGGTAGAAACAATCAATATTGTGTGACTCATATAGCACTCATAAAACTATGGAGATATCCTTGAGATATTCTTCTGCTCATCCCTAAGGCAAAAGTGTTATTTTATGTGACGTTAGGAAGGGATTTATCCTTGAATGAGTTTCGAGGTGAGCAAACTCCCGCAGGGTGCAGGTCACATGTACTTTTGGAGAACTCACCTAAGTGAGAGACGTCGTAAGGCCGTGACTGTGAGAATTGTGCTATTCTCTAGTAACTATCATGAGAATCAAGATTAGCACATGACCATAAATAGCGTTACCTCGCATCCAAGTCTCAACTAATACTATGTGTGGGATATGTTGAAGTTTGGTCAAAGGTGCTGAGTTCAATACTTTGTACACTCAGGTTCCTCAAATGGAGACTATCATCACTAAGTGAAGGTTCAAGCCTGGAAGGCACCCACACCTATTACATAGTATTATATTGCCCGCATATATTATATATTTTTCATTGTTTTTTCGTCATGGTAAAATTTTGAAAACCTTGTGGGGGATTGTTGGAATTTTAAAAGGTTTTAAAAATTTAACCGTTTTTATTTTGGCTGTTTTATTTTAATTATTGTAAAGGTTATAAATATTTAATAGGGAGTTTCATTAAAACACCCAAAATGGGGGCTGAAATTATAAAAAAACCCAACACCCAAAACCCATCATTACACATACTCAAAACCCATTTATAAACACACCCAAAAAATATATAATTATTGATTTTGGGTGTGTTTCTATGTTTAAATAGTGTTTGAGTTTTTTTTATTTTTTATAAATACATGTTTAGGATTGAGTTTATTTATAAATTTGTATATTTAATATTCAGGTTTTATTTCTGGTTGGTAAATGCCTTAATTTTTTGGTTGGTGAATTTTTATGATTGGTGAATGTTACATGTTTTTGGATGCCTATAAAAGGCCACTCCTCCTTCACATTTGAAACACACACAATACACCATCAGAATATCACATACACATTCTAATTCTCTCCTTTTCTACTTTTACATATATTTTCTACTTTATATTATTATTATTTTGGGCAATAGTTATTTGACTTGGATACCTATATCCGTCTATGAATGTGCTGATAGCGGATCTTG